GAGTGAAAAAAAAGTTAGAAAATAAAAATAAAGTGAAATGTGAAGAAGTGAAAAAATAAAAAGGAGTGTAGAGAGAGTATGTGAGAGTATGTGTATGTGTAAAAAAAAAAAAAGGGACACTATAGTCACCTGAACAACTTTAGCTTAATGAAGCAGTTTTGGTGTATAGAACATGCCCCTGCAGCCTCACTGCTCAATCCTCTGCCATTTAGGAGTTAAATCCCTTTGTTTATGAACCCTAGTCACACCTCCCTGCATGTGACTTGCACAGCCTTCCATAAACACTTCCTGTAAAGAGAGCCCTATTTAGGCTTTCTTTATTGCAAGTTCTGTTTAATTAAGATTTTCTTATCCCCTGCTATGTTAATAGCTTGCTAGACCCTGCAAGAGACTCCTGTATGTGATTAAAGTTCAATTTAGAACTTTGAGATACAATTATACAAAGATTGAGATACAATTATTTAAGGTAAATTACATCTGTTTGAAAGTGAAACCAGTTTTTTTTTTTCATGCAGGCTCTGTCAATCATAGCCAGGGGAGGTGTGGTAAGGTCTGCATAAACAGAAACAAAGTGATTTAACTCCTAAATGACAGTGAATTGAGCAGTGAAATTGCAGGGGAATGATCTATACACTAAAACTGCTTTATTTAGCTAAAGTAATTTAGGTGACTATAGTGTTTCTTTTAAGTCCTTTAGGGTGTACGACATCCAATGTTTTGATCCAATATGTTTCTCTTTGCAAGAGAAGATGAGATCTGTCACCTTCTCTGTTAGGAGTTGGAATCCTGTCTATCGCTATAAACCTCAGCGTAGGTAGTCTGTGGGAATGTTCCAAAAAATGTTGGCAACAGGTTTATCTGTTTTGCATCCCTGAAGGCTATCATTATGCCAGATCTGTGTCCTCATATGCGATCCCTCAAAGTAAGATCAGTTTTTCCCACATAATATAATCCACACGGAAATAAAAGTAGATAAACCATGTGGTCACTAAGGCAGGTGATGTGATGCTGAATGTTAATTCTTTGCCCTGAATAAGGATGTGGGAAAGAATGACCTGTCAGCATGTGTCCACGTGTGACACAACCAGAACACTTAAAGCATCCCTTTTTCCTAATCATCATTTTTGTGTCATATTGACTAGGGATATTGGTTTTAATTAATATATCCCTGATATTCCTGTTGCGCTGAAATGCTATGCATGGAACATGAGAAAAAATAGGGGGCAAAGTGTTGTCGGACGATAATACATCCCATCTTTTCTTGATAGCATGAGTTATTTTATTGCTTTCTGAATGAAATAGTAAAGGTAAGGTGATCTTGGGGTTTTTACTTTTTCCCCCTTTGTACCTGTTTTTAAATTTGTTTTTAGCCTTATCCAAGCATTCCTGTAGGATTGTTCTTTTGTATCCCTGTTCCAAGAATGATGTAGTCATTCCCTTAATCTGTTGTGCGCATGTATTCACATTAGAATTCTTTTGGGATATTGAGATATTGGGAAATAGGTAGCGATCGTTTCAGAGGCAGAGGATGGAAACTGTTTGCATGAAGTAATGTAGTGCTGTCGGAGGGTTTTAGAAACATAGAATGTGACGGCAGATAAGAACTATTCGGCCCATCTAGTCTGCCCAATTTTCTAAATACTTTCATTAGTCCCTGGCCTTATCTTATAGTTAGGATAGCTTTATGCCTATCCCACACATGCTTAAACTCCTTTACTGTGTTAACATCTACCACTTCAGCTGGAAGGCTATTCCATGCATCCACTACCCTCTCAGTAAAGTAATACTTTTGATATTATTTTTAAACCTTTGTCCCTCTAATTTAAGATTATGTCCTCTTGTTGTGGTAGTTTTTCTTCTTTTAAATATAGTCTCCTCCTTTACTGTGTTGATTCCCTTTATGTATTTAAATGTTTCTATCATATCCCCCCTGTCTCGTCTTTCCTCCAAGCTATACATGTTAAGATACTTTAACCTTTCCTGGTAAGTTTTATCCCGCAATCCATGAACCCGTTTAGTAGCCCTTCTCTGAACCCTCTCTAAATATAAACATATAACTTATCGCCTATATGACTGTTGATACGGTAGATCTCTGCATCCAAGAATTGTATACTTTGCTCATGGTATGTTAAACTCAACTGAATGGAGAATCATCTTTGTTCAAATCCTCAATCATTTCTTTGAATTCCCTCGCCGTGCCAGATCAAATCATAAACACATCATCCACAAATCTGTGGTATTGAATAAGTTGTGTGCCATATTTCGACAAGATATATGACTTCTCATAGAAGTACATAAAACAATTAGCATATGTTGGTGCCATGGCCGAACCCATAGCAGTCCCCGTCTCTTGCATATAAAAGTATTTCTCAAAACAAAAATAATTATTAGAGAGTGTCATCTCAAGGCATTCCAGTAAAAACTCAATGGGTGGTCCATTATATTGTTCAAATGCAACTAATAACTTACGCATGGCCTCAATGCCAGCAGTGTGTGGAATTACTGTGTATGAATTTTTGACATCCACAGTAGCGAATATAACAGATGAGTCTGGTAGTTCACAATCTTTAATGCGACCTAAGAAGTCCTGAGTGTCTCTAAGGCAAGTAGGTATGTGCGGGCTTGCAGTGGAAATCTACAAATTTAACCAATGGTTTCAGTACATCTTTCCTAGCGGAAAACAATAGGTCTTCCTGGTGAGTGGACTGGATCTTCATGAACCTTGGGCAACATGTACAGTATTGGAATCTTGGGATGTAGATCCACCATGTATTCGGCTGTTTTGTCATCCAGCCAGCCAGCCACTAGGCCTGTATGTACCAACTTTTGTATTTTAGCAATGATGCTGTTAGTAGGATCACATGCTATCTTTCTGTAAATCTTGTCATCTGATAAGTGTTGCAAAATTTCATTCTTATACGTGTCATAATCTTGTAGCACTATGGCTCCCCCTTTGTCCACGGGGTGGATAATAATGTTGTCATCCTCTTTAAGATCTTTTAATGTTTTTCTTTCAGTCAGTGTTAGATTGTGTGAAACACTAGCTTGTTGAGTAACTATTTTATCCACATCAGATTTTATCAATTGGGAAAAAGTCTTGATGGAATGATGTGCATTCTTGGGGTCCGAGATACTTTTTAGTTTAAACTTAACTTTGTTGATGCCATGTGCCTCTCACAGCTTGTATGTTTATGCTTCTGCACATTTTAAAAAATTCCACCTCCAATTTAAACTGATCTGGTTTCGAAGTGGAAACAAAAGACAATCCCTTTGACAAAACCTTAATATGATCACCAGTCATAACTTTAGAAGATAAATTAAAAATGGGGTTCATTTCTTCCTTGTAGGTGGTTTTGAATGAGTATTTATAGACTTTCCCCGTCTGCCCTCTTCGAATAGGTCTGCGTCTCTTAAATCTTTTCCGGGTTTTGTAGATGCCATAGGTGGATCGTTGGTATGATGTTACAGCTCTAAAAAAGACTGTGTATAGTCAGATGTTTTAATTCTATAAGGTCTGGCTGATGATTCACCTCCTTCCGCTTCAGAGGTTGATTCTGCTGAACTTGTGTCTATGGATAAAAATTATGGTTTCTGTACTCTTTGTTTATTTCTGGGAAAATAAGATTTACAGCTTTCTCCGTAAATCCAGTGGTATACCTGATGATGTGTATAGTCTAGATTGACCCATTCCACTTTTTGTTTTTTGAATCTGATAATCTCATCTTGAAGTTTGATCATATGTTGGGTTATGGGGAAAAAAATTGCAGTAGTTAGAACCTACCAAATGTGGTGCAACCATCAGGGTCATGGGTGTACAAGGCTCAATGATGTATGAAGGAAGCGAAGGCTCGCCTGTCTAATGGACCAACTAATTTGCATATGCCAATCCAGAATCCATATATGTATATAAACACCCACATTTTGTATGCAGTTCAGCTATGCAGCTATGATACCATGTGGGAGATGCACGGCAATGCACGGCAAAGTTCTAATACAGTACAAGGAGGGAGAAATTCACCCACGTTGTCCCTCCTTGTACTGTATTAAATAATTGCTGTGCATTACCATGGCAATAATCTGATACACACCACTGCACCGGTTGGAAGGAGCTGTCTGCACCCACCCTCCATGGCCAAAAATATTATATTCTCCCCTATCCCTCCACTGTTGCCGCGTCCCCCATCACAGCCCCTACCCCAACTACAGCCTCTATTCCCCTTTACTCACCAAAGCTTATATCCCCCTTCACCCACCAAAGCCTCACTTCAGCCCTAATCCCCCATACCTACAACAGACCCTATTAGCCCTTGCACTCACTACAGCCCCTATGCTCCCTCTACAATCCTTATTACCCCTGCACACACTACAGATAATACTACCCCTGCATCTAGTACAGTCTCTATATCCACTACATCCCCAATCCCTCTTACACCCACTAAAGCCCCAAATATTTCCTGCTCCCACTACATCCTCTATCCATCTTCTAAACTCACTACAGCCTTTCTCACCCCTGTGACCATAACATATGATTTAGTGGTGGACATCTTTAGTGCCCCCCTTCCCCTTTGTTTTTACTGTGATATCTTATGGTCCCCCTGAGTATTGTTCCAACAGAGGCAACTGCTCAGTGCAACAATGTATAGGTCACAATTTCACAGTCTCTGATCAATTGCAACAATGTTATAAAATACAAACCAGCAGAATGCAGTCCAGCCACATAGCTGAAATGTGCACTAGTTCATAAAACATGTTAGTGAAGATTTTAGTAGCCCAAAAAATGACGTATCGAGTTGAGAGCTTAATCCAGAATTTGTTAACACACTATAGAGGTTTCCAGGCTGATTGTTCCATACACAGCAGGTTGCCCCAGAATTGTCCCTAACTTTGCCAAGACAGATCTCCCCCCATGTCTCTTTATTCCTGCTGGAAGGCCCCTCCCCAGACCCCCCTGTACTGTATCCAGCACCCCTCATCCAGTCCCTTTAACACCAGGCCCCGCCCACACAGCTCGCTCTGCCTGTGTTGTGCTTTGAAAGCCGCGCTCCCTGTGCCGGTGCGATCACTGAGTGACAGGCGCTGCTGCTGGTGGTGCTTCAATCCCAACAAGCACAGCGAGCCCCCGGCTCTGAGACCTCACTGCACTGCAGCCGTCCTGCCCCCAGTACCTCCATCAACCCCTGCAACCACCAGCCTCCCCTACTCCCAGTACTCCCAGCCTCCCCCAATCCCTGTACCTCTAGCCTCCCCTGCTCCCAGGACCACAAGCGTCCCCCACTCCCAGTACCTCCAGCCTCTCCTGCTCCTAGAACCACCAGGGTCCCCCACTCCCAGTACTTCCAGCCTCCCCCACTCCCAGTACCTCCAGCCTCTCCTGCTCCTAGTACCACCAGCCTCCCCCACTCCAAGTACCTAAAGCTTCCCCTGCTGCCAGTACCACCAGCCTCTCCCACTCCCAGTACCTCCAGCCTCCCCTGCCCCCACTACTTCCAGAATTCCTGCTCCCAGTACCACCAGACTCCTCTGCTTCCAGTATATCCAGCCTCCCTTCTCCCAATACTCCAACCTCCCCTGCTCCCAGTACCTCCACCCCCACTCCCAGTACCTCCAGCCTCTCCTGCTCCCAGTACCACATCAGCAGCAGTAAGTAACCGGGTGCCTTTAGGCACTACTTTATCTTCTAGCTAAGATTTGCTGTTTTGTTTTCTGTTTAGATTTGGATATATTATATGCATAATGTAGCTATGCCAATCTGTTCTGCAATGGTTTTTACAGTTTGCAATTATGCAACATTTAATTTATATTAATTTAAGCATTTAATTAAAATAATGGACCATGCTCTTGCAACAAATATGGATCCCTGCCTGGCACTTCATTTATTTTTTTTGTTTTGTTTTGTTGCATTGCATGTCTTTTCAACACAGTACATAATGCATTGACATTAATAAATTACAGAAATATTTTGTAAATAGCTGATTAAAGTTAGTGAACTATTTGGAATGTTTGTACTCTGTGCATCACCCCTGCCTGTGATTTACAAACATGACTCCCAAGTTCTTTACTGTGGCATTGTCCTGGCATATAATTCCCATGTTGATTTATGTCAGTGCACTTCCTGCCCCTTGTAACTGCTTGGATTGCAGAGTACTTACATTTCTTCCTTTCTTGGGTATACTGTTGCACTGAATATTTTGTTTGTCGTTTTACAAAATGCAGCTACTTTTGTTTAACTAGATATAATGTAAGATTAATATCATTATGGATAAGTCAGATGAACCTGTCTTTAGCTCATAATGTGCTAGAACAGTTATTTGTTTACTTTCTTTGTCTTTTAGCAATTTGTATGCTTGTAGACTGGCAGTTTTGTTGAATAAATGATCTTTTTTACTATTGTCTTTATACAGAGTGATCCTGAACATACAGTAAGTGCAAAGCGTCCACTTGGAGTTTACGCCAAAGACAACTAAAATCCTTCACCATGATTTCTGCAGCACAAGAATGGCTTAAAGTGGCCGTCTTGCTATTTATAGCCCAAACAGTTGCTGCAATGGTTATTCCAAATACCACACATTTAGAAGGCCTTCTGGAGAAGTATTTGGATGAAGATGGTGAGTGGTGGGTTGCAAAACAGAGAGGAAAACGAGCCATAATCGAGAGTGATATGAAGTTAATCTTGGATCTCCATAATAAATTAAGAGGCGAAGTTTATCCCCCAGCTTCCAACATGGAGTTTATGGTAAGAATAACTATGGGGAAAAGCTAATGCACCTTTCAGGATTCGAATGTTTATCTAAGATCAGTTTAGAATTAAATACATAATAAGATGAGTGTTTGTACAATTCCACAACAGCCATAGTAACCGTAAACTCACACATCAGAATTCTTGAACTCTTTCCCTTTGAGCTGTGTTTGTCTGTGCATATCACCATGCTTTTGCACAAAATTCTCTTTTTTTTCAATGTCCATGATGTCAGTTGGCACTCGTCATCTTGTACCAAATGTTGCCAACTGTGTCTGTTCCAGATATTGGACAGGTTGTTAATTTCTGTACATATTACACTAATGAATTATACCAGTATTCTACAGTCCATTCATTTATCCAGGAGTTTGTTTTTTAGTTTTTTTTTGTTTTTTATCCCGAAGCATGTTAAAGACCGGTACTGCATTGCAAACATATGCCCTAACGTGTCCAGAGTCCTCGCTACCTTTTTCTACACTTGGTTGCTGTTGAGGAGCTCTGCGCACATTGATCCACGCAGGTTCCTATACAGTGTATAAGCGCTATGATATTTACAATCCTCTGCGCAAAACAGATGTACTGACCGTAACACAGCTGTTGTCTAGAGGTAAAGTTGTGTTTTTTTTTTTTTTTTTCTAATATGAATTGTGCTTGGCAGTGCAGTGATAAAGGTGAGAAAAGAACTTGCACCGAGTTTGTTGGTGGTAAAGGGGTTATGCGTAAGAAATTACATTAGTTTGCTTGGTGTGGATGTATGAATGGCATTCAGCCAAATGCAGGGGCGGACTGAGAACACTCAGGGCCCCCGGGCCCTTCAGGCCCCACCCACGTTCTGTCGCAAGCCCCACCCTTGTCCCACCTCCATGCCCCTCCTCCAGCCACACCCTACACAATCTTTAGACACAAGGAACAAAAGTGCAATATGTTCTAAACAAGTGTAATTTAATTAACGAATGCAAAAACCAAACTGTGCAAAATAAATAACAAATGCACAAAGACAATTGCATTACCAATGATAGACAAACCAAAACAAGTGCATTACAAAATCATAAACAGACAAAGCCAAAATCATAAATAGACAAACCAAAACAAGTGCATTACAAAATCATAAATAGACAAACCAAAACAAGTGCATTACAAAATCATAAATAGACAAACCAAAACAAGTGCATTACAAAATCACAGACAAACCAAAACAAGTGCATTACAAAATCATAAATAGACAAACCAAAACAAGTGCATTACAAAATCACAGACAAACCAAAACAAGTGCATTACAAAATCACAGACAAACCAAAACAAGTGCATTACAAAATCATAAATAGACAAAACCAGAGTAATACAAATCATAAACAGACAAAACCAGAGCAATACAAATCATAAACAGACAAAGCCAGAGTATTACAAATCATAAATAGAGAGCAGACGTGCCAACTCGAGCTCCAGTCCTTCTGAGAAAAACGACGATTAAAGAAAGAAAATCAAGCATCAACCCACTGCAGAGGGATATTGGCACAGGGATCAGTTAAAGGATCACCACGGTGTCAGGAAAACAAACTCGTTTTACTGACACTATATAACCCTTAGGTTCCCCCTTCCGGTGTGCTAAAGGAGTTAAAACCCCTTCAGCCACTTACCTTTATCCAGCGCCGGGGTCCCTCGTGGTGACCTCTCCACCCCCGCTGGCGTCAGCTCCCAAGTGGGGCGTAATCCGCGGCAAGAGCACTATTTTCGCATCCAGTGTCACAGAAGCGCCTCTAGCAGCTGTCAGGAAGACAGCCACTAGAGGCTGGATTAATCCTGCAACGTAAACATAGCAGTTTCTCTGAAACTGCTAGTTTTACATTTGATGGTTTAAAACCTAGGGGGCCAGGCACCCAGACCACTTCATTGAGCTGAAGTGGTCTGGGTGATTGTAGTGTCCCTTTAAGTAAATAAAGGGTTTATTTTGTATGCATTGATGCAGACTAGCATTCGGCCGAATAGAATACTGGAGTACTGGCGAATGAGTTTTAAAAATATATATATTTAATATAGTCAAAAATATTTTTTTTTAGATAGAGATATATATATATATATATATATATATATATTTATTTTTATTTTTTTATTTAAAAAGGGTGCCCAAAAGGTAGATTCCCAGATGTTTTTAAACAACAGCTTATACAATGCTTTGCCATTCTAAAAGCATGCAAAGCATCATGGGAGTTGTAGTTCTACAACATCTGGGTAGCTACCTTTCGTGCACTCCTGCTATAAACTATACAAAATCCAGTACACTCACCCACGTTTTGAAAAATATAATTGTTTTTTAAAAAACACAGGAATGAAGCAAAAATAGAGGTACTCTAGCTACAGTATATGATCATCTGCATCAGCTTGTCACAAAGTCAATGTGTCCCATAATGTAAGCACATTTAAGAGAGTGCAGATTCACGGTTTCATATATATGTGCTCCGTGAATGTTATAAGTGATTTTATATATTTTTTATTTTTCTAACAAAAGTTACTATAATGCATGGCTTGACAAATTTGTTTGGAATCTAGGAGTCAGCTAAAAAGTTAGCAGCCAGTCTTTTTAACCCCTTAAGGACACATGACATGTGTGACATGTCATGATTCCCTTTTATTCCAGAAGTTTGGTCCTCAAGGGGTTAAACGAACAAAGCTTCATTTTAAAAAATGAAAAACACAATTCTTAAGGGGACACTATAGTCATCAGAACCACTGCAGCTTAATGTAGTTGTTCTGGTATCTGTAGCATGTCCGTGCAGGATTTTTAATGTAAAGACTATCTTTTCTGAGAAAAGACAGTGTTTACATTGCTGTCTTGGGACACCTCTTGATACCTCTGATACCTAGGCCAAGTTGGCTCCTCTTACCTCAATTACGGTTGCTGGTTGGCAGTCTGTGGCCGCGGCTGGCAGGCTGTGGGCTTGCTGGCTGTAGGCCTGTGGCCGGCTGCTGGCCTGTGGATGGCTGTGGGCAGCTGGCCTGTGGGTGGCGGGCGGGCAGGCTGGCTGGCCTGTGGCGGGCGGCGGCGGCTGCCCTGTGGCGGGCGGGCGGCCTGTGGCTGGCTGGCTGGGGGGCCTGTGGTGGGCGGGCGGCGGCTGGCCTGGCTGGCTGGCTGGGGGGCCTGGGCCTCTGGCTGGCTGGCTGCTGGGGGGCCTGGGCCTCCTGGCTGGCTGGGGGGCCTGGGCTGGCTGGGGGGCCTGGGCCTCTGGCTGGCTGGCTGGGGGGCCTGGGCCTCTGGCTGGCTGGCTGGGGGGCCTGGGGATGGCTGCCTGGGGGCCTGGGGCCTGTGGCTGGCTGGCTGGGGCTCGGGCCTCTGGCTGGCTGGCTGCTGGGGCTGGGCCTCTGGCTGGCTGGGCTGCTGGGGGGGGCCTGGGCCTCTGGCTGGCTGGCTGCTGGGGCCTGGCCTCTGGGCTGGCTGGCTGCTGGGGGGGCCTGGGCCTCTGGCTGGGCTGGGGCCTGGGCCCTCTGGCTGGCTAGGGGGGCCTGGGCCTCTGGCTGGCCAGGGGCCTGGGCCTCTGGCTGGCTGGGGCCTGGGCCTCTGGCTGGCTGGGGCCTGGGCCTCTGCTGGCTGGTTGGCTGGCTGCTGGGGCTCTGGGCCTCTGGCTGGCTGGCTGGCTGCTGGGGCCCGCCTCTGGCTGGCTGGCTTGCTGCTGGGGCTCTGGGCCTCTGGCTGGCTGGCTGGCTGCTGGGGCCTGGGCCTCGCTGGCTGGCTGGCTGGCTGCTGGGGGGCCTGGGCCTGGCTGGCTGGCTGGCTGCTGGGGGGCCTGGGCCTCTGGCTGGCTGGCTGGCTGCTGGGGGGCCTGGGCCTCTGGCTGGCTGGCTGGCTGCTGGGGGGCCTGGGCGCCTTGCCGACCTTGCTTGGCTGGCTGCTGGGATCTGAAGACCTGCTGGGATTCAAGTTATTCGGGACAGCATGGCTTCCGGTCCCGTGCAGGCGGCGCCCGTCGACGTCATCGCGTCACGTAGTGACGTCGACGCACCTCCGCGCACAGGACCGGGCCCCTCCTCCTCCTATAGAGGTAAGTATGCTGCGCCAAGCCCGCCCCCCGATCGCCTACAAAATGATTTTTGAAGTCCGTGCACATTATGTTATGTGCACGGCAGCGGCGGGCCCCCTTGCCGGCCGGGCCCTCGGACCATGTCCGAAGTGCCCGACCGGTCAGTCCGCCCCTGGCCAAATGTATATCTGTAAAGCAGTGCTTAGCTAATCTTGGCACATTCGCCTACTCTACAGTATTTAATTGGAAGCTCAGATATCTTAGATGACTGAGCATCCTGGGAAATGTGGTTCACATATATTTGCAGTGCTGATGTTAAGGAGGAAACGGTTAAGGAGGAGAAAAAAAGGAGTTCATCTTAATGGGGCTGCTTGGGCTGCTTACGGCACCACAGCAACTTCATCTAAATTAAATGTTTATGGTGCCAGGAGGTCCTCGAGCACACTCTCACCTTCAGTGGCTAAACCATTCTTGAACAGTTTAATGCCAAAGCTGCCTCTAGTGTCAGTCACTACTCCTCCCCCAGTCGGCATCTGAAATTTCAGTTTCAGGAAGCGCAGCGTGCCATCAGGCAGAGGCATCGCTGATTGGCTGAGAGCGGTCATATGACGCTTTTAGCCAATCAGTGATTCCCCATTCACAAAACTGGCTTGGAAAGAAACATATCTTTTCCAAACCAGTTATGGTAATGTGGAGATTAGATTAAAAGACCACTTTAGGCACCCAGACCACTTCAGCTTAATGAAGTGGTCTGGGTGCCAGGTTCTTCTAGGGTTAACCCATTTTTTTTATAAACATAGCAGTTTCAGAGAAACTGCTATGTTTATAAATGGGTTAATCCAGCCTCTAAAGCCTCTAGTGGCTGTCTCATTGACAGCCGCTAGAGGCATTTGCGTGCTTCTCACTGTGAAAATCACAGTGAGAAGACGCCAGCGTCCATAGGAAAACATTATGAATGCTTTCCTATGAGACTGGCTGAATGTGCGCGCAGCTCCTGCCGCGCATGCGCATTCAGCCGAAGAGGAGGAGAAGAGGCGGAGAGGAGGAGGAGAGCTCCCTGCCCGGCGCTGGAGAAAGGTAAGATTTTAACCACTTCCTTCACCCAGAGCCCGGTGGGAGGGGGACCCTAAGGGTGGGGGCACCCTCAGAGCCCTATAGTGCCAGGAAAACGAGTATGTTTTCCTGGCACTGTAGTGGTCCTTTAAGCTGTTTTGGTGCCTGGAGTATTCAATTTAAGAGTTTATTCACTAAATATAAAACTGTAGTAAAATTATAACCAAACTACAGCATTTAGGCCACAATAACCAAGCTCTGACTAAAGCTGAGTTTTTTTTTTCATATCAGATTCTTTTGACTATAGTTGCAGTTTGGTTTTCAATTCATTACGATTCACAATTTAGTGTTACTGAAACATAGGCAGTGCAAGATGTGAGTATTCCACTATTCTGTCTTTAAATTAAGGAACAGTCCAGGCACCATAACAACTAGCTCAGGTCACTGGCTTACCTCATTGGCTGAGAGTTTCAGCTGATGAGCTAACCAATGTGCCGGCTCAGGCATGTCCGTTTCTCGGACCTTGCTAGTGGAGGCAGAAAGAGGCGTCCGGCAAACTCCAGATAAGAGCAGAGCATTCAAAGCATTAAAAACTGTTTGACCCTTGTAATGGGGGGGGGGGGGGGTACCAGAACACTCTTGGCACCAAAACCACTACACTGAGATGATGTGGTTATGGTGTATGGAGTGTTCCTACAAAAAGTCATTTTAAGTTCTTTGTTATTGTATGTTTTTTTTTTTTATACTGGCCTTAGTGTATATTTTGCTTTGCTAAAAAAACACAACTTTATTTGATAATTAAACATTCTTTCCTTCATCATCTGCATAGCAGAACTGCAAAGTTTAACATAAGAGTTTTTATTGAAAACGAAAAACATTTTACCTGCTTGTATTTGGAATCTATTGTTCAGAGCTATCCCACTGTGTTTTCTCGGAACTGTTTCTGTGTTTGAATGCACAATATTCAAGAAACCTTATCTGAAATGTTATGTATCCATTGACACAAGAGCCAATTGAGCAGGTTCACAAAGTAGCCTAAGATATACCAGACTTGTCTGAGATCAGTAATCTGACCTGCAACCTGTGGAAACAGACTGAGGAAAGGGTTAGTGACCCCTAAGACGTCTAGTCTATTTATTTCCCTTCCAAACAAATTACTTGCTGCTCTTTGCATTTACACTGTGTTGTGTCTTAGTTTTGGCATTTCACTTTCTAATTTGAAGATAAACTAAAAAATCTAATTTGTTGGTAAGGGACACATTTCAGCTACTGGGCTCAGTAGTTTTGGCAGGTTGCACTATGTTGTGGGAGTACGTTCGTAAGGGGAATAACTAGCTGTATGCTTCATATCCATTGGTTTATTTATTAAACCAGGAACTCTGGTAAACTTAAACTGACTCCCTCCTTTAAAGTAATACTGTAACCCCCCCCCCCACCCCCACCCAAAAAAAGTATTTCATAGAGATTCTATTTCATATATATTAAATCTTTATGAAATACTAACTTTGACTGTGTTGGAATTTCAGTAAAATTCCAACCCAGTCAAGGATCTACTCAGCATAGTACTTTGTCTCTGTATATTTCCTACGCCTGACATTTCTAGACACTGAGTGGAGCTACCACTGTCTAGAAGTGTCAGTCCCCTCTCAGCTATCACCATTGACCGCTGCAGGGAATTGGCTCTGCTTGTGGAGGATACTGTACTCTCTATCCTCCATAGACCGTGATGCACCTCTCACGCATCCCCTTCCCAGCCACCAAACCCCCACCAGTAGTTTTTACTTTAAGCTAATATAACAGAGTTGGGGGGAAAAAAACTCTGAATTGGGATATTTTTTCAACTTGTCAATTCTGGCTCTACATCTTATCACAATTCAGTTATGAGTGAACATATCTATTTTCTCCTTCGCACACATACTTTCCGTGTATTTTTTCTTTAGCCACCTTTAAGTAGACCTCTTCCTTCCTTCCTTTTTTTTGTTTAATGGATTCTCATTTGCCCCTAGGGTGATTCAAAATGACCATTGGACCCCCATAACTATTTATGTTCACTGAATAGGTTGTGGTGCAAGAGGAAGCCCTGTTTCCTTGCACATATTTGCTTATACAGTTGCAAGTAAAAGTATGTGAACCCTTTTGGAATGATATAGATTTCTGCACAAATTGGTCATAAAATGTGATCTGATCATCATCTAAGTCACAACAATAGACAATCACAGTCTGCTTAAACTAATAACACACAAAGAATGAAATGTTGCCATGTTTTTATTGAACACACCATGTAAACATTCACAGTTCAGGTGGAAAAAGTATGTGAACCCCTAGACTAATGACATCTCCAAGAGCTAATTGGAGTGAGATGTCAGCCAACTGGAGTCCAATCAATGAGATGAGATTGGAGGTGTTGGTTACAGCTGCCCTGCCCTATAAAAAAAAACACACACCAGTTCTGGATTTGCTTTTCACAAGAAGCATTGCCTGATGTGAATGATGCCTTGCATAAAAGAGCTCTCAGAAGACCTACGATTAAGAATTGTTGACTTGCATAAAGCTAGAAAGGGTTATAAAAGTATCTACAAAAGCCTTGCTGTTCATCAGTCCACGGTAAGACAAATTGTCTATAAATGGAGAAAGTTCAGCACTGTTGCTACTCTCCCTAGGAGTGGCCGTCCTGTAAAGATGACTGCAAGAGCACAGCGCAGACTGCTCAATGAGGTGAAGAAGAATCCTAGAGTGTCAGCTAAAGACTTACAAAAGTCACTGGCAAATGCTAACATCCCTGTTAGCGAATCTACAATACGTAAAAAATAAATAAGAATGGATTTCATGGGAAGATACCACAGAGGAAGCCACTGCTGTCCAAACAAAACATTGCTGCACGTTTACAGTTTGCACAAGAGCACCTGGATGTTCCACAGCAGTACTGGCAAAATATTCTGTGGACAGATGAAACCAAAGTTGAGTTGTTTGGAAGAAACACACAAGACTTTGTGTGGCGAAAAAAAGGCACAGCACACCAACATCAAAACCTCATCCCAATTGTGAAGTATGGTGGTGGGGGCATCATGGTTTGGGGCTGCTTTGCTGCATCAGGGCCTGGACGGATTGCTATCATCGAAGGAAAAATGAATTCCCAAGTTTATCAAGACATTTTGCAGGATAACTTAAGGCCATCTGTCTACCAGCTGAAGCTCAACAGACGATGGGTGTTGCAACAGGACAATGACCCAAAGCATAGAAGTAAATCAACAACAGAATGGCTTAAACAGAAGAAAATACTCCTTCTGAAGTGGCCCAGTCAGAGTCCTGACCTCAACCCGATTGAGATGCTGTGGCATGACCTCAAGAAAGCGATTCACACCAGACATCCCAAGAATATTGCTGAACTGAAACAGTTCTGTAAAGAGGAATGGTCAAGAATTACTCCTGACCGTTGTGCACGTCTGATCTGCAACTACAGGAAACGTTTGGTTGAAGTTATTGCTGCCAAAGGAGGTTCAACCAGTTATTAAATCCAAGGGTTCACATACTTTTTCCACCTGCACTGTGAATGTTTACATGGTGTGTTCAATAAAAACATGGCAACATTTCATTCTTTGTGTGTTATTAGTTTAAGCAGACTGTGATTGTCTATTGTTGTGACTTAGATGATGATCAGATCACATTTTATGACCAATTTGTGCAGAAATCCATATCATTCCAAAGGGTTCACATACTTTTTCTTGCAACTGTAGCTGCCCTGCATTGCAAACATTGCAGTGGCTTTAACACTGCCCCTTTTCTATGTGATGTAAAAGGAAACATGTAGGCTTCTTTAATTGGCTGTACAAATATTTACACAGAGGTTGCAGTCCATGTGTGTCTCCACCTCCCCTGTGTAATTCTCTGAGACAGCTTGAGCTGCAGTTGTGCACATTAATTGTCAATTGCTCAGATGATAATGTGCACAGTCCCATTTGCAAAACATCATAGCAACTTGCACTAGGCTTGTGAATGGCAAGAAATTTCGGTTCTGCTCAATAATTGTTTCTAAAGATAGAAAATGTTTTAGGCATGCCTGAAATGGTGCTGGATGTTGGTTCATCTGGGCCGTGTATACATTTGGGAGAACAGGAAAACTCTCAGCAGCGTTTCGACCTGCTAAGAGGCCTTTATCAAGCTTGATAAAGACCTCTTAGCAGGTCGAAACGTTGCTTTGTTGATCCAATAGACCTGCCTGTGTCTTGAATTCTGTGAGTGCCTGGAGATTTTTCCTGTTCTCTGTGATACATATTCTGGATTTGCTGGTCCTGCTTCGGTGTACATGGAGTGCAGTTCTTATTTTTTCGTTTAACAGTATATAAATTTGGGAACTGAATCAGAAGAACAAACAAAAAATTTCTGAAAATAGGTCAATCCTTGTGTTGCAAAAATATATGTAATATAATATATATTATATTATGTATATATTTTGCTACACAGATACAAGCATGTTCCTGCCTTCCTTGGTTCACAAATCAAACAGAAAAACTAACTAATAGAGGGGAAACTAGGAGGAGCGGTAAAAAAAGTCCATATTTATATTATATAGTTATTAAAGATTTACTATATAAATACAAATACTTCTCCTGTTTTTTCCTCTATTGCTCACTTTTCACTTGCTCTGTGAACAAAATCAACATTTACTGGCTGTCCCTTAGCCATCCATCATCTTTGTTTCCCAGCAATCATCGCCATGGGCAGAATTCAGAATATTGATCCCGCCCGTAAACCTGTTCAGCATTGCTCAGTTCGGTTAGTCCGTAAATTGGGTATATTATGACTCGGAATTTGAAATTCGGCCAAACGCCTTTGCTAAGTGAAATGTTGCTGGGGGTTGAACTACATATCCCACCTATCTTTTACTGGAAAGTGGATTTGAAAAAGACTAGGCCCCATGGATCATAATGAGAGGGTCCTGTTTTCAGATTTAGGAGATAGAAGTGCCTTTGAGGGAGAGATTTAGGTAAACCAATCTTCCATTCAGTTTCTCCTCCTTGCTGCTGTAGACCAATAGATGTCACATCCTGGCCAAGTCTTTAAAAAAATTTTTTTATCAAAAAATGACAGTGATCAGCAGAATGTTGGACCCCTACTTCGCATTTCCGCTTTGATCTATGGTCACCTTTTTTGGGTTATTTTTCCATCATTATATTGCGTTATGTTCCATTTTGTGTACTCTTGCCTTTGTCATATTGTACTTATGTTCCAATGTGTGTGTGTGTGTGTGTGTGTGTGTGTGTGTATATATATATATATATATATATTTTTTTTTTTTTTGTCATGTGACTTCCTTATGACCAAAAAAATCACATGATTTTAATTTTCTGCTTATCTTTCTCCACAAATATATGGCTATTTTATCTTCCTTATAAACACATTTTAATATTAGCAGTAAAGTCATCCCTTCATCGTGTGTTTTAGACAGTATTCACCTGTGAATTCTTTTTAATTTTTTTTTTTTTTATAATTTGCAGCAACCTATAAAAGCAGTAGATACCAGGACTCTTCATACACTTTGAAAATGTCCTATTTACAGGCAAAATACATTGGTGTCTACTTTTTTTTTTCTTCTTGTTTTTTGTTTATAAAATGTTTCTAGTCTATTTATATTGGACCTTCATTTCACTTTGCTGCATCCTACAAGATACATTAATGGTAGGAATTAAAGCCATTTAGCTAACGTGGATTAAGGAACCTATATTGCTCTTAAAGCTATAATAAGGTTTTCCTTCGTTTTACTCACCATTATACGCAGTGTGCACTATATATGTGTCTCTTTCTTGCATATTCACACTGAAGATACTTGAAGGAATATTATGGAGTGTGACAAAAGCACCGTCACTGGGATTTGGAGAGGCCTGCTTGCCAGCCTCTTGCCCTGTGACTATGGCCCCTGGGATGTGTTGCCATTTAAACACTATATTTGGGCATATTGGATTTTAACATACTGTTTCTGCCCCTTTAACGGCACTTTAATATTGACATTTGCACGAATGGCCTCCGTTCGTCTATTTGAACTACCGTTAACATTGGAAATAGACCAGCCGCACAGCCAAATTCTCTGGAACTGTTTTGGGCATGAAATCATGCATGCGGTCAGTCAAAAGAGACTTCCATGGAACTTTGGAAACCCTGCTCTGATCTGGGTGATTTTTGGATATGTTGTTCATCCAGATCAGGGCTATCAGGGGATATCTTATGTTTTGGGGTGTTTTCTAGACTTTGGGGAGAATGTGTGATTTTCTGCCTGTGGATAATTAGGTTATTGTATTAGCTGTTTTAATTAGATCACAGGCAGAGGATTGTTTGCTGTATGTGGGAGTGTCGGTCATTACTACAGTGACTTATTGGTTTGTATTCTTTGTGTGCCTGTGTACCATCAGGTCCAGGGGGGTGTGCCTCTGGCCTGAGAAACTGTATAAATTGTGAGTGCTTGCTGCCATTAAACAGACCTGCTTACCCCTTCATGAAGTCTTGGCTCATGTTTGAGGGATTGGAGACCTACACTCTGGGGATTGCTAAAATCACTATACTCCCCAGAGTATCATCATTAGCCCTTGTAAGAGCTGTTCTTGTTTCTGCTCTCTGGATTTAGGAGAGGTTCACCCACTGTAAGCTGGAGCCCGGTCTTGGGTCAATGGTGGGTGGAGGATGGCGAAATCCCAAACCAGGCTGCGGTGGTTCGTGGGTTTGGCGGTGGTTGTGGTGTCGAGTGCGGTGCTGATGGTCCTTGGTGAGCACTAGGAGCATAGGTCGACGGAGGCACCCAGTCGGGGTGGCAGGCGTTCCGTCACATGGGGAATTAATGAAATCATAGTGGAGCCATGCTGAGCGCTGAAATATGTGAGTGTATATACATTAATTTTATTACTGTTACTTGTCCTTCAAGAACTTACTACACCATAGAGTAGGAGTAGACACCCTATTGTCAGATGTCGTGAACTATGTGACGGAACCTACCGCCAGTTTCGTCTGTTTTGCCCCATTTCGCATGTTTTTTTCCCTTTTCTGTTCGGGAGTTATTGAATACGAACCTCTTCCATTCATCTCCCGAATAAGGACCACCCCTGTACCCCATTAGAACGTTCACACCAGCAACTTAAGTGCAAAATCGCAAGGGAAGTAATTAATGAATGCTTCCCCTGGGTGGCCACAATTTTGTAAAACCGAACACGTGGCAGACAAAAGCCATTTTGTCCCGCACTCAGGGACTTGTAAATATCACTAAAACTTAACTTTTAATGTTCAAAATAAATCAAATCAATGTTTCAGCCCCATATTTGGGATTTCATCAGTATGGTAAAAAACAAAAAACAAAAAAAAAATTTTGTTTTTTTGTTTGTTTTTTTTTACCATCCTGGTGAAAGCCCAAATATGGGGCTGAAACATTGATTTGATTTATTTTGAACATTAAAAGTTAAGTTTTAGTGATATTTACAAGTCCCTGAGTGCAGTCATTCTCTGTTTTTCTATCTATCTATCTATATATATATATATATATATATATATATATAATTATGCGCGCGTACACACACACTTTACTCTCATTTAAGGTTGTCATTACGGGTACACTTTAATGCAAGAACATAGGATTCCTGGAGACATTAGGTGGCTTTTTGTTACATATGTGTTCACTTATCCCAGTGCCTTCTACTGCAGAGTGAAGTAACGCTACTAAATCACTGAGCACACAAAGAAGCTTTAAAATCATCATCCTATTTAAGCTTAAAGAGAAACTATAGTGTGAGGAAAACAAACTTGTTTTCCTGAAACTATAGCTTCTTCCTCTGAAAGGCCCCCCCTTTCCCCCATAGTACAGAAGGGGTTAAAAATCCCTTCTGTCATTTACCTGGATCTAGCGCTGATGTCAAACGGGTCCGCCTTCTCTCCTTCCCGCCAATGAGACCTAACGCGCATAAGCGGTAATGGCTGCACTTGCATTAGGATTTATCCAAAGGAAAGCTTTAGTCTATGCTTTCCTATGAGAGTTTGGGTGATGTGGACGTCCAGCATCAGGCAAGCAAAGGTCGCCTAACATCCTGGAATTCCCTCTAGTGGCTGTCTGGTAGATGGCCACTAGAGGTTGCGTTCACCCAGGCAGGTAATTATTGCAGTTTATTAAAAACTGCAATAATTACAATTGCAGGGTTAAGGGACCTGGGACAGTGCATCCACACCACTTTAATGAGCTGAATTGATCTGAGTGCCTATAGTATCCCTTTAATATATTGGAAGTAACTATATGCTCTTTCCTTTGCACTGAGATGGTAGATATTTTTGTTGTTGTTGTAACAGAACAGCCCAGGTAATATGAAGTCGCAGATTACCAGCGAGATGCAGTTACTAGTACCATTTTTGAGACCGGTGATAATATCAGTTTTCTGTAAATCAAAGAAGCAGACTACTATTTTTGAATACAGAAGAAAAAGGAAAAAAAATGATTATATGATTTATTAAAACATAACTTTTATTAATCTAGATATTAAAATTTGTGAAATAAGCTGCCTGTAATGAAATACACGTTTAGCACGTGCATTTCATTTTCTAAAACAGCTAGGCATAAAGGAAATAAAATAAAAAAATAAAAAAAATTTCTTCCTTTTCCACTTGTACTATTTAAGGAAACTTTTTTTGATTACTTTTGGATAACTTCCAGTCACCATATTCGTGACAGAAATTTCATACCTCTCAACATTTGTATCCGTTCAGTTTCCAGTCCAACCAAAAAAAAAAAAAAAAGGTAGTATGGTCGCACAATTTTATTTTTCAACCATCTTTCTTGTGCACAGTTGTGTATATGTTAGCATTTTTCAATAGGTGTGTTGAAATTACATATGTTTTGCATTTTCGTAACTCCCGTTATTTGTCAAAATTGATAATGAGTGGAAAAATATAATGTTACAGGCCTGGCTACTATTTATGGAATATAGAACATTTTTTTTTCCTTTCAAGTATGTTTGAGCATCTTTCAAACTTTATTTTTTTTAATTCTATTATTTTTACTTTTCATTCATTTCTAAGAATTAGTATAAGAACACATACCTGCCTCATTTGCTTTGCTGTACTGTGGCCATATAATGGAAAACTATTAGCCTCCAAATTCCCCAGATCTCAATCTGAATGAGCATCTGTGGGATGTGCGAGAACAACAAATCCAATCCATGGAGGCCCCACCTCCCAACTTATAGGACTTAAAAGATTTGCATTTAATGTCTTGGTGTCAGATGACACATTCAAATGTCTTGTGGAGCGGCATATCAGGGTTGTTTTGTCAGCATGAGTTGTACCTACATGATATTAAGCATTTGGTTTTAATATTGGGATCGGTGTAATCGAGTGGTTAGACCCATCCATTATGCACAATAAACATGTATGTAATTTCACTCTATATTATTACCTATACATATTAATCAATCACACACAATAGATATGTCCCCCCCCCCAGACATAAGTGATTCAATCCTTTCCCTCATACACCCTGCTTGTACTTTGCTTACTGATATTATAAGTCATAATAGACAAATGTATCATGGACTCTTCATAGAATCTACATATTTAATCCCCTCACATAAACACCACAGTGGCAAATGCGTTCAAAGTTGCCAGCTGTCCAGAATATTCTGGGACAATCATTTCTATGGACTGTGGGTTTTTCAAAATGTCAAAATAGTGATTTTTAAATATATAATCTATAACATAATTTAAAGAGAGGATGTGGCTAAAAGAAGATTTTTGAGAAATGAGAGAGCTGAAAGGGGGCATGTGGTGATGAGTAAGGGGGCACTTAGTATTATTAGAGAGAGAGCTATAAAGCAAAGAAATACATTGAGATAAAATTGTGTGTGCTACAGTGACCCAGGAGTTTTCCTTTTAATTTGGTGGGATTACCACTTTATATAGTATGTATATGGCCTTAAGGGTTTATATTCTATGTAAAATATTATGGTGGTTTATGGTCTCTTCTTGTAGCATAATTATGATTTGAATCATACTGTGGAGTCATAAAAATTTTAAGGAACGCTATAGTCACCTAAATTACTTTAGCTAAATAAAGCAGTTTTAGTGTATAGATCATTCCCCTGCAATTTCACTGTTCAATTCACTGTCATTTAGGAGTTAAATCACTTTGTTTCTGTTTATGCAGCCCTAGCCATACCTCCCCTGGCTATGATTGACAGAGCCTGCATGAAAAAAAAACTGGTTTCACTTTCCAACAGATGTAATTTACCTTAAATAATTGTATCTCAATCTCTAAATTGAACTTTAATCACATACAGGAGGCTCTTGCAGGGTCTAGCTAGCTATTAACATAGCAGGGGATAAGAAAATCGTAATTAAACTTGCAATAAAGAAAGCCTAAATAGGGCTCTCTTTACAGGAAGTGTTTATGGAAGGCTGTGCAAGTCCCATGCAGGGAGGTGTGACTAGGGTTCATAAACAAAGGGATTTAACTCCTAAATGGCAGAGGATTGAGCAGTGAGGCTATACACCAAAACTGCTTCATTAAGCTAAAGTTGTTCAGGTGACTATAGTTTCCTTTTAAATCTCATGGTACATGTGAAGGGCATGGCAGTGTAAGGGACAAAATACACACAAATTACATTTATTGTTTCGTAAAATCCATTCATTCATTCACATATTCTCATACAGTATGCAATGGCACACTTTTTCATTCATTCAAACACTATATGTATGTTCTACACATATATATACATTTCTAAGTATTTAAACTTTGCGAGGAGCAACAGCTGAGTGGTAGTTTGTTACAATGTTCCATTTTTGCTTTGATATCATGTGAGTCAACTTTTTACTAAATGATTATTTTTTTTTCCTATAAGATAAGTGCTCCATATACATGTACCTGCACTCTTTCTCCATCTACCACAGTTTTATTAATTTTTATATATATATATATATATATCTCTATCTATCTCTGGGATGCATTATTGATGATAATTATTAGAACAAAGGTGGCCGAAATGTTTCTTTTTCAGGCTATTTAAAATGACTCTGTTAACTTTGCGTGTTTTCAGGATATTGCCATTTGGTGTGTATTGGCCCAGGGGAGCAGAAGAAGGTAGGTTTTACTTACCTGACTGTGTTCCTTAGTGGCTGACGTCATCTTAATCGGGTGCTTCTTGAGCTCCTGGTACTTCATCTACTTGGTACCAACTTCTGTGCTGTTGTCTCCCATATGTGCGAGAGTATGACCCTGATGTCTACGAAATATTTGGTGAGACCCCGGGAGCCACCATAGGCAATGTCTTTTTCCCTCTGACACCGTGATGGCTTGGGGGACTTGACAGAGCTTTATAGTGGTAGCTTGACAGAGCTCTATAGTGGTAGTCCCTGCATCTTAATCCGGTGCTTCTTGCGCTCCTGGTGCTTCATCTACTTGATACCAATGTCCGTGCTGTTGTCTCCCACATGTGCGAGAGTATGACCCTTATGTCTATGAAATATTTGGTGAGGCCCCGGGAGCCACCATAGGCAATGCCTTTATCCCTCTGCCACTAGTGATGGCTTGGGGGACTTGACAGAGCTTTATAGTGGTATTCCCTGCATATTTTAAATGCATTGGAATTTCAATGAAATTCCAACACCGTCTTTAGAAGCATTTCGTAGAGATGTTATCTTTATGAAATGCAAATTTATTTTTTTTGGGGGTGGGGGGGAGGGCTGACTTTACAGGCTATTTAGAAGAATGCATGAACAAGACTATGGGACTTAGGTCTGTTTTGCCTTTTGACTTTAGTATGATGAACCTATTCTGGTGCACGTTTCCCTTCTGTATGTGTACGTGCATTTTTTTATATCTGATGTTAAGAACAAGCTATTATCACTCAAGAAAAGTATTTGCGAAGACAAGAAAAATAAAAGTAGTTCATTCACTGCCTGCTCTTTGGTAAACAATGGTGCTTTCATCTTCAAGTTTGGTGCATTGTAATTTTGGACCTTGCTACTTGCATTGAAATTGGAGCCATTTCTTCCTGGCAGTATTGGATGTCAAATGTGCAATCACGCAACTGAAATAACAGCATCATGATGAAAATGGACAGTAGTGCATTGTACTTGCTTTATGAAAAAGAACACAAAAGGCAATCCCAAACAACAAAATCTCTGTACAGATGCAAAACTCCATTCATTTAAAATGTTTACACCCCATGGTACAAAAAAAGGTTTGAAGCAGAAATACTTTGTATAGTTTCCTCTTACTGTAATATTTTTTTTAAATAAATATTTATTAATTTAGCAGTTTCCCCTTGATCTGCCACACTTCCTTTAAATCAGTGGTAAATAGATCTCCCGGTCTTCATGCTGCCAGTGGTCTCTGATGAAGCTGCCATATGTATAAGCACAATGTGAGTCAGACCTTTCTTCATGGTTTTTAACAGCACATTTATTTTGATAGCCTTTAGTTTTAATATGAGCATAATGGTATAAGGTGGCCTGATGACTAGAGTAAGCAGGAGTGTTTTGAAGTCAGTATTGAAGTAGGAGGTAGGTTTCAGAATTATATGGAGTAGGTCTATTGATTGTAAAGACAGTTTTTTTTTTTTTTTTGGTTTACTACTACAGCGATGGTGATCAATTATTAGTGCAATCGATCCATGTGCTCAAATCCATATAGATGAATAATATCCCTTAACCCCTTAAGGACCAAACTTCTGGAATAAAAGGGAATCATGACATGTCATGTGTTTTTAAGGGGTTAATCTTTAGCATGTCCCATTCACACTCCCTGCCAGGGCAGTTATATCATATCCTGAATGTACAATATGTAAGCAATTTCTGTGCAATTTGAAAATAATTAAATACATTTCTATACAATGGTTTTGCCATTTCCCAGTGATCTGAGTTTGTTTAAATGGCAAACCGAAAATACTACATGGTTTTCCATGAGGCTATAACGTTGCCATACTGAATTTATCTAAGCGTGTATTGCCAACTGTAAGAGATACACTTTGAGAGGGACACTTATTGAGCTATGTGGCTCAATGCAGCTATGCTGAACTTCAGCTGAGCGTTACACATGGAAGAATGTATGCTGATTGCCAGGCTTGGACTTGCGTACAGGCAACTGTGTCTTATGCCTGGAGGACCATGATGGCCATGGAAATAGTGAGAGCGAGCCCACAGATGGAAATCAGGGCCGGTGGGGAGGTCAAAGATCTCCCTCACCAGCCCACTTCACCCCCAAGGCAAGAGGAAGTAGGAAGCATTTGATCACACATACACACACTCAAACCACTCCTATAAGCACACTACATCTTCTGCAAACGCACACTACATGCTCTATGTACATACACACTCTAGCTCCTATGCATATGCATGCACATTACAATCCCTATACACAAGCACCCACACTACAGCCCCTATAACATACATGCACACTACAGCCTACTAAACACACACTAGATCACCTATACACACAAACCCATTCACAACAGCCCTTAGATACACACACACAAACACACTTCCACTCCTATACACACACTGCACCCTCTAGATCAAGCTTCCTCAAACTCCGGCCATCCAGATGTTGCTGAACTACAACTCCCATGATTCTATTTATGAAATAGGCTGAGAATCATGGGGGTTGTAGTTCAGCAACATCTGGAGGGTGGGAGTTTGGGGAAGCCTGCTCTAGATGCACACTAAACCTTCTACATATACAGTTGCAAGAAAAAGTATGTGAACCATTTTGGAATGATATAGATTTCTGCACAAATTGGTCATAAAATGTGATCTGATCATCATCTAAGTCACACCAATCACAGTCTGCTTAAACTAATAACACACAAAGAATGAAATGTTGCCATGTTTTTATTGAACACACCATGTAAACATTCACAGTGCAGGTGGAAAAAGTTTGTGAACCCTTGCATTTAATAACTGGTTGAACCTCATTTGGCAGCAATAACTTCAACCAAACGTTTCCTGTAGTTGCAGATCAGACGTGCACAACGGTCAGGAATAATTCTTGACCATTCCTCTTTACAGAACTGTTTCAGTTCAGCAATATTCTTGGGGTGTCTGGTGTGAATTGCTTTCTTGAGGTCATGCCACAGCATCTCAATCGGGTTAAGGTCAGGACTCTGACTGGGCCACTTCAGAAGGAGTATTTTCTTCTGTTGTTGATTTACTTCTATGCTTTGGGTCATTGTCCTGTTGCAACACCCATCTTCTGTTGAGCTTCAGCTGGTAGACAGATGGCCTTAAGTTCTCCTGCAAAATGTCTTGATAAACTTGGGAATTCATTTTTCCTTCGATGATAGCAATCCGTCCAGGCCCTGATGCAGCAAAGCAGCCCCAAACCATGATGCCCCCACCACCATACTTCACAGTTGGGATGAGGTTTTGATGTTGGTGTGCTGTGCCTTTTTTTCGCCACACATAGTGTTGTGTGTTTCTTCCAAACAACCAACTTTGGTTTCATCTGTCCACAGAATATTTTGCCAGTACTGCTGAGGAACATCCAGGTGCTCTTGTGCAAACTGTAAACGTGCAGCAATGTTTTGTTTGGACAGCAGTGGCTTCCTCTGTGGTATCATCCCATGAAATCCATTCCTGTTTAGTTTTTTACGGATTGTAGATTCGCTAACAGGGATGTTAGCATTTGCCAGTGACTTTTGTAAGTCTTTAGCTGACACTCTAGGATTCTTCTTCACCTCATTGAGCAGTCTGCGCTGTGCTCTTGCAGTCATCTTTACAAGACGGCCACTTCTAGGGAGAATAGCAGCAGTGCTGAACTTTCTCCATTTATAGACAATTTGTCTGAACAGCAAGGCTTTTGGAGATACTTTTATAAACCTTTCCAGCTTTATGCAAGTCAACAATTCTTAATCGTAGGTCTTCTGAGAGCTCTTTTGTGCGAGGCATCATTCACATCAGGCAATGCTTCTTGTGAAAAGCAAATCCAGAACTGGTGTGTGTTTTTTATAGGGCAGGGCAGCTGTAACCAACACCTCCAATCTCATCTCATTGATTGGACTCCAGTTGGCTGACATCTCACTCCAATTAGCTCTTGGAGATGTCATTAGTCTAGGGGTTCACATACTTTTTCCACCTGCACTGTGAATGTTTACATGGTGTGTTCAATAAAAACATGGCAACATTTCATTCTTTGTGTGTTATTAGTTTAAGCAGACTGTGATTGTCTATTGTTGTGACTTAGATGATGATCAGATCACATTTTATGACCAATTTGTGCAGAAATCCATATCATTCCAAAGGGTTCACATAATTTTTCTTGCAACTGTACATATTCATTCTACATCCTCTAGACACACACACTCTACAGCCACTAGTCACACATAGTACATCACAGACAGTCCCCTCTACCCACACACAATCCCACATGCAACCTCAAAACACTCACAACACCACAGGTAGTCTTGCCACATATACACAAAACCTTTTACCAAACCTGTCCCACTATTCTCCTTTGGTATCCTGCTTATTGGGATATCAGAAACAATTCTACAGTAAACACAGCACAAGCGTGTCATTAAAAGAGTTTGTGCTGTGTAAAACATACACAGAACATTTTCCCCAAGCAAAATTTCTGTGCTTGGGGTGTCCTGGAGTGACATCAACCTAACATACTCACTTTTAGTGGACATACACATCATTAGTGATAAAATAGCTTCTCTCTGTCCCGATCCCCTCCAATTCAGCTGCTCTGCCTTTAAGGACACATGACATGTGTGACATGATTCCCTTTTATTCCATAAGTTTGGTCCTTAAGGTGTTAAATTCCCAAACAAATTTTTATTTTTAGACTATGTAATAGCTTCAGTGCAATCTGAAAATAATTCAGTACATTAGTATGCAAACATTTAGCCATTTAGCCATTTCCAGCTGATTTGAGTTTGTTTAAATTGAAAACTGGAAAGAAAAACACATTTTTTTCCAGGGTGTGTAACTAAGTGGCTACTATAAAAGACTAGACATACCCCATTTTCAATACCCTAGGTTGTCTACTTTTTCAAATGGTATGTCTTTATGGGGGTAATTTTCATTCCTGGACTGCCATATGGTGTCAAAGGCAGCATAGGCCCAGCCAACCAATCTGACAAATTTCAGTGTGTAAAAGCTGAAATAGATAAGCCCAATATTTTACCCTGTAGCCTCCTAGAACCCCATTGAACCTGTACATGGTGGGGTAATGTTGTACTGGTGAGACATCACTGAACACAAATAATTTTAGAACAGTAAAACATATAAGGATGACTATATATTTCATCAAAGTGCAGCTTTTGTGTGAAAAATGCAAAAAACAAATATGAGCACTAATTTTGGCCATGGTTTGTAACTACTAAATAAGACTGGCTATTAAAAAGTACTGGACATACTCTGGGCCGGTGCAAGGATTTTTGGGTACACAGATGAAAATGATTTTGCCCCCCACCCCCACACAAAAAAAAGTATCTTCACCTGTGTGCCTCTTAACTCGCCTTTCTTTTGTTTCTTATCCCCTTTTTAAAAAATGTCTGAAACCCCTTTAGTGTATCTTATCCCCTATTTTTCCCCATTGTGTGTCTTACACCTCCTTTGTGTATCACTTACAACCCCCCTTTTTGTGTCTAACTCCACCCAGCCCCTCTGTGTCTTTTACCTCTTCTACAGCCCCTCTGTGTCTCTCTCACCCCCTTTGTATTTCCATCCCCAGGCCATTCTGTGTATCTTTCATCCCCAGCCCCTCTGTGCATCTTCCCCTCCCTGTCCCTTAGTGTTCCTCTCCCCTCCCTTCCCTGTCCCGTAGTGTTCCTCTCCCCTCCCTTCCCTGTCCCTTAGTGTTCCTCTCCCCACTTACCTGTCTCTTAATGTCCCCATCCTCCTTAGTGTTTCTCACCCCCCCCTTACCTGTGCCTCTCCCCCCCCTTAGAGTTTTTCTCCACTCCTCCTCTCCCTTAGTATTTATCTTTCCTTCCCTTCCCTCTCCTCCCCAGTCCCTAAGGGTCCCTCCCATCCTCAGTTTTCTTCACCTTCCTGTTTGGTGTGCCTCCTACCTCTTTAGCTCTTTTGTAGCAGGGTTGAGCGGCGTAGACCGCGGTACAGGAGTTTGTTTCCTGTACCTGGCCGGACTGACAGGAAGTGCTCTCTCAGTGGACATACTGAATTTTAAATACCCCGGGTTGTCTAGATTTGCACATGGTAAGCCTTGATGGGGGTCATTTTCGTACCTGGGCTACCATAAGGAATCAAATGCAACATAGGTCATGCAAACCAATCTGCCAGATTTCAGTATTTAAAAACTGAAAAGAGCAAGCCCTATGTTTGGCCCTGTAACTTTCTAAAACACCATGAAACATGTACATGGTTAAGGGGGGAGGGGTGGGGTGGTCATTCTTCTACTTGTGGGCCATCACAGCATACATACCAATGTTTTTATTGCAGCAAAAGCTAACAGTATTATGACATTTATAGTTAAAATAGCTTGCTGAACTTGAAAAATAACTGAATTTCTTAATTCCTCACACATCAATTCATATTTTATTTATATTAACCCCTTAAGGACACATGACATGTGTGACATGTCATGATTCCCTTTTATTCCAGAAGTTTGGTCCTTAAGGGGTTTAATTATGTTACATAAATATTTGATGTGAAATGAAAGTCTTATTTCTCCTGAACAAAATTAAATATAATAAGTGTTAAACAATGGGTTGAACAAGGATAAAGCTAAAATGCTTGGTTTTGTTTTGGTCAGTACAGTTGCCTCCATCCTTAATGTTGTGGCTGATCAGTTTATACTTTTTTTATTGTTCATATATAGCATTCCATTTAATCAATACATATATCGTAGTCGTCTTCACCCCTTATCTAGTAGGGACTCTTAAATAAGACTTTCTTATTCCATATCACTCACAATTTGTTTTTGCATGTTTCTCTCAGCATGGTTTTTGGTAGATTTAATTTAGTAGGAAATTATAGATATGTAGGTATTTTATTCAAGTTAATACTTGTATTATTTGGATTTCTGGACCTACTTGTAAATGTGTTAGAAGTATTGTAAGGGGCCTTTATATTCAAACTTTATTTTGTCCTTAATTTCAAATGATCTGTCTAGCAGTAGAAACTAGTAATGTTCTTTTGATGTTCTGTATGGTTGGCTACTCAACTCCCCTATTTTTGATTTTGCTTTTTTGTTTAATTATTTTTTTTTTATTTGATTAACTATATGGCTAAGCCATATAGGAGTGACTAGTAACCCTATAACTCCAGATTAGGATACATGAAATATGGGGTTTCTAATCTACATTGTATTAATCTTTCCAAATTGTTAGACAATCCTTTTAATTTGTTGGCAGGACAGCTGCACACCTGTTCAACTTACAGGCTACTATTCTAAAGATCTATTTTAGGTTTTTTAAAAAAATAATAATTTCTAAAGCCTCTGTACAATTTGACTTTGTAGTGTGTAAAGAGGAGAATGAATGATAAAATTGTCACCACAAGTTCCATCAGCAAAAGCAGGTAACTGCTGCCTTATCCAGTACCTTTTACTGTCTGTTCTAAAGAGGACTTATTGTCTACTCATTGGGTCCAGTCACAGGACACCTCGGTAACTATTAGCCTATTTTCTTGCCAAAAACTTACTGGAATTTTTATTTTCTTATAATTTTATATAGGATTTTTAAACCATGCAAAGTGCAATATTTTTATAAGACCATTAGTAATGTTTGGCGTGAACTAAAATTGTAATTCCTTACGGTATATTCATTTAGAACAAATCATGTTAGATGTATTTAGTCAAAAGCTTTCCTTGCACTTGGCCAAATCCTAGTTGATGCCTTCAGATCTGCTTCAACAGATCACATTCACAGATGGAAACATAAAAAGCGATTGTTTTTCATGCTTATTCCAAACGCCTCCTTTTCCCTTTTTTTGTTGCTCCAGCAAACACTTGTGCCTGAATAAATTTATAGAGAAGCTAAATTTGCCTTCCAATAGAGCTGATACAAATTTAGCTCTCACAATTTTTGGAAACGACACAGATCTCTCTTTGAAACATACTGCATGCTTTCAGACTGACTCATTTCAAATCTCTTGTTCTTATTTATGTAGCTGTGCATATTATGTCCATTCTACAAGAATAAAAGCGCAAACAATAACACGTTTTTGATAGCTTCTCTTCAGCCATTTTGCTTATGCAAAATAAAATTGTTCTCCCATAAACTGCAGCCAGCTTTCTTAAGGTTTGTGACGTTTGGATGAAAAACCTTCATAGTGACTTGTGCCAAACATGTGCCTTTACACATGCCACTCTGGAAAGCCTAATCCAGTCTCCATGAGGGATTTTCTGGATATTCAGGATTTGCCACATGTCCAGATATTACCTGTCCCAATTAGACCAGACAAAAAAATTAGGGCTTATACAGTTGGTGTCTTACCTGGTGTTGGATTTATGCAGCTGACATATTATCTGTTGTGATTTTTTAATAGAACGCAAAAACCCTGCAACTAATGGGTCCATTTAAGCCCATTGAACATAATATTAAAATTTTCTCAATGTAATTAAAGCGACACGGTAAGCATCTTAAGCACTATGGTTCATGTTTCCTGCTCTACTGTATGGCACAGAGCAGAGGCTGAGGAACCCCTTGGCTGTGCTGGGCAGTGTTAGGGACACACGGGATTATAATCTGCACCTGTGTAGACCACATGCTCCCATTGGGCACCACCATAAATTCATTTTTATTTAATGTATTGCTGAATTAGCAGTATGTTCAGCATGTCATGTTTAAAAACAGAATGGCACGAAGGGCATGTGGTGGGGCAAGACAGTATACAGGAGGGCAGTGTTCTCTGAAACCACTACATGTGATTACAAGGTGCACACAGGGAATTTGGGACATTTAAAATCTACACTAGTACGCATTTCACACAAATCTAAATATAGCAAAAATAAGGCCTACTTAAGAATCTAAACACAAAACTTTATTGCACTAATTTTTAATTATTGAAATGTTCCTTAACTTCTGAATCTACAGTTCCTCTTTAAACCATTAGTTTAATGACAACATACAAAGATTTAGATGATTTTATTATGTTCAACTGAAGTAATGTTTTATAAATCATGCTACAAATATAAAAAATATCTACTACTTTGTGCATTCATGCATATTTACCAGTACTTGACTCTATACAATATTAGCATACAATGGATGTCAAGATGCTACTTTGTTACCAAACAAGAAGCCTTTTCTTCTGTTAGTATAACTGAGAATCATATTATGAAGACAGTTCCTTTTTTATGCTAAAAAAAAAAAAAACTCTACTGAAAAGGTGAGAGAAGTTTGTCAGAGGCCAAGGTGGCAAGTTCTACGTGAGAAGGATGAGCCAAAACAAGTACAGAGCAGAATATAAAACCTCTTCCTGGATGGAGAAAAACCTATTTGCGGGAAATTGCCTGAAAAAAGTATTGGTTAAAGAACAAGAAAAATAGATTATTGCTTATTTATATATATGGTTTTTTTTTACCCTTAAAGTAGCAGGAAATGTATTAACTGAAACTTTGTTTTTGCTGTGTTATATTATTTTATATGTGTTATACATCTGGGATACCTGCTTGAAGTAATATGTGCATGTTCTGCGTCTATCTTAAAGGAACACTATAGTCACCTAAATTACTTTAGCTAAATAAAGTAGTTTTAGTGTATAGTTCATTCCCCTGCAATTTCACTGCTCTATTCACTGTCATTTAGGAGTTAAATCACTTTGTTTCTGTTTATGCAGCCCTAGCCACACCTCCCCTGGCTATGATTGACAGAGCCTGCATGAAAAAAAAAACTGGTTTCACTTTCAAACAGATGTAATTTACCTTAAATAATTGTATCTCAATCTCTAAATTGAACTTTAATCACATACAGGAGGCTCTTGAAGGGTCTAGCAAGCTATTAACATAGCAGGGGATAAGAAAATCTTAATTAAACAGAAATTGCAATAAAGAAAGCCTAAATAGGGCTCTCTTTACAGGAAGTGTTTATGGAAGGCTGTGCAAGTCACATGCAGGGAGGTGTGACTAGGGTTCATAAACAAAGGGATTTAGCTCCTAAATGGCAGATGATTGAGCAGTGAGGCTGCAGGGGCATGTTTTATACACCCAAACTGCTTCATTAAGCTAAAGTTGTTCAGGTGACTATAGTGTCCCTTTAAAACAATTAGGAAAATGTTATTTTGATATGTTTTCCCTTTCTTATCTATTTCCTTTTTTTTTGTTTTTTTTTAACTGTATTGAAAATAAAATATTACATGTAACATAGACTGATGTATTATTTTGTAATCAATCCATGTATGTTAATGAATATTTTTGGTAAATCTCATAACTTAACGATGCACCTGTTCTCCAAGATGCACCTGTTCTCCAACCTTCTTTGGTCAGAAGCATCACTTTTTTACAAAGTCCGTGCACAATTTGAAGGTTTGTAACAATCCCAGAATTAATTTATCAGATGACCTGTGCTTGTGCAGGATTTAGTAAATGAAACCTAGCTTTGGATTACCAGCATGGTTTTTGGTCAGATAAACTGTGCTTGTGACTAAAGAATACTAAAGATGAACATCCACTTAGAGCAAGAGTAGGCTAGCAGATAACTTACCTGCGCTAGAATTTACTGATATGAATGCCTTTATAAAATGTCAATTTTCCATTAAGGCCTCTGTTTGCCAGGTTTAGTTACATAGCCGAGAAGAGACTTGCGTCCATCAAGTTCAGCCTTCCTCACGTTTGTTTTTTGCTGTTGATCCAAAGAAGGCAACAACAAAAAAAAAAAAAAAACAGTTTGAAGCACTTCTAATTTTGCAACAAACTAGGAAAAAAAATTCCTTCTTGACCCCAGAATGGCAGTCAGATTTATCCTTGGATCAAGAAGCTATAAACCTAAATTTAAAGATTATATCCTTGAATATTCTGTTTTTGCAATTATGCATCTAGTTGCTGTTTGAACATCTGTATGGACTCTGATAAAGCCACTTCTTCAGGCAGAGAATTCCACATCCTTATTGTTCTTACAGTAAAAAAAACTTTTCTTTGCCTTAGACGAAATTTTCCTTCTTCCAGTCTAAATGCATGACCACATGTCTTATGTAAAGTCTGGTTTGTGAATAGATTTCCACACAATGGTTTGTATTGGCCCCAGATATATTTGTACAATTCCTTGCATAAGTATTCACCCCCCTTGGCATTTTTCGTGTTTTGTTGCCTCACAACCTGGAATTAACATGAATTGTTTGAGGATTTGCATCATTTAATTTACAGAACATGGCCACAACGTTGAAGATTTTTTTTGGTTTTTATTGTGAAGCAAACAACAAATAGGACCCAATAACAGAAAATGTCAATGTGCATAACTCTTCACCTTCTCCCCCCCCAAAGTCAATACTTTGTAGCGTCACCTTTTGCGGCAATCACAGCACCAAGTCGCTTTGGATATGTCTCTATCAGCTTGCCGCATCTTACTACAGGGAGTTTTGCCCATTCCTCCTTGCAAAACTGCTCCAGCTTCTTCAAGTTGGATGGTTTGCGCTTGTGAACAGCAATCTTTAAGTCTGACCACAGATTTTCTATTGGATTGAGGTCTGGGCTTTGACTAGGCCATTCCAACACATTTACATGTTTCCCCTTAAACCACTCACGTGTTACTTTAGCAGTGTGTTTGGGGTCATTGTCCTGCTGGAAGGTGAACCTCCGTCCTAGCCTCAAATCACGCACAGAGTGGTACAGGTTTTGCTCAAGAATATCCCTGTATTTAGCACCATCCATCTTTCCCTCAACTCTGACCAGTTTCCCAGTTCCAGCTGCTGAAAAACATCCCCACAGCATGATGCTGCCACCACCATGTTTCACTGTGGGGATGGTGTTCTTTGTGTGATGTGATGTGTTGGGTTTGCGCCAGACATAGCGTTTTCTTTGTTGGCCGAAAAGTTAAATTTTAGTCTCATCAGACCAGGGCACCTTCCTCCATACATTTTGGGAGTCTCCCACATGCCTGGTGGTTACTCTGCCATAAAGCCCAACTCTATGGAGCGTACAGCTTATTTTCGTCTTATGTACAGATACTCCAGTCTCTGCTGTGGAACTCTGCAACTCCTTCAGGGTTACCTTCGGTCTCTGTGCTGTCTCTCTGATTAATGCCCTCTTTGCCCGGTCCGTGAGTTTTGGTGGGCGGCCGTCTCTTGGCAGGTTTGCTGTCGTGCCATGTTCTTTCCATTTGGTTATGATAGATTTGATGGTGCTCCTGGGGATCATCAATGATTTGGATATTTTTTTTTTTTTTTTTATAACCAACCCTGACTTGTACTTCTCAACAACGTTGTCCCTTACTTGTTTGGAGAGTTTCTTGTTCTTCATGGCAGTGTTTGGTTAATGGTACCTCTTGCTTAGGTGTTGCAGCCTCTGGGGCCTTTCAAAAAAGGGGTGTGTGTGTGTGTATATGTAATGACAGATCATGTGATACTTAGATTGCACACAGGTGGACATCATTTCACTAATTATGTGACTTCTGAAGGTAATTGGTTGCACCAAAGCTTTTTATGGGCTTCATAACAGAGGGGGTGAATACATACGCACATGCCAATTTTCTGTTTTTTTTTTTCTAAAAAATAGTTTTATGTATATATTTTTCTCATTTCACTTCACCAACTTAGACTATTGTGTTCTGATCCAACACATAAAATTCAGATTAATAAAACATTGAATTTAAGGCTGTAATGTAACAAAATAGGTAAAAAGTCAAGGGGGTGAATACTTTTGCAAGGCACTGTAAAATGTTATCATATCCCCTCTCAGGCGACGCTTTTCTAAACTAAAGAGGTTTAAATTTGTTAACCTTTCTTCATAGCTGATATGTTCTATTCCTTTTATTAATTTTGTAGCCCGCCTCTGCACTTTTTCTAGTGCCATAATATCCTTCTTTAGAACAGGTGCCCAAAATTGCACAGCATATTCAATATGTGGTCTTACCAGTGATTTATAAAGAGGCAAAATGATATTCTCATCCATAGAATCAATGCGCTTTTTCATGCATGACAACACCTTACTGGCCTTGGCCATTGTGGATTGCTATTGTACATTGTTGCATAGTTTGTTGTCTATAAAAATTCCCTAGTCCCTTTCGTGTGTTGTTATCCCTAATTCACTTCCATTAAGGGTATACGATGCTTGTGCATTCTTTATGCCAAAGTGCATAACTTTGCATTTTTCAACATTAAATTTCATCTGCCATTTGAGTGACCAGCCCCCCAGTCTATCTAAATCCCTCTGCAGCAAAGTTAAATCTTGCTCACATTGTATTACTTTACAGAGTTTTGTGTCATCTGCAAACACTGAAACCTGACTTTCAATTCTTTTTTTCAAGATCATTTATAAACATGTTAAATAGAAGGTGTCCCAGAACAGAACCCTGAGGGACACCACTTGCCACCTCTGTCAAACTTGAAAATGTAACATTAATGACAACTCTCTGTTTTAAGCCAATGTTCTACCCAAGAACAAGCATTTTCATCTAGATCAATTTCTTTGAGTTTGAACCCTAATCTATTGTGTGGAACTGTATCAAATGCCTTGGCAAAATCCAAATATATCACATCCACTGCAACACCCTGATATATACTTCTACTTACTTCTTCGTAGAATGCAATTAGGTAAGTTTGACATGACCTGTGCTCCATAGAACAATGCTGTTTTTTTCTGATAGCCATGTTCTTCTCAAGGAATTCTTGAATATTATCCCTTAATAATCTTTCAAATACTTTTTCAGCCACAGAAGTTAAGCTCACAGGTCTATAATTTCCAGGTAAGGATTTTGAACCCTTTTTGAATAAAGGAACCACATCTGCCTTCCTCCAATCCTCCGGAACACTTCCTGAAAGAAAATAATCTTGAAAGATTAAAAACAGAGGTTCTCTTATGTCTACCCTTGGTTCCTTAAGTACTCGTGGATGAATACCGTCAAGCACTGGAGCTTTGTTTATATTAACTTTCCTTAGTTGCTGCATCATCTTGTCTTAAGTTAACCAATTACAATTTTTCTGCAAGTTTAATCAGCAATCATTGCCATGGGTACTTTTTTAATATATACGGAGGAGAAAAAGTTATTTAAAATTTCTGCCTTTTCCTGGTCTTCATTAACTAACAACCCCATTCCAGTTTTTAGTGTACCTACACTTAAATTTTTAGTTTTTTTTAGAATTTATGTACTTAAAAAATGCTTTGGGGTTGGCTTTGCTCTCTTTGGCTTCATTTTGAAGTTTAGCAAATCTAATCACCTTTTTGCACGCGTTATTGGCTTCCTTATATCTTTTATAAGCTACATCTGATTTGTCCAATTTAAATGCCCTTTTCTTATTTTTAATCTATTGTTTTACTTCTCTACTAAGCCACATTGGTTTCAATTTGTTTATTTCAGTGTTCTTGCATAGCAAGACCACTTAATGTTATCTCACATATATATTTTTATTCTTATTATAGCCAAATTTACCACCCTAACTCCTCCCACAGTTTTTACACTACTATACCGAAACGTGCAGATTGTTCCCGATTGGATTGCTATTACTTTGTGGAACGTTTTGCCGAATGGTTCACGGAATATCGTCGTTCTTGTGGTGAAATTGTTGCCATAGGAATGAATGGCAAAATGTTCAAAACTAGAGTGGGAGCTGGCAAAAGCAGAAAAATCAGGACATGATTTCTAAACTGCCACGACTCCCTCATTTTAAAGCCCACCTACACAAATCTTACATCAAAATGTTCAGCTATCCCCACTGCCACTAAACATGTCCACGGCTAAGCCATAGTCCTGATAGTTTTCACAATATGACCATTTGTTTGCAACTCACGCCGTCCATTGATATTCATTGAAACTCCACTCTAGCCAGCTCAAACTTGAAGGGCAATTTCTAAACTGCGACTGTGCCTTCATTTTTAATACTTCAGAGACATACTATGCATCAAAATGTAGGTCTGGGTCTTGTGATTCTCACAATATAAAGCTCTATAAAGTGCTGTAGGATTTATAGTTTTTAAAATATGACCGTTTGAAGATGGCAACCGCCAAAATACTCTGACCTGTCAAGGCTGCAGCAGCAAGTGATGTCATAGACAGGGCCTTTTGTACACCTGCTAATGTTTGTATGATTTAATGTAACTGTGAAGCACTTTGGGCAACAACGTTGCAATTAAATGTGCTATATAAATAAATAATAAGTTACTCCGCCCACTCCAGGTGTAGACTACTGGTGGAGGCAAGAACACTTCACACAATTTCCCCAGAAATTGTAGCTTTTCTAGTTTATATTTATTACCCAATGGTACATACTGAGAAATGTACCTTTTTGTTACAGACTATTTTTACATTTGTGTCTACTGTCCATGTTTATTAGAAAATTCAACTCCATTCTGCCACAATACCACAATAGTACAATGTAGTGGTTATGATGCTAGAGGTGCCCAAGCACTGCAGTGCTTAGCTGAGGAGAGCGGATTTAAGCTTCTGCTTAGGAGCATCCAGCTCTCCTTCCGACAGACAGTAGGTGTGGAGCACTAATGCAAACGGTTACTAAACAGTTTGAATATTTAAATTGGGGGAGAGCACTCATTGCACCATAACCATCACAGCACAAATTAAGTCCATTACCTGCCTGTAGACTCCGATTGACGATTGGTAGAGAAGTGTTGAGCTCCACCAGACATCTAACGTATTTTGTTTACTCTTGTATTCCATCTACAGCTCTTTGAATGTAATCTTTATTTTTTGCATTTTGTCAATCCATTTCCTTTGTGTGTTCTTTGAAACACAGATGTGATTCTACCTGTGAACAACCTTTAAAGCAATAAATAGTTATTATCTGTAAATAATAAAATATGTGGATAAATAAGCATATAGTGTCACATTTCTGCTTTTTAAAACAAAACAATGCATTAAAAATCTGTCTAATTTGGTTTCAGATATGGGACGTGGAACTGGAAAGATCTGCAGAACACTGGGCAGAAACATGCCTGTGGGAGCATGGTCCCGCTAACTTGCTTCCATCCATTGGACAAAATTTAGGAGCTCACTGGGGCAGGCAAGTTTATATATAAAAATGTATTATCCAAAACAAACAATGTTTAGAAAAAAAGCCAAAATACTTACAGGCTTTGTTTTATAAAACATTTTCTTTCTGTTTGTAGGTATAGGCCACCAACCTACCATGTCCAGGCTTGGTATGATGAAGTTAAGGACTATACATTTCCATACCCACAAGAATGTAACCCATACTGTCCATTCAGGTGCTCTGGCCCTGTTTGCACACATTATACGCAGGTATGTGTATTTCAGTTACAATAATAATTAAAATTCTCACTGACGTATCATATAGTGATCAATGATTTTCAGATTTCCATTTACAATGCGATTGTAACACAATCTGCTTCAATAGCACATCATATTATTTTTATATATATTTATATATATGAGTCCGGCTAAGATTTGAGAGAATCTTCTATAAAAATTAGCTTCTGTCTCAAATGACTAGCTTTGCATAGTTATGGAAGTTTTTTCATAAATTTTGTTTAATATGTAGATTGCTAAAGTGAAGTTAAGTAAATGAGGTTAAGTAGGTTGCTCCATTTTTTTTTTCCAGTTTTTTGGTTAAACTTCAGTAATTAGTAGCACAATTAGCCCATATTACCAAGGATGTTATGGATGCTTATACTATTGTCAATTAAATTATTTAATGTAATAATACTTATTTCTTTAATTACCTTTCTTTCTCTTTTTCCTGTAGGTTGTATGGGCAACAAGTAGCAGAATTGGCTGTGCCATAAACCTGTGTCACAATATGAATATTTGGGGTCAAATCTGGCCTAAGGCAGTGTACTTGGTTTGTAATTACTCGCCAAAGTAAGTAGATTCACCTAACTAAATAATACAAATATTTCTGTTAAGCGTATGTTCCCAATATGCTAGAATTCCGCTTTGAGGCATTAGAAATTATAAGTATAGTGCATTAATATAGACAGTCTAACAGGGATAACATTTTAAAGGAAAGGCACGTACATGGAAGTGGGTTTTTAAAATGTCCTCTTTCATTTTATAACCTTTCCTATCAGTTGGTAACCCTCAATTTATTTTAGGCTTAAATTAATGGTTTTTGGCAAGACACGTGTATATCCAGATCAAATAACCAATGCTTATTTTATACAATGATTCAGAATCATAATTTTTACTTCAGAAACTATTTTTCGTCCTTAGCCCTCATCACATTGGTAGATTAGACATAACCAAATAGAGTCGTGGTGGACCTCTCAAACATCCACTCGGCTTACAGATCTCCTATTCCCACAGGGCCGCCCCCCTGCTCATTAGAGAAATCAACAACAAAAAAGCAGACATTATATTGAGAATGTCCATTGGTGAAAATCATTTTACTAAAGCCACATACAGCCGGGTGCACAGATAAAATAGGATGTCCCGGCCAAATAGGCCTTAATCGTATATTTTATCTTTGCACCAGGCCGTTGGCAAGGTAGAAGCCACAACACACTCTGAAATGCAATGCAGATCAAATAAATACTCTGACTAGAAAAAAAGAATAATCAAGAGGATGTATTTCAAAGACCCACAACTGCAAAGATTCTTTTGACAAATTCTTGGTAGCAGTTTGATTGTTATTGTATATCAAGTAAAGCAGAAATGTAATCCCAGAAATATGAACATGCATGTGAAGGTTTGTTTACCACTAATATAAGTTATGTACATTGTTAAATGAAAATGCTGTTAAACAATTATTTTAAATTAGTTTGTGGATCATAAAAAAATATTTTTTTGTTTAACTTAATTGCTTACAAAAAGAAAAAGCTTATTGTATTAAGTAATACTTTGTTACAATATAAAATAATTTATTTTGTAAAAGTGGTTGCTAACAGCAAATTTACTCTATTAACTGTCCCCTTTCTGGAATTAATTAAATTGAATAAATATTAAAAATCATGTAATATCTTGTGTTAACCTTTTTCACAAAATGCTCTATTATCGTTTCAGTATATATTAAATATATAGCAAAGGATATCATAATTCGTTGGGTATAATTTCTCTTTAAAGGTTGAACTCAACATTATTTAAAAATATATTTACATTTATATGAATTATAAGAGCCTTAATCATGTATGTTCTTGGTCTAATTATAAATTGTGTCCTTGATTTAATTCTTAGGGGGAATTGGTGGGGTCATGCTCCTTATAAAAATGGACGCCCTTGCTCTGCCTGCCCACCAAGCTATGGAGGAAACTGCAAGGAAAATCTTTGTTACAAAGGTACAGTACATCATGAAAAGTTTTTGAAAAGTTTCTTGGGGAAGGATATCAAAATGATTGGCAAATTCACATGTATGGAGATTTTTTTTTGTGGTACTACACATTTTTATAATAATTGTATTACAGAAATACTTTATTTCAACAATTTAGTTGATATGCCAATAAAAGAAAATGTGCATGTTTTCTTTGTGGCTATATGAAAAATGATTTTGCAACACTTGTAAACTATTACTACCGCAGTGCAAGCCCTCCCCTATTTCCCTGGCACAGACTTTTAGTCTGTGCTGGTGAATTGACCTCATCAGAGGCTATTCATTAAACCTTATCAATGAGCTATACTACATTGAAGTCCATTTTTATTGAAATCAGAACTTTTTTAAATTGAAAAAAAGACCTCTTTACATACATAAAGCACTTTTGCAAACTGAAGTGCTTTAAGTGTTTTGGAGTGTTTCATCAAGAACCAATGATGGCAACTGGTAGCACCTTACAAATATTCATGAGTGGGAATGGTACCTAATGAAAAACATATTCTAACATTTATTTTTTTGAAGTACACCTTCACTTAACATTCTATTTTGACTTAATATGGCATGGTAAAGTGCAAATCAGAATTAGATTGTGATCTTACTGGGTCTTTACTGAGAAGTCCCCAATACAGTTAAAACACATTCTGGAATAAATATCAGTTCACTGTATATGTTAAATGGAATTTTGGATGCCTCCTGGTCTACTGGTTCTGTTTTATGAAACCTTGAGTACATTTTCTTCAACAACTTCTCTACGGCTTAACATTTGTTTGCATGGGTTATCCTTACTTGCATCCATATTAATCTTGTAGATCTTTGAATAAAAATGTATATAAATATATCAATATTAAACTCTTTCAAAATGTAAAAAAAAAATTCAATTTTTTTTTATCAAAAAAATATTAAATTGAGGCAAAATTATGACCGGCATATAGAGCTGGGATTAGTTCTACTGAAAAAAGGGGAAGATAGTTTGTTTCTGATGTATGTGAGGTCTAATATCAGACCTCTCAGAAGCTTGCAAAATCGAATTCAAGGTGCTTGTATGATGTCCGAGATGTTTGTTGATTGCAGCTCAGATTTGTCAAGCAATGGGTTCTTTCTTGTAAAGGCTGTCAGAGTTTAGATCAGGCGCTTTTCGAAATTTGCAGCTTCTTAGTATGGCAGCTAGGCCCCACCCCCGGAACAATTGTATTTTTAAAAGAATTTTGGACAAATTTTTTTTTTATTTTTTTTTTAGATGGCACAAATCCCAAATCACAGACAAGTACAATATGACTCCTTGATAACTTACAGGGGTGATATCAAACTTTATTCCTTTTCTTAAAACATCTAGACAATGTTATGGATAATCAATGTAATATCTGGTTCTGACATTTTAATTGCTTAATAAGGAGCTCACCATTATAAAAAACAAAACAAAAAACAGTTGCAAGTGTTGAGTTGAAGTTTGTGAAGTTTCCATGTTGTAGTTATATATCACATAAGTAAGCTTTTTTTAAAATAAATTAAATGGTCAATTTACATGACATTGTCTTTATTTTTATCTCTCAATCTATAGACTTTATTCTTGAAAGAAAAAAATAAATAAAGCATACTACATTAATCATCATGACCTTGACTTAGTATACAGTGGAGCATTCATCAAAAGTTGATGAAGGATTTAAAGTTTAAATCCTGAAATACGTTACTATTATTAGTGTTATTTTAAACAAACACTTCCATAAAAAAATTACTTAACCTTAATGAAAATTCTACCATTATTAGTTGGGAAAATATGTGGAAAGTCACCATTCATATGCAAAATGAATACCATTACTGTTAGGATAATTTTATTAAAAAAATACATTAAAAATAGCCTGAAGGGCATTGTTTTTCCAAATAGCTTGGCATTTAGCTGTGGATAAGACCATTTACCTCTTGATGTGAAAACACTGTGTATTTTATATGTTGGTATATTCATACAGAATAACACATATTTTGTAAGACTCAAGCACTGGAATCATGCCTCCTGACACATGGATTAATGTCCATCTTGATGTCCCTTGGAGAAATAGTTTGGTGGTCTCACCTCAGTCTACAGTGAACCAAAGTCTTCTTTTTTTAAACCACAACTAGCAATTAGGCAGAGATTTACACAGTTGGCAGTCGTGCAGGGAAGATGCTTATTACTAGTTTGTTGGCGTGTTCCTCGAGATCAAACAAGGTCACTTGAGTGTATGGAATCTCACTGTGATACTGCAGATACATTTAAAGGTTACGTTAAAAACAATAACTACAAATTGCTTTGTTGAATATGTTACCAGAATATATGTATTCTAATCATCTCATATTTTTGGTTATTTTCTCTTTGGCAGAAGGTTCCGATTTACATTACCCGATTCCGGAACCTGAGGAGGAAACCAATGAGATTGAAAGACAGAGGTCAAAAGCACTAGATACTACATCGCAAAGCAGAGCTAGAACACATTCTCCTACATCTTCTACTAGGACAGATGGCTATGATAATAATGAAGTTGTCAGTACTGAACAAATGTGTAAGAAGCATTATTCTCATTTCTTATTAATCTATAAAGAAAATGTACATGGCATGATGTTGTCCAGTTTGAAATTAAAAATAAAATTATTTGCTTGCGGAAAATTGTGATGTTACAACCCAATGCATTTCTACACACTGGTTTATGGGAATGAACATTTGTATGTTATCTTATTCATAACTTCATCTAGAAAGTGAGAATTATGGAGGTAATAGAGCTAAGCTACCAGAGGTTTTAAATTTTTTAAAAACAAACATGGACCTGGTATTATGAAAACATCAAGAGATTTCCGTGTATAATATTCTATGGAATTATTATTTGTGGTTGTCAAAGAAAGATCTTAAATTAATCACTTTACAATGTAATTAATTCACTAACTTAATCTATTTATCTATATCAGTGATTTGCACACCAGTCCAGAATTTAGCAATTAACCACTTGTGTCAAGATGCTTATTTTTCTTCTTCTTTTTCTAAAAACACCTTGGACACAACTGGGTAATCCCTAAATCCTGGACTGGTAGGCGTGCATTGAGAACTGGTTTGAAAACATATATATATATAATGTGTGTGTGAAAAGGGCTACATATTATTGAAAGTGTTTCAACAAATTAACAAATTGCTCACATTCCATTCTAATATATTTACCTACACAGAATATGTGAAACATAGACACTCAACATAACAATGGAAAAATCTGTACAGAATAGAATATTGCATGCTAAATTAAGTTCAAAGCATATTCCCTGTACTTACTTACACTAGAACTGCACTGGATTATGATATAGAATATGTGAGAAGTCAAAAATAATTTCACATCAGTCTTTTGACATTGGGCAACTAAGAAGCTGTATGCTTTGCTGACAATCTTCATTCGCCTCTGAGTTGCAGTCTAACAGTTGGGTGTCTTTATTTAAAACAAGCATAACAAAAATTCCATTTTAAAGTCCATTGAGTAATCCGTAATCTAATCCCACTTGGGTTTAGATACTTGAATCTGCTATGAATATTTAGATACTTTAATTTTATGTTATAATATGTTTTCTTTTTTTTTCTTTTTTTAGCTCAGATTGTGTCTTGTGAAGTAAGGTTAAGGGATCAATGTAAAGGAACAACATGCAACAGGTATACTTCCTTCTGTTTCTTGTTCTGCAACTTGTACTTTTCTTGGAAGAAAAAATGCTTCAATATGCTATTTTACTTAGAACGTATGTTCTTGTGCTTTCCTACTTTCTATTGTAATTTTAAACCTTGTCAATACTCTGAGGAATATTTTTGTGTTAGATGTTTTAGATTCATTCATGGTTGTTTGTATTGTCAACCACTTCATTATTTGTTTGCTATATATTTCAGATACGAATGTTCAGCTGGGTGCCTCGAAAGCACTGCCAAAGTTATTGGGACTGTGCATTATGAAATGGTAAATTCTTTTATGTTTTATTACAGTTTCTAAGAATAATATTCACAGAGGAGGAGGAAAATTGCAAATATTTTTGATATTGCATTTGAGTTGTAAAATCTGTATGTCCCCAAAGGCTATTGGTGTTTCCATGAGTCTGTTATGCAGAATTTCTTTGCAGCTTCTGTAAAGGTGAAGGTTGCCATAGTTCAATTAACTCTCCTTAGACTGGAATTTAGAGGGCCAAAATGGAATAAAGAACATTAAATAAATAGAATTCAGAATAATTATACCATATAGATAACACATCCTAATTGAATACAAAATCTTTTGTTATGATGTACTAAACTCAATTTATAGCAAAAGTATAGAAATTTAGCATCCACTAACTTAATTGTGACTACATTGCTGTCGAATGTTTTAATGTGTGACATATTCTGTTCAGACACGGATTTCACTGTTCTATCTGTGCCTGTAAAAGCTGCCAAAAGGGAAAATGAAAAGAATAATACTAAAAAAATAAATGGTGGTCCCAAGGACTCCCTAATAACAGGGAAAGAAACCAAACATGTTTCTTTTTCTTCCCACAAATTCATCACTCGCTAAAGAAGCTGGGGGCATAGAAGAAAAGTGTGGTCTTCTTGGTTATGTGACTGCCTAATTTAATGTTTTATACATTAAATAACACTCCCTATCCCACTGTGATGGGGAAAGGAGATTATAGGAAGTAGTGGACTTAATCATTTTATTAAACACTTGTTGTTAAAATATTGTTTTTTTGTGAAAATAAAATTATAGAGTGCAGGACAATGCAGACTACTACTGCAGTTTGAAGAAAGCCACTGAGTATTGGGTCCTTTTCTGTTATTCAGAGTGACTAGTTGGAGTCCCTGTAGAGAAATTAGTTTCTCTGCCAGGTGAAGACCTGTGTTGGAGCAGATAAGGAGGTCATTTCAACAAGTATTGCAATACAATGCCAAATGGAATGTAGTATGTATATAGGCTGGTTCGAACAAGGAGGGAGTTAAATGCAAAATTCTCAGAACGGTTTTGACCAACCAGCAACATTTTTAACAGTCAATGATCTTTTGATCTCGGGATCCTTCAAGCTGTGATTTGAGTTCCATGAAGACATGGAAAATTCAACATATACAATTTTGAATGTTATTTAGGGGGAAAAAAAATCTATGTTTCTACTTTAAAGAAAAAAAAAAGCATGTCCATGACATAATCTGTGTTGGCTGTCATCATAAAGGTACTAATGCTCCGTTATATTTTCCAAGGTAATTTTAGTTCTAACTGTTAAACGAGCTGTAACATTTGCTCTTCTAATAAAATTTTCTTGAAGCTTAAAAAAACATTTAAAGAAATTATATTAACTAAATTTGAAAGCCACATTTGTTCTTTATTGACACTGGTTTTTCATTTTGGCTGTGCACATTTAAATTTGAATAAACTAAATTTTACAAGAGGTGAAATAGCCTTAGTAATAGTAAAATATATTAACAGTATAATTGCTATGTACCAGTTTAAATTTTTTCCAGTCTTTAAGTCTTTTTTTTAATCATATCTGCTTATCAGTCTCCGCCAGGTATAATACAGCAGTGTTTGACTGTAGTGGATTTTGTAGTGAATCACACTTGATTAGTAGGAGTTTTCTCCTGCTTTCATTGTCAGTGTTCTTTGGCATCAAGGCAGTTCTGCTAGAATAATGTACACATAACATTTTCTTTTCTTTAATTTAATATACGTTGTCCTGCATGATGACTGGAACAATTTAAAGGGACACTACAATATAAGAAATAAAAACATGTGTTCCTAATGCTATACTGTTCTTTTGCTTATCTAGATAACCCCCTGGGGTAAGTGTTTGAAAGGTGAGATGTATTTACCTTTCTGCCCTTGCTTTGCTCCTCTCCACTATGCCAGTCTGCCTCCTTGGCTGAGATCATCAAGAGTGATAATCTCTGACAATCTACTGCTTTACCATTGTGATACATTAGGTGGGTAGTGCACATGCACAGTAGAATGCCACACTACACTAGGGGCAGCATTTGAGCTATAAAATAGTTTGACTCGCTTATAGCAGAGGAAGTGCATCTTGTGGCTGTAAACATTGCCGTTCCTACAGTGTTTTAAGTTACAGGTTTAAAAAAAAGAGGCAATGTTTTATATTACAGGTTTGAAAAGAGAGGGACACTGCACCCAGATGAAGTGATCTGTGTGTCTCTAGTTTCCATTTAAGCCACAAATGACTTATGCTGCTTCTACTATTTACTAACCCCATAGCAATGGTTAACTAAAGATGAAAAAAAACAACTAAAAGTAGTAAGTAATTGGCTAGTAAAGCATCTGTAAGTATGTTGTATTGCTTTATCGAAGCTTATATTCTGTGCCATGCCAGTAGATGGGGATTTAAATGGATGGATTGTATTTAAAACGCAGTTGGTTACAACAGCACAGAACAGGTAAATGGATGAATATGCCAACTGGATTGCCACTGGACAACAATATTCATTATTTTGTACATATTCTTCATTGTATCAAAAGGAAAAAGTTGAAATCCTAGAAACAGTATTAAAACTTGAGACCTAAACCAATAAATAAACAATTTAACAAAGTTTACTGGTATAATTCAATATTACATACGTTCATGCCAATAGACGATTGAAACACATTTTTTACACCTGTTTAAGTTTGATTTAGATATTACTATAAAATAAGCTGAAGTTGTAATATTGCATTTTCCCTTTGTTTGTTTCAGCAATCAAGTATTTGCAAAGCTGCTATTCATTCAGGTACAATAGACAATGAAGGAGGATGGGTTGATGTGACGAGGCAAGGAAGGAAAAATTATTTCATTAAATCCTATAGGAATGGGGTCCAATCCATTGGGTAAGATTAATGTTGCCCTTAGAACATATTTGTTGAAAAAATAACCAATAAATTATATTTTGTCGTTACAATGTAAGCGAATTATTCCAAAGCTAGAACAATTCCGTATGTACTGACGTGGACATTTACTGTAACTATTCTTTAGGAATAGAATATGTAATTCCACTCTCCATGCAAATTCACAAGGATGGCTGATTTGAAATAATTATATTGTGGCAATTCGTTGATGATATTGCCTTTTATGGGCGGAGTAAGCCAAATTGCTACCAACATTGCAGATGCTCAGTCATGCTATTAGTGTAGATAGACAAATTAGGCCAGACATGTTTAACCTTGGCACCGGATTAGTAATTCAGAACGTTGCTAAGGATAAATGTTATAGACATCTGGTTGTCTGCAAATAAAAGAGCATATGCGCTTTGAAATCCATAAATCTCATATGAAAATCCTATACAGTTTATTAGACACAGAAGTTTTGAATGGTCTTGCCTAGAAGCATGCATCCACAACATACATTATTCAGCTTTTTGCAGGCAAATCTGCAAATCCATACTATTTGCCCATTGGCAGTGCATCCAGCTAGTAAACAAGTACTTAAAAACACTTCTGTAATAGGAGGGTTAACAAATCGAAAAGGTATAAAAAAAACCCCCCAAACAAACATACAGATGTCAATATGATTTCATAGAAGTATCAGGGTCCCTATAACTCCTTTCAACATGTTGCATTTATTTAGACCTCTGGCAGGGCGTTAAAAGATTTTAAAATCATTACAGAGGCAGTATTTGCGCATCTACATCCATATTGTCTTGTACGGTATTTTGTTTTTCCTCTCACATTATTTATTTATTTATTTATTTATTTATTTATATGATTTTTTTTTTTTTTAATGGATTCCCATTTTAACGTGTAGAACATGGGGAGTTCAATAGCATAATTTCACAATGCTCTTGACTTCAAATCAGGTTTAATATAAATACATACATGTTCCCATTTTCTAGTTTTTCTATCCTTTCTAAACAATCTATATATTTTTCAATTAATAGCCCTATCAAGTGTTTCATCCCACCAAGTCTCAGTAACCCCAATTATGTCACACTGCTCGCTGTATTCCAATATCTCTAGCTCCCCCATTTTCCCAAGGTAATAACATTAGCACGCAGACATTTAAAGTTACCATTTATTTCTTGAACACTATTTGAATAACATGCAATTAATACCTTCTTGTTCATATCTTACCACTCCCCCCATCTCCTCTTCATGGACTTAATTCCCTCTCCTTTCTATAATATCTACCACATTTATCCTTCTTTGATCCTCCACTCTTATTCCTAGTTTAAAGCCTCCTCCAATCTTCTAGCCATCCTCTCCCCTAGCAGAAAAGATAATTCTTTCATTCAGGTGCAATCTATCCCTGCTATAAAGATTGTACCGAAAAAGCAAAATCGTCACAGTGCCCAAACCCTTACATCCTACATCAAAACGTCAACCAGGTATTGACCTCTCTAATCTCCCGCTGCCTTTCCACTGTAGCATGTGGTGCAGGTAATATCTCAGAAAAAGTTGTCTACCCCTGACCTAGAGTCTAAAGTCACAGTGGACAGAAGATCAGAATAGACAAATATGTCTCCAAAGATTAGTCTGAGATGAGGGGTTTACATTTAGGAGATGGGATCGAGACGAGACCAAGTGAATGAATTGCTGAGTGCATCTGGCACGGCAAATGTCAGCATAGTAACTGAACCTGTGGACTGTGGGGCTAAGCTGTGGCACGTTGACTAGTAGAGGTTTTAATCAGCCTTGTCCATAACTGAGCCTTACTTAACTTCTATGAAAGCTAATTTAAATCACTAGTGCATACACTATTTTAAAAATGAATTATCATTTGCATTAATCTGACTTACCAATATATGGGTCTTTTCTACAATATTGTTGAAGAAACTTGTTTAAGAGATCAAAATTCTGGAAAAAAATTAATTTTTAACTACTATTCTATTATGATCTCCATTCATAAAGCTATTAAAAATATTTCCATACATGAGTCATTTAGGGCTTGTGCATAAAATCTTATACTCTAGCAAATATTTAGTAAGCCTTGAAGAAGAACATAGTGATTTACTTTTAGTGCAATAATCTTATATTTTATTATTTCTACAGAAAATATCAATCTGCAAATTCTTTTACAATCTCCAAAGTATTATGTGAGTATATTTTAAAATTGCTATACACAGTATATGAAGCAGTAAAGACAAATATGTGCAATTGATGTTTCTTTAAACTACAGCAAATGTGTTTAGAAATAAGCCTGTGTAAATAAGATACGTTGTTCTCATTCTCAATTACATTATAGTTGTGTAAATTACGGTAACTTTAGGCATATTTTGCAAGCCCCCCCCCTTTCAAAAGCGACAGATCCAGTGTGGGCAAATTGACCGTAGAGTGAAGGGGGAGGCAAATTCTTCTTATCTCAAGCTTTTCATCACGGCAGCTGCCGTCTTGTAGTGAAGATCCTCTTCGTGCCCAGAGCTGCTTTAGTGCTGTATTCCCTTGCAAGCGCGAGAGTACAACTCTGAGATCTGTGGATGATCCCACGAGATTGGTGAATCCCCCGTAGATTGAAACCCACAATGGCTGCTGGTATTGGACAAAAACGAACGTAGTGGATGCCAAATATTGCTGCACCCCCCACCCCCCTTGACTGATGGCAAAGTCAAGTTGAGAGCATGCCAGTGATAAAAATTACATTCACCAGACTTTTGGGAGGTATGTTGCTACCTCTGGGTTAATTGTATGAAACTCTCATATGTGAAAATATTAGAAGTATTTAAATACACAATTAAATAAAAAAAGACAATTACTAATTCAATAAATGACTATTTTTATTTGCAATATCATTTCTTACAGTTCTTGCTGCTATAGTTTAGCAGTAAACTTTTTTTTTGTCTTACTACATCTGACATCTTGGAGAGAGAAACAACTTGCATCATGTTCAGTTCCTGGCTGAAAGCTTTAGTTTAATTTGTTGTCAGCCTCACTATGTCACTTTACAATGTTATGATTCTTCTCAATGGTGTCTTAAATCCGCTAAAAAACCTCAAGCTAAATCTCTTGCTCCTAGTAATAAGAAGTAACAGTATGATACGGGTAGTACCAGCCACTTTTACTTCACAGGCCAATATTTAATAACCACCAACAGTCCAGGCTTTACTGGAACACAACTGAGCAATCCTACATTTTGGGATAGTCTATAGCAGGGTGCTTTAAGGAGCAATGAACTGATCTATAACAGGTTTATTAGATCAATACATATAAATAACATGACTATTTATCAAACAGTGGAAACACTAGTAGAACACTCTGGCATAATAAATTGGATTGTTATGTAAGTGGTACAAAATGGCAATGTTTCTGCTGCTATATCAGTGATTCCCAGACAAGTCCTCAAGGCACCCCTACCAGTCTATAATTTAGTGTTTACCCAGTTGTTTTTGTTTTCCTCTATAAACTCCTTAGATACAACTAGGAAACTCCTAAATCCTGGAATGGTATGGATGGCTTGAGGACTGGTTTGGAAACCACTGTATTATATGATTGTTACAGGCATGGACGAGAACCAATATTGTTTAAACTAACCCATATATATATGTCCCTTTAACAAAGTAACATCTAGAGGAGAATAGAATGACATAACATGGCCGTAGGGTGTTATGCCATTCAAGTGTGAATTTGGTGGGATAATCCCATTTCAGTGGGATGGTCTTCACCTTGGGTCCATGTCTTGCTGTACTGATTTTGTTCTGCGATATCCCACTTCTGCTGACATCAGAAACAAGTCCCAAGAAAGTGAAGTCACATTTCAGAAATGTGTGGACAGACCCAATGTTTGGCTGACATAGCTGATTTTCACCCTGGTTCATGTGTGCCAGTCCTTTTTAGGACAAAATGTGTATCAACAACACACTCCAACTCTTGCTGCCCCCTTGCTTTAATAAATATAGAGGGATTATGCCAGGGCCTCCTACTTAGATTGATTATATTTTCATTTCTCTCCACTTCTTTCTTCCTTTACATCTGCTACTGTATTGTTACATGAATGTGGCACAGTGAGTAGTGTTAGCTGTTAGGTACCCTGAGAGTATTGAGTAAAAATGATGTGCAATGGAAAGTATGGAAGGGGAGTTTGAAGATAGATTAATACAAGGTTCCATTGCTAGTAAATTAGCTTAGTTAGTATCAACTTAATTTTATGTAGCAGTGCATTGTTGTTGAGAGATATATGTATCTCAACAACAACAGACATACTACAATATATATATATAAATTATATATATCGTTGACGATATGAGTAGAATTGAAGAGTGTTTTAATAATGAACACCTGAAATGTACATCGTAGTTTGTTTTGTAATGCTTAGCTATGTTTCCATGTATGTTACAATACTTACATTCCCCTAACAAAGATTTGACTGTTGTTATATCATATCATACATATTTTAAGATTTATTCTGCATTTTCTCTTACTGTTAGTTCAAGCTGTGACATGTGAAACGACAGTTGAACAGTTATGTCCCTTTCAAGAACCAACATCACATTGCCCAAGGTGAGTGAATTATTGTTTTTATTTATGTTTTGTTATGGGGAAACCTTGTGCAATAATTAAAATGTACAAAACATTGGCTGTACTTTCATGGGACTGGTACTTTCCAATTTTATGTCCTCAGACTAACCGGTATTATTATATATAATATTTTATATATATATCCCTGAATAAGGATACCAGTCAAAGTTAATATCAGACAGTTGTGTCAGTGACCGTAATTCTCCAGTTTGAATTAAAATGTACATCTTATCCCGCAGGTGACTTGTTAAGCATTCCAGTAGATGTCTTATTGACTTAATAAGAAGGAAAATTACAAAATACTGCATGTGTACAAAAATAAAAATTCTACTTCTCCAAAACCCCATCTAACATAATAGGAATTTGTTCTCGCCCATTAATTTACATGTATATTTTGCCTCATGGTCCTTCCTGTTTATTTTCTTTGAATACAGTGGGATTCCAATGACAGATGCAGTAAAATAGGCTGATTAAATTATTTAATCCAAATGGAGTTGTAACTTTCATTTCAACATGTCTTTCCAATGTTATACTATTTCTAAAGTGCAGCACTCAATGTAAAATAAGAGTTCTACTTTCAAACATTCATATTGTAGCATACTAAAATCCAAATGTCAAAATTTAGACAAAATTAGCTAAACTTGAAAAAAATTCTAAAACTCAAGTTGGATACTTTACCTTCAGTTTTCCAATTGAATTTAAATTCATTAAAATAGTAATAGGATAATAGGATGATTGGGAAAACATTTTCAAAGCCGGTGGATCCGAGTGACAATATTGCACACATCTGTGGAAATTAATGTGGATGAACTTCGCTGGTCAATGAAGTACTGTAGGGTTTAACCCTGCAATCTAAAACCATTGGTGTTTAATAAATACAACAAGGCTGTGATTGTAGAGCTAACACAATTCTGCTGATTAGCCAAGTCAGACTTGGTTATTCACACACATGCTGAGCATTGATTTGATTGCTACGCATGCACACTAACCTACCAATGCTTCCCTATGGGAAAGCATTGGTTTTGCTGAGAACATCAATCTTGATTTCAGGAAGGTGGGGCAGCAATGGAGTAAACGTAAGTGAATTGCTCTACTTGTTATATTTGGGGAGGGGGCAATAATCTAACTAGATACTATGGCACTGTAGAATAAGCATGTCAGACTCAAAAGCTAACACAGGCCAAATAAACAAGGTTCAGGTTTACGTGGGCTGCAAAAAACCAAAGACTTCAGTTTTCATAGAAATTTAGGTTTATTTAGAAAAGTACAGTATAAAAAAAGTTGTCTAACTGAAGCCCTACGAGCGTGAGGACGTCCAGTGTCAAAGTAAACAAAAAAAGCTAATTTATTTTAAGGATACCTGCATTTGGAGGAAAGATTAGGAGCTCAGATTTAGAGAGATTGAGTTTCAGAAAGCGTGAGGACATCCAGTTAGAGATGGAAGAAAAGGAGAGGTCCGGGGAGGAGAGAGATATCTGGGTGTCAGCCACGTACACGTGATAGTGAAATCCAAATGAGGTAATAAGTTTGCCAAGAGAGGCAATATAAAGAGAAAATAGAAGGGGACAAAGGGCAGAGGAACTTCAACCAAGACAGGACGAGGGGAGGAGATATCATTAGAAAAGGAGACACTGAATGAGCGTTGGGAGAGATAAGAGGAAAACCACGACAGAGGATAGAGTCACAGAGACATGATGAACAGTGTTAAAGGCAGCAGAGAGGTCACAAATTATTAGTATGGAGTAGTGGCCTTTGGATTTAGCTGCTATAATTAGGTTGTTATTAACATTGATAAGAGCAGTCTCTGTAGAGTGGAGATGGCAGAAGCTAGATTGAAGAGGGTCAAGGAGAGAGTTGGAATTGAGGAAGTGAGACATACGGGTAAAGACAAGTCTTTCCAGAAGCTTTGAGGAAAAGGGGAGCAGGGATATGGAACGATAGTTAGAGGGGGAGGATGTGTCAAGAGATGTTTTTTTCAGGATAGGTACTGTGGTGAAAGTGACCTCACCACTGGTTTTTGGAGGGGCCTGTTTGCCAGCCTCCTGCCCTGCGACTATGGCCCTGGGATGTTTTGCCCTTTAAGGAACTGATTTGGGCATATTGTATTTTATTATGCTGCTGCTGGCCCTTGAAGAACTATCTGGGGACATACTGTGGAGTTACTGGGTGGCCACCATTTCATGTATCAGAGGCACATGGTGAGAACAATGGATGGTGGCCATTTTAACTCACAGACACTGTTTTGACTTTTCTACACAGTGCCATCTTGCCTGTATTTGGTGCACAAAGACATCGTGCAGTAGTTTTAAACTATAGAACAGGGGACACACTTAACAGTAATTATTTTTCATATATCCTGTATATGTTCTCCGGAATCTGCATTAAACCGTATCTTCCAAACTACTGAATGGATCTGCGTGAATTTTGGAAATGTGATTCACCCAGATCCCCTGGTTCCAAGTGGGGTTATTGCATGTTTTGGGGTCCCTGTGATCTGTTTTATAATACTGTATTTTCCTGCCTGTGATAATTAAGTTAGTCTATTGTGTTGAGATAATTGTATCACAAGCAGAGGGGAGTATTTCTGATGTAATGAATGGGAGTGTTAGCTGTGTTGTAATGTGTTGATTGGTTGTTCTTCAAAACCCTGTGGGCAGTACTAGGTTTGTAGAATGTGAATAAAAGAGGCTGTGGTGGTTGGTGGGGTCTGTTGTGGTTGTGGTGTTTGCAGAGCACTTGGAGCCCTCTGTAAGCGCTGGGAAAATCCTTCAACGGAGGTACCCAGTCGGGGTGCCAGGTGATCCGTTACAGGTACTAATTACACGGTCAGCAGGGACAACACCAGAAGAGAGAGCAGTTGAAGATGTGTGTTAAGGAAGGCACAAGGCAGGGGGAGAGAGATCTGATAAGGTGAGATGGGACAGAATCGAGTGGGCAAGTGGTCAGGCGAGAGGAAAGGAGAAGCGCTTTCCTGAAGAAGTGTGTTTTCAAAGATTTTTTTTGAAAGAGTGGAGACTGGATGAAAGTCGAACAGAGAAGGGAAGGGAGTTCCACAGCAGAGGTGCAACCATGGAGAATTCTTGGAGGTGAGCATCAGATGTGGGAGTACGGACAGAGGATAGGTGTAGATCTTCGGAAGAGCACACGGGCCTCGACGGGACATATTTGTGTATTAGGGAGGATAGGTAAGTTGGAGCAGCATCATGTAGGGACTTGTAAGCAAGTACCAGAATCTTAAATTGAGCCCTATATCTAACTGGAAGCCAATGTAGGCACTGAGAGAGGGGGGAGGCATGGGAGGTGGCAGGCAGACAGGAAAATGAGCCTCACCGCCGCATTCATTATAGATTGCTGGGAACACGTAAGACCACTGAGAAGGGGATTGCAGTAGTCAAGGCGAGAAAGAACAACAGCATGGACCAGCACCATAGCTGTGTCTGGTGTTAAATAAGGGAGAATCCGAACTATATTTTTGAGATGGAAGCGGCGGGATTTGGTGATCAACTGGACATGAGGGGTGGAGGAAAGGTCGGAGTCAAAGAGAACACCTAGGCAGCGACTCTGCGAGGCAGAAGTGCTGCTGGCGTCGTTGACTTGGAGGGAGACAGACACTGGAGTAGCAACACTTGAGGGTGGAAAGACCACAAGTTCTGTTTTGGACAGGTTGAGTTTAAGGAAGTGAGCGTCCATCCAGTTGGAAATCGCAGAGAGGCAGTCAGAGACATGAGTCAAGATGGGTGGAGAGAGATCACGAGAGAATGTGTAGATTTGTGTGTCATCTGCATGTAAATGAAAATGGAAGCTAAAGGAGCTGTTGAGTTTACCAAGGGAGGCAGTATAGATAGAGAATAGTAGGGTACCAAGGACAGAATCTTGGGGAACGCCAACAGAGAGGGGTTGGGGATAAGAAGAGACAGAGCCAGAGAAAGAAACCCGGAAAAAGCATTGGGAAAGGTAGGAGGAGCACAAGGAGAGAGCAGTATCCCGTAAACCGAGATTACAGAGAATGAGAAGAAGTTGTTGATGATCAACTATGTCAAAGGCAGAAGAAAGATCAAGGAGAATTAGGATAAAGTAATGGCCATGAGATTTAGCAGCGATAAAATTGTTGGATACTTTGGTCACAGCTGTTTCAACAGAGTGACAAGCGCGGAATCCTGAATGAAGCGGGTCAAGCAGAGAGCTGGATTTGAGGAAGTTGTCAATCTTGCATACACAACTCTCTCAAGGATCTTGGAGGCAAATGGCAGTAGTGATATAGGGCGGTAGTTGGATGGGGAGTTGGGGGTCAAAGTTGGGCCTTTTCAGAATAGGCGTTATGGTTGCATGCTTGAACGGTGAGGGAAATGTGCTGAAGGAAAGGGAGAGATTGAAAGTTTTAGTGAGAGGGAGACATAATTCATCCCACATTTTGTGGAGTTCATAAATTAACCAAGGATGTTTGGAGGGCACAAAGGATGTAACATATTATATTATTTTTTTATTTAAACACCCATTTTTATGTCAAACAGTTTAACAGCTGATTTAACAAAAATGGGAGCTCTCCACATCATCATCTCGATTAAAGGAGAGTGGTCTCTAGATTTTTGAGATGTCTTGTTTTTGGTAAAACCACTCCCAAATAGTTTGAAAAACAAAAAAACTGTGATAACCCATAGATTTATGTCTGCATTTGCAGTTAAGTTGCTTAGACTGCCCCTTTAAACAATTACTTTGATTGTGTTTTAGCGATTTTTGTATTTATTTATTTATGAAACCTTATTCTTGTCTAAATATTGTCTTTGGTTTTTGTGTGTTTCATGTGATTAAACTTTTCACAGGCTTACCTCCATATGACATATTTTGATCATATTACCATTTCTTCGTGCAGATAGAAAACCCCTACATACAGATAGAAACAATTTTCTTGGCAGAATTTTATTCCTTAAGCAATTTTTGCAGTGCCTTCACTTATTCACCTTCTTCTGTTTATTTTTATTTTGTGAACTCTTCTGTATTGTCAGGTGGATTTTATACGTCCTTCTTTCAGTCAAAAAGTGTTTTCCTTATACTAAATTGAACCTTTTTATGATCTCTGTTTGTGGTCTATTCGTTTGGGAAAAGACTCTGCTTTATTTTGAAAGGTGTGTTTAAATTCTGAGAAGTCTTTCTTTTAATTAAATATTATAAAAGCAATTGTGAAACAAATCTCAATGATTTCTGTCAGTTGCCTGAGGAAATAATGAACCATGAATTTCCATGTTGTAATTGTGAATAACTATTATTTTTTATTTTTTTTGTGGATTACTTTTAATTACTATTATGATTAGGACTGAAATTAGTACAGTCATTATCAGAATAACAAACAGTACATGTAAAATGTGCTTTAAAATTGTTTAATCCAGATGATGTAATTTGAAATTTGTTTTGTAGTTTTAGTTTTGCTGTAATAAGGCTACTGTGTGCATTGTAGGCCTACTGACAATTAGTGATGTCCCGAACGGTTCGCTGGCGAATAGTTCCCGGCGAACATAGCGTGTTCGCGTTCGCCACGGATGGCGAACATATGCGATGTTCGGTCCGCCCCCTACTAATTTACTAATACTAAGTAAAAATTACTTAGTATTAGTAAATTGTGCCCCTACTCGCAATACCACGAGTAGGGGCATGTCTATTAAACAGTGAGCAGCCTGTGGCCCTAAAAATAACAATAAGGGGGGGACCTACTGTCCCCCCCGGCCCCCACCCCTGAGCGGTGGGTGGGGGTCCTAACATTAAAAATAAGGGGGGGACCTACTGTCCCCCCCCGGCCCCCACCCCTGAGCGGTGGGTGGGGGCCCTAAAATTAACAATAAGGGGGGACCAATTGTCCCCCCCGGCCCCCACCCCTGAGCGGTGGGTGGGGGCCCTAAAAATAACAATAAGGGGGGACCTACTGTCCCCCCCAGCCCCCACCCCTGAGCGGTGGGTGGGGGCCCTAATAACAATAAGGGGGGGACCTATTGTCCCCCCTGGCCCCCACCCCTGAGCGGTGGGTGGGGGCCCTAAAATTAACAAATTAAAAATTACTTAGTATTAGTAAATTGTGCCCCTACTTGCAATACCGCGAGTAGGGGCATGTCTATTAAACAGTGAGCAGCCTGTGGCTGCTCACTGTTAAAAAAAAAAGGGTCCCCCCTGGTGGGGGCCCTAAATACTAATGGGGGGGCCCTAAAAATAACAATAAGGGGGGGATCTACTGTCCCCCCCCAGTCCCCACCCCTGAGCAGTGGGTGGGGGCCCTAAAATTAAAATTAACAATAAGGGGGGACCTACTGAGCGGTGGGTGGGGGCCCTAAAATTAACAATAAGTGGGGGACCTATTGTCCCCCCCTGGCCCCCACCCCTGAGCGGAGGGTGGGGGCCCTAAAATTAACAATAAAGGGGGGGACCTATTGTGCCCCCGGCCCCCACCCTGAGCGGTGGGTGGGGGCCCTAAATACAAAGGGGGGGGACCCTAGTCACCCCCCCCCCAAAAAAAATTAGCACCCTACCTACCCCCCTCACCATAAAAATAATGAGGGGGGGACCTTTAACTAAAAACCTGTAAAAAAAAAATTAGATAAAAATAACTTACCATTTGATGTTTTCTTTCTTCTACAATCTTCTTTTTTCAGCCCCAAAAAAGGCCAAATAAAAAGCCATAAGAACCGACGCAATTAAAAAAAAAAAAAACGAGCGCACAAGAAAATAATCCATCTTCACCCATGGAGGGCTCCGCGCAGACTGAGCTCTGCAGGGTGGGGAAGGCTTATAAAGCCTTGCCATCCCCTGCAATTAGGCTAAAAACACTCTGATTGGCTGGTTTAAGCCAATCAGAGTGCTCTTTGTCATTTTACACAGCGTGGGAAAATTCAAAAGAACTTTCCCACGCTGTGTAAAATGACACAGAGCACTGTGATTGGATGGCTTGAAATCCATCCAATCACAGTGCTCTGTGTCATTTTACACAGCGTGGGAAAGTTCAATTACAAATGGTAAGTTATTTTTATCTAATTTTGTTTTAACAGGTTTTTAGTTAAAGGTTCCCCCTCTTTATTTTTAGGGTGAGGGGGGTAGGTAGGGAGCTAATTTTTTTTTTTTTGGGGGGGGTAGGGATGACTAGGGGCCCCCACCCACCGCTCAGGGGTGGGGGCCGGGGGGGACAATAGGTCCCCCCCTTATTGTTAATTTTAGGGCCCCCACCCACTGCTCAGGGGTGGGGGATGGGGGGGACAATAGGTCCCCCCCTTATTGTTAATTTTAGGGCCCTCACCCACCGCTTATGGGTGGGGGCCGGGGGGGACAGTAGGTCCCCCCTTATTGTTAATTTTAGGGCCCCCACCCACCGCTCAGGGGTGGGGGCTGGGTGGTACAATAGGTCCCCCCCTTATTGTTATTTTTAGGGCCCCCACCCGCCACACATGGGTGGGGGCTGGAGAGGGGGAGGACAGTATTTCCCCCCCTCATTATCTTTATGGCCCCCACCCGCCGCCCAGGGGTGGGGGCCTGGGGGGGGAGGACAGTAGGTCCCCCCCCCTCATTATCATTATGGCCCCACCCCCGCCCAGGGGTGTCGGCCGGAGAGGTGGAGGACAGTAGTTCCCCCCTTATTATCTTTATGGCCCCCACCCGCTGCCCAGGGGTGGGGGCCGGGGGGGGGGGAGGAGAGTAGGTCTCCTCCCCCCCCTTCAACCAGAAAGAGTCCCTGTGGGTTTTAAAATTCGCCTGCCTATTGAAGTCTATGGCGGTTCGCCACATTCGCAAACCGAAAATTTTATGTTCGCGACATCACTACTGACAATTATACTCACAGCATGCAGTACGATGCTCCGCATATTAGTAAATATTATGATCCTGGTCTTTTCCAATGAGATGTATTTAAAGTGTTATTTATAATCTTTATCAAGACTTATATAAGAGATACCAGTATATTTAGAAACTGTATTGAGGAGATTTACTAAAACATTGCTTACTAATTTTCTTGACATGCAAAGAAAAGCATTTGGCGATAATTAAAAAATTTACAAGAAAACTCAAAGCACCAAAACCACTACAGCCTTGTATAGTGGTTATGGTACCTTGAGCGACCTGGCTGTTTTGGAATGGTTTGACAACTTACTTGGGTCCTGCGTCCAGTCCGTTCCATGTCGGACACGCCTGCAGAAAAAGACCAGATGTAGCATGGGCACTTGGGGGACCCAGATAAGTTGTCAAATTATTTTTTAATTGTTTGGCAGATTACTTTGGGAGAGAACCAGTGTGCTCCTTGCACCCTAATAAATATAGAGAGTTTTGGCTCTGTTTCTTTGTCAGTAGCATTTTGTTATTGTTACCTCTGTAATTGAATGTAGCCTCCATAGAGTCCAGTTTCTCATCAAGTTTGTGATGAATCTCTAAATGGCTATATTGGATAGAAGTATTTTATATGTCAATGGTTGCTGTACAGATGGGTATTGTCCCTCCAACTCCTACATTGGACAGGAGCACCTCCTAATTAAACAATAAAAGTGAGACTCCCTCCCCTTCATTTCCTGTCCACTTCCCTTGGACACAGAATGTTTACACCTTCTGTTTTCTGTTTTATCTTTTGTGCCTCACTTGGGTCTAAGATTACCCCAACCCATTGGGATTTCTGTATCTCTCCCCATGGAAGCCTCAGGAAACAACACCTCACCAAGGGTGACCCCCTAGAGGATTCTCCCCTTAACGACCAGGGAGTTACGCTGCAGTGACCCTGTAGGTAACCGCTGGACATGCCAGCTCCCCCTGAGGTTATAATTCCTGTTCAGAATGTAATAGAGTCCTGGGGTATCTTGGCTTTCCCATTTAAGTTGGCTATTGTGGAGGAATAGAGGACCATGGACATTCTCATAAAGAAGCAAGATTCTCTTTAAGCCGCGGTACATTTTATTATCCTTTTAAAAAAACAAAAATTTGTAAAAGTGCATACCTCCTAGCTGACTCTTGGATTCTCAGTTCTACTCACAGATCCTTATATAAAAAGAAGGAAAAGACCCCCTTGTGTAAACCTGTGGTGACATAGTATTGCCTGGAAAGAGCCTTTGTATGGCCTGTCTTAAAGCACTGGCTGGTCCTACAGAACCTGATCCAGATTTCCTCTCCTATATCTGCCAAGCAGTTTTACAGGGTCTTCAAAAGACAGAAAAAGGAAAGAAACGGTTCAGATTCTTCATCCCTGAATGGAATTCAGAACATAGCTCAGATGAAGAAATGCCGCCAGTCTTGAAAGAGGCCGAATTTTCATCTCAAGATGAAGATCCCCGTTCCTCTCCTATCTTCATGAACAATAAAAAATAGAAGCTGTGATTGAAGCAGTCCATGACACATTTGATCTCAGGGATAAGATGGATGAAGAACCTGCTTCAAGTAAACACTTTGCAGACTTGAAGAAGCGAAATCCCACTTTCCCTCTTTAGGAAGCCATTGAAGACTTGATTAAAGAGGAATGAAGGAAGACCAAATAAAGGGTCTCTATTCTGGGTCGATTTTCCAAGCTTTACCCTTTCAAGCTTGGTGGATAATACTGGGTCTTTACGAAATCCTATGAATAAACGAATATACTCCAATCTGTCTAAAGTCAATATTGCCACAGGTTTCTATAGATCTAGTTTGGTCCATCTAAAGAAGCATGGTTCACTCCGAAGCTTTAAGATGCGCTCTCTGGCTACGACTAGTGGTGTTGTAGAGAGAGTCACTGAGGATAGTGGTGTTGTGGAGAGAGGCACTGAGGCTAGTGGTGTTGTGGAGACCGGCTTGGAGACTATGGTGAGGCCTAATAGAAAGCAGTTGTTGTTGGGTGATTCCATTATAAGAGGTGTGGAGATGGACAATGGTGGTCTTGTGAGGTGTCTTCCTGGAGCTACTGCTCACAGAGACAGGAGACGTATCTGTAATATTGTTAAGCAAGCAAAGCAGGAAGGGGAATTGGATGTACTTGTCCATCTAGGGACAAATGACTTGGCTTGCAATGAGGTTTCAAAGGAAGTTTTTTAGTGTTTTTGCCAATGATATACGGCAGGTTGCTTCCACACTGTCATTCTCTGAAGTTCTGCCTGTGCATAACACTCAGAACGACAGGCGGATGCGTATTAGGGACTTTAATTTGTGGCTTGGTGAATGGTGTCGGGAGCAAGGATTTGGCTTTATTTCTCATGGTAGCTCTGTTTGGAATGGAGATAAGCTGTACAAAAAAGATGGTTTGCATCTTTCTCAAAAGGGAACAAATGTTCTCAGTGAGCAGTTCAGAGGTTTTGCTAGGATGTATTTAAACTAGGAGGGGGGGGCAAAAGGGTGATAAAACATCAATCCAATTGTCCCCAAAACAAGGACAGAAGGTGCCTGTAGCAAGTGTGTTAAAAAATGATAAGCTTAGAGTCATGTCTACAAATGCTCGCAGTTTAGGGAATAAGATCCATGAACTTGTGGCAATAATGGCAACTGATAGTGTAGATTTAGTCGCTGTTACTGAGACATGGTACAATGAGAAAAATGACTGGGACATAGCAATACCAGGGTACTCTTTATATAGGAAAGATAGGGAAGGCAAGAAAGGGGGAGGGGTGGCCTTGTATGTGAAGGATAGCATAAAATCTAGCCTAATAAAAGTTAGTGAGGCAAACATAGAGTCCGTTTGGGCTACGTTAGAATTTGGTAATCACACAGTAACTCGTGTAGGTGTGATTTATAGGCCCCAGGACAAATTGAAGAGTTAGATAATCTACTAGTTGAGGAAATAGCTAAAATGACAATGAAGGGGGAAGTTATCATCATGGGTGACTTTAATCTTCCTGATGTAAATTGGAAAACAAAATTAGCTACTTGTGCCAGGAGCACACATATTCTAAACTCCCTACTGGGATTGTCTCAAAAACAAGTTGTTGAGGAGCCAACTCGTAAAGAGGCCATACTAGATTTAGTGTTAACAAATGGAGATTTGGTATCAGATGTTACTGTAGGTGAAAGTTTAGGATCCAGTGATCATCAGTCAGTGTGGTTTAATATAAGAACAGTGACTGAGTCACACCACACAAAAACAAAAGTTTTAGACTTTAGAAAAACAGACTTTTCTAAAATTAGAATATGGGTAGAGGAGTCATTATCAGACTGGAGCAATTTAAATGGAGTCCAAGAAAAATGGGATTATTTAAAAGTTGCACTATTGAAGGCAACAGAAAATTGCATTAGGCTTGTCAGTAAAAGCAAAAATTCAAGAAACCACTGTGGTACTCCGCAGATGTGGCCAAAATAGTTAAAAACAAAAAGTTAGCATTTAGGAATTATAAAAAAACCCAGAGTGAGGGAGACAAAATGATCTATAAGATTAGGCAGAAAGAGGCTAAGCAAGTTATAAGAGCTTCCAAATCACACACAGAAGAGAAAATAGCACAGTCAGTAAAAAAGGGGGATAAAACATTTTTAGATACATAAATGAGAAAAGAAAAGTAAAACAAGGATTAGTTAGATTAAAAACAAAAGAAGGAAGGTATGTAGAAGAGGATAAAGGTCTAGCTGACTGCCTCAATGAATATTTTTGTTCTGTATTTACAGATGAAAATGAAGGAAAGGGACCTCAGTTGAGAAAAGGATAAATGAGTCATTTATTACACGTGAGTTTACAGAGGAAGAGGTTCTATTTCAACTGTCAAAAGTAATGACAAATAAGTCAATGGGACCTGATGGAATACACCCAAAGCTATTAAAAGAGCTTAGTGGTGTACTAGCAAAACCATTAACAGATTTATTTAGCCAATCATTGTTAACAGGAGTAGTCCCAGAAGAGTGGAAGTTAGCGAATGTTGTGCCCATTTACAAGAAAGGTAATAGGGAGGAGTCGGGCAACTATAGGCCAGTAAGCCTTACTTCAGTAGTGGGGAAAGTGATGGAAACCATGTTAAAGGATAGGATTGATGAACATCTAAAAACACATGGATTTCAAGATCAGAAACAACATGGGTTTACTTCAGGGAGATCATGCCAAACTAATCTTATTGATTTTTTTGATTGGGTAACTAAAATTATAGATCAGGGTGGTGCAGTAGACATTGCTTACCTAGATTTCAGTAAGGCTTTTGACACTGTTGCACATAGAAGGCTTATCAATAAACTGCAATCTTTAAGTTTGGATTCCAATATTGTTGAATGGGTAAGGCAGTGGCTGAGTGACAGGCAACAGAGGGTTGTAGTTAATGGAATATATTGAAGCTTGGACTTGTCACCAGTGGGGTACCTCAGGGATCTGTACTTGGACCCATTCTCTTTAATATTTTTATTAGTGATATTGCAAAAGGTCTTGATGGTAAGGTATGTCTTTTTGCTGATGATACTAAGATATGTAACAGGGTTGATGTTCCAGGAGGGATAAGCCAAATGACAAATGATTTAGGTAAACTAGAAAAATGGTCAGAATTGTGGCAACTGACATTTAATGTGGATAAGTGCAAGATAATGCATCTTGGACGTAAAAACCCAAGGGCAGAGTACAGAATATTTGATAGAGTTCTAACCTCAACATATGAGGAAAGGGATTTAGGGGTGATTATTTCTGATGACTTAAAGGTAGGCAGACAATGTAATAGAGCAGCAGGAAATGCTAGCAGAATGCTTGGTTGTATAGGGAGAGGTATTAGCAGTAGAAAGAGGGAAGTGCTCATGCCATTGTACAGAACACTGGTGAGACCTCACTTGGAGTATTGTACACAGTACTGGAGACCGTATCTTCAGAAGGATATTGATACCTTAGAGAGGGTTCAGAGAAGGGCTACTAAACTGGTTCATGGATTGCGGGATAAAACTTACCAGGAAAGGTTAAAGGATCTTAACATGTATAGCTTGGAGGAAAGACGAGACAGGGGGGATATGATAGAAACATTTAAATACATAAAGGGAATCAACACAGTAAAGGAGGAGACTATATTTAAAGAAGAAAAACTACCACAACAAGAGGACATAGTCTTAAATTAGAGGGACAAAGGTTTAAAAATAATATCAGGAAGTATTACTTTACTGAGAGGGTAGTGGATGCATGGAATAGCCTTCCAGCTGAAGTGGTAGAGGTTAACACAGTAAAGGAGTTTAAGCATGCATGGGATAGGCATAAGGCTATCCTAACTATAAGATAAGGCTAGGGACTAATGAAAGTTTTTAGAAAATTGGGCAGACTAGATGGGCCGAATGGTTCTTATCTGCCGTCACATTCTATGTTTCTATGTTTCTATGACACTGGATGGCAGATTCTTCTTCAAAGAATAGCTTTTGTGCCCTTCCATTTTAAAGTGATATGCTCTTCAAAAAACATCTAGATGCTTGTATAAAGAGAGCCGTTTAAGGTTGTAAAGCCTTTCTTCCCCAAGATAGACATCCCAAGCAGTCCTTTACTTGTTGCCTTTTTGAGACAAAGATTTCATTACATTACAGACCTGGTAGAGAATTCTTCAAAACACAGACCTGGATTGGAAGCCTCTTCTCTTCAAGAGGCAGTTGTGGCAGAAGAGGATCCTCCAGACAAACCAAGCATTTCTGATGGTTTATCAGCCCAGTACTTGGGGGTAGGAGCTTGACTTAATTTTAGTTTATTTTAGACAAGTGGGTTTTGAAAATTCGCTGTGACGTCTGTTTCCTAGAATTCACCACTATTCCTCATCCATGATATCTGCCAACCATATTCCTCAATACCCAGAGAAGGCAAGAGCAATTCACGCCTTTACTTACTCCCACCTAGCAGGAAGAGTAATCTGCCTATTTCCTCAAGGAGAAATGGGCAGATTACTCTTTCTGCTAAAGCCATCTGGAGAATGGAGGCCAATCTTTGATCTTCAAAAGCTCAATGAGCTATTATTTGTAGGAAGATTCAAGATGGGTTCTATATCAATTCCTTTGTTAAAGTAATTTCTCCAGGGAACTGGAGGATTTCAATAGACCTTTGAGAGTCATTCTTTCATGTCCTGATTGCCCTACCTCTCCAAAAGTTTGCAGTGGAAAATCAGCATTCCCTATTCTGGGCCCTTCCCTTTGGTCTCAACATGGCCTCCAGAACCTTTTAAAAAATCCTGGTATCTGTAATTAGGTTCTTTCAGCTAAAAGGCATTTCTATCTACCATTAGCTAGATGATATTCTAGTTCTTTCCAGCAACAAGAGTCTAATTCTTTCTCACAAAAATGGAGTACTTCATCTTCTCCAAAAGGTTAAAGCTTCTCAGGTGATGACCAAGCTGGGGGTGAAGTTTGACACAAACAGATCTATTGTGTTCCTGTCTTTGGAAACGGGTCAGACTCCAACAATAAAATTATCCACTTTTTATCTCTCAAATTAATCCCTGTCAGAGAGTTCGTGACCTTACTGGGGAGTCTATCATCAAAGAGATGGGCACAATGGCGCATGAGTATACCTTAATTGGTTTTCTTTTCGCAATTCACAAACGAAGATCTGAAACACATACATTGGATGACAATAACATTAAATGACTGTCAGTCCAATTGGGGAGCACACCTGGGTTCTCACCATATCCAAGGGCACGTCACTTCCGCAGGTGGTTCTTTGGTCACACATGCACACACAGTTCAGCTAGGGGTGAGTTTATTTCCTTAATAGTTTTTTCCTAATTGTGCTTCCTATATATTGTGAATTTCATTTCATTTACTATATTGATCCTGATGAAAGTCCCATGTGGGGACTGAAACATTGATCCTATGTTTTAACCTTGCCAAATAAAGAAGAATTTTATTGGAGACCGTTAATGCTGCCATCACTACCTTTTTCTGGATTTTAAAGTCCCAGGCTAAGCACCCGGCAAGTATTCATATATATATATACTCAGCCTGAGTGCAAGGACTTCCTATTATATATAAGCCTGTGTGGTTGAATAGGAGCACTCAGGCCTAACTTGTGTAGCAAGGTAGGAGCTGCTGTTGGATCCTCAGTGTAGAAGTCCTTCTCATCATGGTTAATCAGTAGTGATCACATATATTGGATTCCTGATGCTTGTAGTTTTTGAGTAATGAGCTGAAAGGACTGTATCCAGGTAAGAGTAGCTCTGCTTACATCTTCGTAAAAGCATAGAGAGGAATCTTCAACTGAAACTGGCTGCTTGCCTTTCACCAAAGCTAATAGATTGCCCTTGTCAGTCTTTATTGACCTGGAACAATACTGTTTTACTCTTTTATGTTTTACTTTTTCTGGATTACTCCATTTGTCTTCCTAAACATTTCTTTTTAAAATAATTACCAGATCTATTTATTCAATCAATATTTTGACCTTATTGTTTGTTTTGCAGTGAAATGGTTTTCGTCACATGGTATCTGTTAATGCTCTGTACAGCCATTTGACTTTAATGGACTGTGCTTTTAATGTTTGTTCTGCTTGTCACATAATGTTACACCACTTTACAGTTAGTCAGTTAGTTGAATGGGTTTGTCTCTTTGGCTGAAAAAGCAAATAAAAAAGCAATTACTGTGCGTGATGTACATGAATATGGCATAGTATAATTGCCTTCCATTAAAGTTGCAGTATTACATTTCCCCAATGCACAATATGCCATTTAGTGGCAACATTAAGTAATAAACTACATTCATTCTCCGTAACTCTGGTTTACAATCCTTTTAGCCATTTCACTTATGTACAACAGGTAGACTAACAAACAAGGTAGACATACAAGAATAGACAATGGCACAGGCACTGCGGACATTCATACTTTTTCTTTAGATACCAGGACATCCTTTCATATCTATGGATTTGCAAATTCGTAACACCACTTTCGATGAAACTTATCTAAAACTCCCATAATAATCCCTTTTGAAAGGGGATAAAAACAAAAATCTCTGCCATGCTTAATATTTCTGTGTTTGTGAAAATGAAGACATACTTCAACAAAGTGTACGTGTCATTTATTTACCGTGTAGATAGATGCATTGGAAAATAATACTGGAATCTTACAACAAATCACATATTGCCTTGTTACTTTTTTTAAAAAGTACTGCAGCCAAAAAGGAAGTACAGTGGTATAGGCTATTACGTTGGAACTTCAATAATAGAGGCTAGTGAGAAGGAAATGGTTTGCTGTTCTCATCAACGGACCTCAAAAACACCTTGTTCCTGAAGTTGCTAGATTGTTGAATGTGGTTAAAGAGCAAAAAACTTGCATTATGCTATCTCCAATGGGCTCTGATAAAAAAAAAATGTGCATTCACATTTTTTTTTTTTTTAAATGACACATAGGCTTTTTAAACTCACTGTTTATATTTCATAATTGTTTGCTTTCCTTGCTCATTTTTTTCTATAATGTAGAGTCTGTCACATTCCTCGGTCAAGAGTGTACCCACCACTTTCAGAGGACGTGTGTGTGTGTGTGTGTGTGTGTGTGTGAAAATGAAAATAACTAGAAGCTGTTTGGCACAATAGCAGCACACTTTTGTGAAAAAGAGGTAGTTGCACTAAATACAATGTAAATATTTTATTCACACAATGAAAATATAAAATGTATCAATGCACCACTAATAAAATGCAAGGTTACTTAAGAAAATGCACTGATAAAATGAAAGTCTTGAAAAACGCTGTGTCCGGATAAAACGTATAGAAGTTGTTGGCATCTTTATCAGTTTTCAGCTGATGTCCAGTTATTTATTCCATCGGGATAATTTTCATGAAATCATAATTTGTATTTATACTTATCTACTTTATAGCAGTAATATTTATAATTACTAGATGGATCAAATAGCATTCTTTCAGTTGTTTTTTGTGGGACTGTGTTTTAGTGTCTAGTTGTTTTGGCTTCTATCCAGAGATACGAGGAAGATAAAATGGGAATTGTTCAGTTAACAGTGTGATCTTCATGCACAAACAGGGTCTGCTGTACTCCGAAACAATGTGATCCTCATGCATTATTAAGATCTCCCTCCTACCAGTAATTTTACCTTATTGGCACTCCCTACACCCGTTAATTTATTCACCAAGTACCTCTGTAATGACTCCTTTAATATTTCTACCTCTTGTTACTGTGGAAATTAGATGCTCTGTGTTATAACTAGTTTTCATATTTAGCTGCTATGTTCCTCTTCTTGGAGTACAGCTATAGCAGTGCACTGTATTGATTGTGTATTGATACTTTTTATATTTGTATTGTGTAATGATTTACATTGTATTGGCACAGCTACGTATTTCTGATTAAAAAAAAAAAATTATGGGGAGTTACATAGTAATCTAGATTGAAACCAGATTCGAGTTCAACCTTGAACCCCTAAAGAACCCTTTCCTCTGCTGTGAGCCTAATGAACTCTAATCTATCGACTATGAGGTTAGCTGTTTGTAGTGACCTTGTATGTGTTTGTCTAGTGCAGGAATAGGCAACCTTCGGGACTCCAGATGTTTTGGACTACATCTCCCATAATGCTCTTACACCCATAATGCTGGCAAAGTATCATGGGAGGTGTATTCCAAAGCATATGGAGTGCCGAAGGTTGCCTATGCCTGGTCTAGTGCTATCTTATCTCCTATGAGACATTGTTTATCTAAAGAAAACAAATGCAGTTTTTTTACCCTTTCTTCACAACTGTTTTTCATCCCCCTCATTCATTTTGTAGCTTGGCTCTGCACTTTTATAGTTTTGCAATATCTATTTCAAACTAGTGCCCAAAGGTGCACCTCATACTGAAGGTGGGGTTTTACCATTAAAGTATAAAGAGGTAAAATTATATTTTGATCGCGTAAATCAATACCCCTTTCTATACATGATAGCACCTTACTAGCATTTGCAATAGCAGACTGGTATTGCATACTGTTGCCTAGTTTGTTATCTATAATTGTTCCTAAGTCCTTTTCATTTAAAGTTCTCTATAACTCATCTCCATTTAATGTATACATTGCTTGTGGGTTCCTTATTGCACATGCATGACTTTGCATTTATCTGTACTCAAGGTGGTGTATAATGTTTAGACTGTACTATCTTGCCTAGTTTTGTGTCATCTGCAAATACAAACACATGCCTTTCAATGCCTACTGCAAGATTATTTATAAACAAATTTTAGAGAGGTGGACCTAGGAGAGAACTGTGAAGCACTTTACTTTTGTCAAATTTTAACATTTTCCATTTACAACTGCTCTATTTTTTTGTTTTTGTTTTTATATTCTTTATTTTTGTTGTGCATATAGGATACATACAAGCTGGCAATGCCACAACAGCAAATACCAGCAGCTCATAGTTTACAGTAGTATGGCGTAGAATAAAAGAGCACATTTTTTTCTTTTATAACCAAGCTTGCAATAAACAATCATCAGTGTGTAGATCACGACAGACAACTAGCACAATTCTTGAATAACGCAAGAGAACAGAGCACGTTGCCTACTTCAGTTTAGGCATATATGTCGTAAAAGCTAAGTAGGCGACGACCTGTATCCTGTCATGCAGGTTCGTGTAAATGCAATAAAACATGCTTGTGTATTGTAAAGTATTAGGAAAAGTACAACTAATGGTGCAAAAGGAGAAGACCTTCCACCAGAGTTGCAGAGGTTGTAAGATACTTAGGGCATAACCCCGAATAAATATAAGAGAGAGAAGGACTGGAAGGGTTGAGTTAAAAAAAACAGAACCACTTGCAGACCTAGTATCCTTAGAGAGGCTGCTCTGTTATAGATAAGTTTAAATGCCTTTGTATATTAAGAGCAAAAAGGAAGCTATAAATGTTATTCATCCCTAGTTGGGCTATAAACATAACATAATGTGAAGAGTCAAATAGTGAAAAAATAATAATAAAGAAAAAAAAAATAGTAAGTGAGTAAAAATAGGACTAACCATTATATCAAATAAGTCCAAACAGTTATTTTACAGACTAAGAGTAATTGTATAAAGTTTTGCACATTAATGCAAAAAAAATAACTTGTCTGTATCTAGTGCTGAAATAGATCTTGATATTTAGGTATAACTCAATGTTTGATTAGAAGGCAAGCTAAGAGACATTGTAGTGCATATAGTTATAAATTATTTGAAATAAGCGATGTAATCGGTTGCCAATTGTAAAAATCAAACGGAGGTATACCCCAAGGGGTTGATGCATAAACGTAGAAAGATAGAGATATTTGGGGAATTAAAAGGCAGCAAAAGCCAGGTTGGCTATCAAATCAACCAGCTGACCTAATAGATACAGCCATAATAGGATTCCCCCCGTTATAATGTCTCTGTAGTATTACCATCGAATAATATCTCTATGTTGCACAATGTAATGAGTCATGCAGAGTGGCTCGCTCAGTGGTGAGAGCCGCTATCGGTATGCTGTGTGACAATAATAAGCGTAAATAGGGGTAGGGGTCTATTTGAGTGTGATCGAATTGCCAATTTCATCTGAAGTCCCAATACAACGGCCGTAATGTCGGGACTTCAGGTAGGCGGCTAAAACACCCACAGATGAACTCCCTTCCCCAAATAGATAGCTAGCATTCAGTAGAAGTGGCAAAAATAATAGGTTAAGTGATTAAATAAATCATAAGCCTATAGAGCGATACATTGTTTAGAGGGTACTAATGGAGATTTGGGGGGTAGGGAATCCCTACACTAACCATCGAGAGATATAGAACCAGTTGTGTTAATCCCAGAAGGGATATTAAATGGTGGTAATAAAAGTCCCCAATAGATTCTCCCTAAAAGGGAGAGAGTGAATAAAAAACGGTTGTCCTAGTGAGAAGCATCCACAGTGACAGGAACTTAGCCTAACGCGCGTTTTGGCGATATCATACGCCTTTGTCAAGAGCTAGTTGCAGACTGTGCTGCGCCATTTTTTAAACCTGTTAGACCACGCCCACTTGAGTCCGTGACGTCAGATGATGCTCACGGGTAGTATCCATGCAGGGGTGTGTCTTATTAGGAGAGTGGGATGTGTTGAATTTGGCAGGGGGAGAAAAATTAACTTCTAAAGTGACGAGATCTTTGAAGTGAGCCTCCCAGAGCCCTTAGTAGGGATTAAGTGATGGTATATATTAGTTCCAAAAGATAATTGTTGATCGTTGAAAGTGTGTATTTGTAACCAAGTGTGACAATAAACATGAATATAAGTAATTATGAATTTGACTAGTAGTCTCTGAGTTATACCTAAATATTAAGATCTATTTCAGCACTAGATACAGGCAAGTTATTGTTGCATTAATGTGCAACTCTTTATACAATTACTCTTAGTCTGTATGATAACTGTTTGGACTTATTTTATATAACGGTTAGTCCTATTATTAATCACTTACTATTTTTTTTTGTTTATTATTTTTTTTACTATTTGACTATTCACATTCTGTTATGTTTATCGCCCGACTAGGGATTAATAACATTTATAGCTTCTTTTTTGCTCTATTGTAAAGTATTAATTTGGCTGGGCTAACGCATCTGAGCAAACCGCATATACTGAACACAAATAGTACGTCAGTGCTAGACATGAGGCTAACTAAAACAATAAACATTTAAGAGCAAAATATAGTAATCAGGCTAGAGCATCGTGTCTAAGCATATGTTTGTAGTTAGGCTTGCATCCTTTCAAATTGGAGAAAAATGCACTGAATAAACATTATGGAGGGTAAAAATAACCACTAGGTAGGCATCCGATAGTAAAAAAATCAAAATTATAGACCAAATAAAGTAAAACATAATGAGGCCTTCCAAGTGCTTGCAAGTTAAGCCAGAGAGGTGAGCACAGATTCAGAGTCCAGGATTCAGCCGATACCGCATGGGGGAGACTGTTTGGATTGATAATGCTAGTTTGGCTGCATTCCTGCTCCACCACTCCACAAGCCCAGGCCGGCTTAGAAGCCAGTGCCCCTGCGCATCTATGCCCTCTATCTCTGGTGATAGTCACTTGCCCGCAGGACCACACTCCCATTAACCGTCCCACAGGGCTGTGGAAGGCAGGTGGACATGTCCACCATCAGGTCTTTCGGCCCAGAAGCAGAGCTGCGATCCATTATTTTGTTGCAGGGTGTCATTGGTGCAGGCTGAGTATGTTGTTGTTGCTATCTTCGGGCTTCAATCCAGACCCAAAAAGGCTGTACAGACCACATCAAGCACCACTTGAAACCTGGTTTCCCACAAAGGTTTCAGGGGCTCACCAGGTATGGTATCTTAAGGTTGTGCCCAGATCTTAGCGGCAGGGTCATCGGATGCTGTTCCTCACTATGATGGCTAGTCCGTGGTGGCCATTTTGAGATCTCCACTGGGCCCTAGGCTTTTGTAGCTGTAAAGCCAGCTCAGGATAGATAGGCTTAGGGTCTCTGGTGGGGTCCGGAATAACCCCCTTCGGACCAGGATGGGGAATACAGGGCTTCGGTTTCATACAGGATTAGACCAACCAGATCAGGTTCCGAAGATCGACTATTTCTCCCAGCCAGGCCACGGAATAGGCCTCAAATTGTGACCACCAGTTGGCACCGGTTAGTGAGTGATATCACTCGATCGGTGATATGCCCCAGAGTTACCAGGTGTTGGCCTGTAGCAATATAGGGCTGAAAGTAACTGTATTTGGAGTATAAAATTTATAAAGTTAGGAACTCAAGCAACCTGTGTCTGCTTGGCTTGATTGTCAGGCCCCGCCCCCCAACTGCTCTATTTTTAAGCTAGTGTTTTTTCAGCTTTAATAGTAACCTTTTGTGTGAAACTGCATCAAATGCCTTAGCAAAATTGAAGTAGATCACTTCCATTAGAATACACTGATTGATAATTCTACTAACTTCTTCATAGAATGCAATTGTTAGTTTGACATGACCTGACTTTCATAAAACCATGTCAATTCCTGGTAATTATATTGTAGTTTAATATGAATTCTTGAAAATTATAATGGCCCAGCAAATAATTTCCCAACCACATATGTTAAGCAGGTATGTAGTTCCTGGGTAAAGCTTTTAAATCCTTTTTAAAGCAAAACATCTGCTTTTCTCCAATATTCTAAAAAAATTTAAATGCTAGTATTGATATTTCTACACTAAGTCCCCTAAGCACACATAGGTGAATACGATCTGGCAATCTATCTGAGACTTTGTTTACATTAACTGTATTTAATGTCTGAAGCATTTTATCCTGAGGTAAGACTTTTGTAACAGGGATTTGCAGATCTGCAACCATAGATTATTCTCCCTATATATTGAAGAAAAATGATTTAGATTTTTTGCCTTGTCCTGATCCTCTTTGATTAATTTGCCCAACTCACTTTCCAATGGACTAACACTTTGACTTTTAGCCTTTTTGGCATTAATAAAACTTTTTAGAGTTGGTATTGCTCTCTTTGACTTTGAGATTTTCATTTTCAATTTTAGCCCATCTCATCGCCAGCCCTATTGGCATGCTTGCATTTGTTATAGGATGCTATTGACCCCTCATATATAAATATGTGTGTGTGTGTGTGTGTGTGTGTGTATATATATATATATATATATATATATAATATAGTTTTGAATGTCTTTTTCTTATATTTTATCATTTGACTGACTCTTGCACTACGCCACATTGATTTTAATTTGTTTCTTTTATATTTGTTTCCCAATGGTATATATTGAAAAATGTACTTTTGTACAATTTGCTTAAAGACTTTCCATTTCAGTTCTGTGTTTTTTTTTGTTTTTTTACCAGCGAATAATTCCTGCCAGTCAATTAGTCGTAAAGATGCCCTTATCTTATTAAATTTAGCCTTTAAAAATCTTTGTCAAACTGATCTAAATTTGTTTTGGAGTTGATCTCAAATGATACCCTATTATGGTTACAATTTCCTAAGAGCTCCCTAACGTGAATATTTGAAAATAGGTCAAATGTATTTATTTATTTATAAAATATTTTACCAGGAACGATACATTGAGATTTCACTCGTTTTTCAATTATGTCCACAAAGCAATACAATTAAATACAAAAAACAATATTAATATACAATATATACAAAATGTAACATAGAACAGGTAAGAAATATATAATAAACCATGACAGGTGCATTCTGCTTTGAGATATTTAGAGAGGGATCTCTTAAAGAACTTTAGGCTTGGAGAAGATTTGAAAGTGTGCGGGAAGTCATTCCATAATTGCGGTGCTCTGTAGGAAAATGAGGATCGAGACACTTTCTTTTTGTATTGAGGTATACTAAGTAAACTGCTGGTACTGGATTGGAGGTTATAGGTCGTGGGAAAGGCCAGGGAGAGCATTCTGCTTAGGTACGGTGGGAGCTTCCCAGGAAAAGCTCTTAAACACAAGGCTGGAAAGATGAAAAGTGAATCTGGATTCCAGCGACAACCAGTTCTTTTAGCACGTCACAATGGTGGGTTCTGTAATTACATTGTAGCACAAAGCGGCAGAACGAGGTTATACAATGTATTAAACTTATTAAGGTGAGTTTATGGTGCAGGTATATATACTATATCCCCATGATCAATGATTGGCATCCGTATTTTCTGTACAATCTTTTCCTTTACTGTAGGGCTTAGGCAGGATTTGTTTCTGTACCGGGCATCTAGTTTTGGATAAAGTTTTGATGCAAGATTTTCTATGTGGAGGCCAAAAGATAGATTGGGGTCTAACATACCCAAGTTTTTGAAAGAGTGGACTGTGGTCAGTGTGCTATTTGATTTTGGTTTGATGGATAGATGGGAATTGTGTAATTTGTCTAATTTAGGTACTGTACCAAAGATCATTGTGACAGTTTTTTCAGTGTTTAGGAAGAGTTTTTTTTGTGATCCACTTTTCTACCTCTGTGAACTGGTCTGGTCTTGGAGCACAGCCTCAAGCTGCGGTAGATCGGGTTTGCTTGAATAAATTACTGTGTCGTCTGCAAACATTTGTACATTTGAGGATTTGCAGACATTAGGGAGATAATTTATAAATAATGGAATAGTAGGGGGGCGAGAATGGAACCTTGGGGAACACCAAACGTGACTGGGAGAGGGAGGGAGTCACTATCGGAAATGGACACATATTGTGATCAGTCCAATGCATATGATCGAAACCAGGTTATCGGTCAATCACTATGTAAATGTAATAGTTATTACATGATTCAGTTATTGAACCAAATATTTTGGTGGTTGTCTGTGGTAGGAGATATGCAATACTATTATATATTCCTACAGTAAATTCATGCCTTTATGGGTTGTAGTTCATATAACAGCATGACATTCCTGTAATCCCAAAAGGAATATCAGACAGATCAAAGTCTGAAACAGGACATCTAAGTGTATTCTGTTGAACAGTTCGTGCTGCTAATTTCATCTACCACTGACTAAGCAAGCCCTTCCTATGTTCAGATCATGAATAAGTTATAAGTACACTGCCTTTTTTTCATGCTGCACTTTATAGAAACATAGACTGTGACAGCAGATATGAACCCTTTGGCCCATCTAGTCTGCCCAATTTTCTAAATATTTTAATTAGTCCCTGACCTAATCTTATATCTAGGATAGCCCTATGCCTATCCTATGCATGCTTAAACTCCTTCACTATCTTAACCTCTAACACTTCATCTGGAAGGCTATTCCATGCATCCACTGCCCTCTCAATAATCTCAGGAATACTTCCTGATATTATTTTAAAACCTTTGTCCCTCTAATTTAAGACTATGTCATCTTGTTGTGGTAGTTTTTCTTCTTTTAAATATGGTCTCCTCATTTAGTGTGTTGATTCCCTTTATGTATTTAAATGTTTCTATCATATCCCCCCTGTCTCATCTTTCCTCCAAGCTATACATGTTAAGATCCTTTAGCCTTTTCTTGTACGTTTTATCCTGCAATCCATGAACCAGTTTAGTAGCCCTATGAACTTTTTTTCAATCATTTACATACTTTGTGTTCTAGGTTTCTGGCTGCTGACAAAACATGAAAACTTCAGATCTCACAAACTGATCGTGTATCGAGGAGCAATTATAGATAGCTAACAATTAGCAAAAGACCAAAGCAGAAATCAAATTCCTGTCCAACAAGGAAATCATATACTGTTATTACTTGCGTATATAAAATCACGGTGCACAGAGAACTTAGTATTTTGAATCAGTTTTGTGATCATAAGAGAACAGAGAAAAACTAAAAACTAAAATACTTTTATATACTTGGCAAAAATGAGACAGATCCATAACGTAAAAGAATATTGTACGGCTTGACATTTTTCATTCACTTAAGCTTGTATTTGAAGTTTATGTCAAAGTGAATTTCTACGTTTATCTTTCAAACAAAAATGCATAAATTATCCATGAAATGCCTTTGTGGCAGAATGGAATTACTTCAAATTCCCTACTAGATGGAATTTGAAACTGTGTTATTTGTTATGATTATATGTCTGCTCAAATCTCCTCCTACGCGCAGGTTATTTTGCCTGTGGCTAGTTCATGTATTTTAACTTGGAGCACATCACAGAACGAACCTTTAAATGAAGTGTTTTCATGCATACTACAGCTATATTTTTGTTTCTGCTGTTTGAATATACAAACCATTTATTATAGCAGCATATATTGTTGGTAGCCAACTCGTAGCTTTCCAGCTGTTTTGAATTCTAACTCCCATGATACTTTGTCTAGCTCTGCGCTATTCTTACACCACAACTCCTTTTGTCGAACCTAAAACAACAGATGTGTTGCTGCAAAAAAACATTATTTTTTTAATTGTTACATTTGCCTGCGAAGCAATACATACACAAGCTGTATTATAATCTACTTATATACCAGCAATGCATCCCTTGCTGCAAATACATTTTTCTACCAAATGTGCTCAGTAGTGAAGAGTTTAATACATGCACGGTAAATATTTTGTTTTAGAAATCATATTGATTAACTAACATTCACTTTTATATTCTATTTTGGAACAATCCTAAAACAGACCAGCTTCCCGACAGGCAGGTGGGCTGGGATTTGACATCATTGTTTTCATTTAGCTAAACATTAAAGGATTACCTGTAAATGTCTAGGCATTTGGTAGTGAACACCACAACAGCATAATATTGTTTCCCTATGGGAAAGGTGGGCTTGTACCCCAGGAATTGTCATAAAAATAGACTTTCATCAATTTTAATGGAAACCACACATGTGACTTAATGTGATTGCTAGAATGTTGTCTAGTCCCCTTAAAGGTGCATTGTTAGGCTGGCACTATCTTGGGCAATTGTAAAGATTGTGATAGAGCTACAAAAGGTTTAGCCAAGCAAAATTCAGACTATCTATTAAGTGATCATATCAAATGTATTCTAAAGAAAACCTTTAGAACATTTTTTCAATGGATCCTGAAAGATATCTTTCAAATGAATATATAACATTATTTATTATTAATGTAAAGTTGAAATTACAAATTCAAAAGGTGGGGTACCATCCAATAAGATTGCTAATCTGGAAAGATAAAATGAATGGGTTACAGTGGTTAAATGGTGCATTAAGCTTTCCCCATTTCTGGGACACAAACCACAGCAACATTATGCAGTATTAGCGGGTTTTGATACATCCAGGTAGGTAGAGAGCCCCCCTTTAACCAGTCAAAGATGCTCTGGAAATCCGTGATCCAAAAGGGTAATAAGTGCTCAGGCAACCCTCACCAGTTTGAGGATGTGTGCTGACACTATAATAAGTTATATCTATAAGGCCATAATAATTGTCTCCTCAGGTGAAAATGTACATAAGGAAACAGAGTGAGAAGTGACTTTGTATCATGTATTATGTATGGGATGTCTAATTGCCTCTGTCTCGTCTGCCTTGTTCTGCTACAGTTCAACAAAATCTAATCTTAACTGGGGTAGGGGAGGTCATGCGCGGAAGAATATGTAGTTGCGAGGCTCCTGAGTAAGTGCTCTTATAAGCAACCATATAAAGCAAAATTATAGTAACATATGATCCACGTGTCCTGAGGGATACCCAGAGATAACATCCTGAGGCTCCAATGGAAGCCTCCATGTCTCTGCTACTGTAGATCAAGATGGCAACTACAGGACTGTATTGTTGTCATCGAGCTCTGCATTGATGTATTACTATATCAACTTCGGGGGCCCACAGCACTCACTTAGGCTACCTTTCAAAACCTACTAGACAAGCTGCAAACTTCCCTAAAGCAAAGCATCCACATGCTGATGATCTAAGAAAGGCTGATGAGCTATGAAAGGAGACACAGTGCATAGGGAAGAGAATCACACATATAGAGTGCAAAATGGAGAGAACTGGTGTCAGCCCACAATTCTATTACTGACACACATGATGCCATGTATACTTGAGTAATAGCATCAAAATGTAAACTTTCCTACATTTAGGAGGATTTCTCCAGAAGAAACAATATACAACTCTGTGGAACAGCTGAATTGGTGGATAACACCACCCTATATGATTTTGTATCCTTGCTTTTCCTGGAAAAAAGGACTTGTTACTAGATGGGGCACATAGACTGTCTCAACTCTGGTGATTACCACGGTAGAAGAAGGGACTTAACGAGTGCTATGGGACATTCCGGTTGCCCAAGTTCTCATCAATGCAGCTCCCTGAACATTTACTACCCCAAGGCTCAGGCATGACTGGCAGCAGGAAAGACTAGCAACATGAACGTAGGGGTTTTGGGATTTACTTGGAAACTTGCCAGGCCACTGTGTTACCCTTTCACAGAGATTGAGTTCTTAAGATAATTGTAATGGCTTTCAAATATGAGGTTATGTTTTAACTTGTTCTCTTAAATGATGCTTTGGGTCTGGGGAATGAGGCAGTTGTTGGGATGCTGAGGCGCATCATGGTAGTTTGATTACAGTGGTGAATTAGATGTGCCCTTTTTCAAGGACTAAGACGACAACAGTGGATAATTCTGCCATTTCCTTTATGTTTAATAATTGAAATAGTTGCTTTATTTATATTTAATATTTTACAGATGTCAAATCCTTACACTATTGACACATTGACATGCTTGACCTTCATGGAATACAATATGGTCTCCAGTAGACCTTGCCCTTAAAATGTTATTGATAGCATAACAAGTAGTGTACACACTAGAAACCGTCCTGGTACTGCCACCTGCACAAGCAGAATTGTACATATTTATTTCTGTTATGTGTTGTACATAGTTACCTTATCTCTCTTTTTTTTTTTTTTCCAAAGTCCTTTTTATCACATACTCCCCTTTTCCACCCCCCCCCCTCCCTCCAATACATGACACACTTGGATGCTCTTTGAAGGAGTCTCTGGGGCCATCAAGCCAATAATACTTACAATGGTTTGTATTCACCCTTAATATATTTGTATAATGCTATTATATCCCTCTAAGGTACCATTTTTCTAAATGGTTTAACATATGTTGCACAGCATATTTAATGTGTTTCCTTACCATGGATTTATAAAGTAGCAAAATTATATTTTATTGTTGCCTAGTTTGTTGGATGTAACAATTCCAAGATTTTTCTCATGTGTTGTTATCCCTCATTCATTACCATTTAGGGTGTAGTTGCTTGTGTATTCTTTTCCCCACGTGCATAACTTTGCATGTATCTACCTTACATTTAATCTGCTATTTGAGCCCAGCTCCACAATCTATCTAAATGTATCTGTAGAGAAGTAATATCCTGCTCACCTTATATTACTTTACAGTGTTTTGTAGCATAACTTTTAATGCCTAATTAAAGATCTTTATAAATATGTTGAATAGATGAATTAGAACAGAACTCTGGGGGACACCTGGGGGACACCACTAACCACTTTTGTCCAACTTGAAAACGTACTATTAATGACAACTCTCTGTACTCTATCTTTAAGCCAGTGTTCTACTCAAGAACATTAATTTTTATCTAGAACAATTAATTTTAGTTTGAACACTAGCCTACACGTCTGCTACATGTCTATAAATTAGTCTTACTTGCCAACAATCTTACTTTATTTCTTCACTTTCTTTCCACAAGAGCTTCTACTTTGCTCTGTAGAAATCTATCCTACCCATCAAACTTGTAACATATCTTAATGAAAATACTGATACATGAAGATTGATGTCCACTTCAATTTTTCTCGCTCTTTAACTGAAATGGAGGATCCTACTCATCTGTCTTCATGTGCTGCATTCTGGTACTTGTACCAGTTCTTTTACTGTACCTTTTCTATTGCCCACTCTGTCTAGCTAACACTTCCATGAATATCTGCATGCCTTCTGGTCTCTTGAAAGCCTTTCACCTAACAATATCTTCAACATCTTAAATATAATATTATGAATCACTTGCCCAATCTAGATAAACTAATTTTTGCCAAAACACTGGGCAAAGACGGGTTGGTTTCTTTGTGTGAAACTGCATTCCATTTGAACTTCACAATTCCTGTTTGCTGGGTATGTGTACCAATTGTGTGTTTCCATGTCATTCACTGTAGAAATAATTTATGTGTAATAAAGGAACACTGTAGTGTTAGGAATAGAAATATGTATTGTGTTCATCTGCCCATCTCCTTCTTCATGCCTCACTCACTTAAAGGGTCAAAAACCCTCTAAACCTTTACTTGATTCGAGCACCAAGGTCCCTCTGCACTGACTCCGTCTTGACATTTTTGGATATCAACCCCATGGGGATCCTAATGCATGTGCACATTAGGCCTTCCCCATAGGAGAGCATTGAATTCATGCTTACTATGAGGTATCTGAAGACGCTGAATATCTTCTGAGAACTTCCAGCATCGTTTCACAGATTAAAACTCCATGAAATAGCAGAAAGTGCCTCTACTGGCTGTCTTGTAGACAATGGCTGTCTGGAAGCACCACTAATGGAAGTCTTAACCCTGAAATAAACATTGCAGTTTCTCTTAATCACCATTTCACAAACAACCAAATTAGCTATTGTCCTTTTAGTTTTTTAGTGACCTTTATTCACGCATTCATTCATTTATTCATTAATTAAAGCATGGCTTGGGTGTGGTAAGCCAATTATCTCCTGCATACAGAAAATATCTCCATTTACAACAGTAGAAACACATAAAAATACATAATTCCTATCATACTGAACAGAACCCCCACATTCAACCTATCCCCGGATAGCTTGGATCTGAGTGCTGACTATATCTGAACACAGTCAAATCGCCATGGGATTAAACCATGGCAAGGGCTGATGAGAGACAGAGGAGGGGCAAAACGGCTAGTTCCAACTGGTCTGGCAGTGTCCCTGGGACAACGACCTGCTGGAGAACAATAGACAGGAAATGGGGGATGGGCACACCTTCCCATGTATTCAAAGGGGCAGAAACAGTGTTTCAAAATCCAATAAGCCCAAATAAGTTTCTTAAAGGGCAATACATTTCAGGGGCCATAGTCACAGGGCAGAAGGCTGGAAATCAGTCTTCTCCAATGCCCAGTAGCGAGGCTGGTTCCGTCACAGTATTATACCCTGTATAGAGCACCTAATAAATACTCAGTTCCGTGCAAGTAAAATATAATACCACATAGATACTTAATAGCTTCCTATGTCTAATTTGCTATTCCGTTTTGTGTTTGTGGGTTTTAGTGAAGTTGTTTATATACATTGTTGTTTAGATTGTGTATTTACTTGTATATACGTGTATTTAATGATTTTGCAATGTTGGATAGTTATTTCATTTTAAGTTAAACATAATTTTCCCTTATGTAACTAATTTGGCAAGTGGAAAATAATGTATAACCAAATTATAAATTTTTTGTCTAGGGTCTATTGTCCACGTAACTGTGCCCAAGCAAGTCCACACTATGCACGTGTGTTTGGAACAAGGATTTATTGTGATGTAAGTAGCTTTATTATTATAATGCTTTTCAATGCTTTCAGATTATTGATACCAAACAATGGATTATGCTAGCATTCGATACAATACCATTATTTATACTCCTCTCTTATAGGTCTTGCTTCCATGGTTGTTGCAATCACTTAGTCATTGATTAATTGCTAATATAGCTGTACATATCATTAGGGATTTCGAGAGGTTTCTATGTTACAAAAACGTTTAACAACCAGCAATTAGCCAATGCTGAAAATATTAACATATCTCAAAAAGATTAATATGAGTTGGTAATGCTAAGTGTTGCCTGGTATCCCAAGCTAAATTATAAAAATGACTGCCTGCCACTATCTGAATAATAATAATAATTATACAGTGTCCCTTTTCTCAATTATTAATTTCTTAACTAAAAAAGGTGGCACCATGTTTGCCTAAAAGATCTGCCTTAATGCACATTTGAACTAAATTGTTCTTGCAGTTTTTTTTAAAATGTAGAATTTCCATTGTATATTCTGAATCTTTTCATAAATTATATTAAAATGTTAGTTTATGTGAAAAGGCAAACCATCAAGATATATACTGTACATTTTATGTCTAAGTCTGCAATTTGGAATTTAAAAAATGTGAGCATTGCGTGTTTTAAAAAAGTGAGGTATTGAAAGTACAACGTGTGAAATATGTGCATATTAAACAATCTTGTAGAATAAATATTGCAAACATTTTAGTAGGGTTCATTGTGTGCTCTGCAAACCGGTGTGCTTTCACAGTGCGGCTAGCCTTGTTTGGATGGCCGATCTAGATCTTTTGTAATAAAATGATACGATGGTTTAGATTTTGGTATTTTGCTGAGTTGTACAAAAAAAGAAATCATTAAGCAGCTGGGTATTTACATTTTATGGCATGTAAAGAACTGATGGATGCCAGAGGGTTTACTATTCAACTCTAATGCAAAGTCATGTAATACCCTATGAAATGTTTAGACTAACTTACAGAATATATTAAGCTGCCGTTACTGGCTGAGCCAACGGTGAAATGTACAAGCTAGATCAGAGATTCCTTAGTTAAGAACATGTCTTACAGATGTAGCCATATTTAAAGCATGCTTTGAAATTAAACCTCTCTCCATACTGAACAAAACATGTGAAGTGCTTTCTACTGAATACCAAATTTGAATCCAATACTTTATTTGAAGAGATATATTTAATGATGCTTAAAAAATTGAACAATTAGCAAGGTTAGTTGGCTTGTTTATCTAGTGACAGTTCTAATTTTAGAACTTTAATCTACAAGTCACATTTATTACACTAAGTAATAGAAGATAAAACAATTATGATAGTGTGTAAGTATGCCCATTCCAAAAAGTTCCATTCCATACAGTAGGAGCACCAGAACCATTACAGCGACATATAGTGGATTTAGTGCAAGCAGACTACCCCTGCTGTCTCCGCATTGTAAACGTTGCCTTTTCTGAGAAAAGATTTTAGGACACCTTTGTGGCTGTCACTCATACAGTCACTAGAGGGCACTTCCTCTTTTGGTCCTGCAAACTTTGCATCTTCACTCCCTGCATGAAGACACGGAATGCTCCTAATAGAGATGCTAAACCATCTTTTTAGAGAAAATGCTGAATGGTCCCCCCTGACCATTGCTGTGCAGGCACAGTAGCCTCCCAATGCTTCCCTACTCGGCGGAGGGAGTAAATGTAAGTAAATCTTCTTTATTTAAATTTTATGTAAATAAGTAGGGAAAAATAAGCTTTATTTGAATAGGCAAATAAACAAAAATCTAAATTCAGTATTAAAATGATGCATGTGGCCAGTGTGTATTAAAGCAGCTCTGTCACCTGCTTCCCCTCAACCCTCATAAGCTCCAAATCTTTATGGAATACTTACATTGGCTGAGTTGGAATTTCACAAAAATTCTAATACAGTCAAAATATAATCCTAATACAAAGTAGCGATTACTTTGGCTTTGTATTTTTCCAACACTTGAAAAAACTTGACAAACAGGGAAGCTATGTTTGTCAAGTTTTGTCATTTCCCACATCACTAGTGGAGGATGCTGCAGTCACATGGAATCCTCCATGGACCTCAGTGCTGTACATTTAAGAGGATAAAATACTGAGGTAAACTCCTTGCAGATGAAGCACCAGGAGCTGAAGAGGACTGCCAACAAGGTCACGGCGGCAGTTGCAAGGAAGATGTTCAGGTGAGTAAGACTAACCTTCCCTTGCACTTTGCGGTCAACAGTCACCCAGTTGAGCAGTCACCATTGACAGAGATGCTTTAAATAAATAGCATTAGAAGCAGTAACAAACTGCCTGAAGAGAAAACACAATGGTTTTACATGGTTTTCAATGGCTTTAATGTTTATATAAATGTAGATGATTTTAGTTTAGTAAACTAAGCTTGTTAAAATTAAGAGATCATTGTAGATACATACACATCATTAGAATATACAATTTACATACATTAAATCATACTCTGAAGGGAGATTAGATTTTGATATTCAGACAGAGAGCAGATATGTGACAATACACAGGATTATTCAATTAAGTGAGAATTGCCTGAATTCAATGTAAATATTTAGGATCATTTAGAGTAAGAATGGTTAAAAGACACAATAGGGCAAGAGGAGTTAGGAGACATGGAGAAACTTACGGGGGGAGAAGATGTTGGGAAAGAGATAACAGGGAGGGAGGGGGTGGAGCAAGTTACGGAGATTACTGGGGAGGGTGGAGAAAGTTGGAGGGAGAAGGTGGGAGGAGTGGGGAAAATTACAGGAGGGAGGAGGGAGTGGAGAAAGATTACAGGGAGGGAGGGAGTGGAGAAAAATTACAGGAGGAGGGGAGTGGAGAAAGATTACAGGGAGGGGAGAAGATTACAGGGAGGTGGGAAGTGGAGAAGGTTACGGGGGAGAAGGTTACAGGGGACAAGATTACGAGGGGGTGGAAAACTACAGGGAGGAGGGAGTGGAGAAGATTAGGGAGTGGAGAAGATTACAGGGGAGGGGTAGAGAAGATTACAGAGGTGGAGAAGATTTTGGGAAGGAGGGAGAAGAAGGGTGGAGGGAGGAAGGGAGGTGGAGAGATTGGAGGGGAGGGAGAAAGAAGAGGAATGGCACCAGGGAGGGGAGAGAAGATTATGGGGGAGGAAGAGAAGATTATGGGGAGGAAGAAGATTATGGGGGAGAAGAAGAAGTACAGGGAGAAGGGGGAGAAGAAATTACAGGGGAGGGAGAAGATTACAGGGAGGGAGAAGGCTAGGAGAACACAGGAGTGGAGATGAGAAGCGTAGGGAGGAGAGACCACTAAAGGAGGGAGGGGGCGGTGGAGAAGACCACTAGGGGGGTGAGGAGAGACCACTAAGGGAGGGGGGTGGAGGATAGACCACTAGGGGAGGGTGAGGGGAGAGGAGAGACCACTAATGGAAAGGGGGGCAGAGGAAAGCAGAGACCACTAAGGGGGAGACGAGAGACCACTAATGGAAAGTCGGGGAGAAAAGGAGACCACTAAGGGAGGTGGGGGGGAGAGGAGAGACCACTAAGGAGCAGGGGAGATCTCTAAAGAATGGAAGGGAGAGCTCTATAGGACAGAGGGCAGGACAGAGAGCTCTTTCACACCACGCGCGCACACTCACACACACAATGCATCCCTATACACACAGAACACAACATGCTTCCCTTACACACAGAGAAACACACAATGCAACCCTTACACATAAAGACAATGCATCCTTTGCACATATACACAGAAACACGCAATGCATCCTGTGACAGATCCATCTGTATAGACTAAGATTGCTGGATTCGTCTGTTTTGCCTGTTTCACGAAGTTACCTGTTCGTATGCCTTTGTTCAAGTGAATGGACTTTTCTGCCGAACAAAACTGACGAACGGACGGCCACCCAGAAGGGAAGTGTGCTGCTGGTTAACCTATTGATCCCAATTAGAACGTTGTGGTTAACCACAGACACTTCTCAATTAAAACCGAATACCGGGTGGTCGTCGTTCCTATGTCGACCACGAGGCGGCGGCCATTTTAAACCATGCGAAAGAAGAGCGGTGTTCGGCATTGATTTCATGGAACTGAAAACGGACACTTTTTCAACCGGACACAGCTTGTCAGGGATCCGCGGGCAGCACTCACCCTCAGTCCATCGGCCCGCGGTCTCCCCTCTACTTACCTGTCGGCGAGCGGCGTCTCCTCTCTGCCGCTCGCCGCCCGCGTCCTCCACGCCCCCCAGCGGCAGCATGTATAACGCTGCACGCTGGGAGGTCTCTGAACTATGTAAACGCCGGGGTCACGTGAGTGACCCGGCGTTAAAGGAACAGTACCACAATCACAGTGGGAGGTATAGATATCCCCCACGTGTGATTGTTAATTCTGATTGGAAGTTATCCAATCAGAATTAAACCAAGGGTATTTATACTTACGTTTCCTGTCCCTCAGTGCCCTGTTGTGGTCTTGTGATACCTGTAGCGTAGTGTTCTCGTCTTGCTCTCTGGTTACTGATTATTTGGCTCGTTATTCCGATTATCCTGTCTTCTCCACTCCTTTGACCTCGGCTTGTTTCTCGTTCTCCCGTTTTCTGGCTCCCTTTACTTGGCTTGTCTCCTGACTATTCTTAGCGTGCTTAGCCCGGCCACTCTAAGGACCGGTATAGCACCCTTCCTCTCTGTGACCTGTTAGCGTGTTAGGTTCCGGAATCGTGACACCGCTGAAGCCGTCGACCTCCCTCCTCAATCGACAGAAGTGTGCGAACATCGGCCGTTCGGGAGGTTTAAATGCACGAATGGACTTACCCCAGATAGCCTTCCCATGGAGTCAATCGCATACCGAAGAACTGTAATAGACTTTGACTCCATGGCGATTGAACTATGCGTATGGGATCTGAGCGCTATTCGCCAGTAATATGCACTCAGATCCAGGCTATCTGGGGATATGTGATACGTATGGTAGCATTCGACAAATGTAAAGTTATCTACTTTTATGTGTTTTTATGTGTTGAATTTAAAATGGCGATTTGCCTCTGTCCTGGAGATAATTGAATTACTTCTCAATTATCTCTAGCGCAGAGGGGAGGAATTACTAATGCATGCTGGGAATAATTTGTGTCTGTGGTTCCTGAACTGCCATATGTCTATCTGTTGCCACAGTCTCCCATTTGGTCCCCTAGGGGAGTGTCCACCATGTGGGAGACCTGCATAAATACGGGCAGGTAGCCCATAGTAAAGCCAGTTCTTGTTTTACCCTCCATGCGGAGCTTGGTCTCGTTATTGGGGGGATTTATTACCGACGACTAGAGACTGCTGGATGGGATTATTAGCTGCTTGGGAGATACCTCTGTTCGGCTGCTATTGGCGATTCGTAAATTTGGAGCTCGTGGAGGGAAGTGCCCGTACGAACCCCGTTCGTGAGTCTACAGCGTTCTCTTGCTTGCGGTTCGTATGATTACACTGTATACGCATGCAGCCTGGGTTATTGCGAACGGGGAGCTATCACAAAACGGCGGTTTGTACATTTCATGTTGAGGGTACTGTAACACATCCCTTACACACACATGCAAACACACACTGCTTCTCTTACACACACACAGAAACACAATGCATCTCTTACACACACTCAACGCACCCCTTACAGACACACATGGTGCATTCCCTTACATACACAGAAACACACTTTGCATCCCTTATGCATACAAACACAGATTCACACAATGCATCCCTTACATACAACAAGAAACACACAATACATACCTTATACACAAACACTCACTGCTTTCTATCCCTTACACAAAAACACACTGCTTCCACTACACACAAACACACTGCATCACCTACACAAATTGGTATCCCTATACACTAAATTCCATAAGCACACACATTAGATCCTCTACAGTAACACATAACACATCCCCTAGACACTCCACTCCCTGTGAGCGAACTCATGGGTGGACCATGTAGGTGGACTTATAGGTGGGCTTTATGGGAATACTCACTGTCAGGCCCTGGGGCCCAGACCTTGAGCTATATAAGAGGCCCCAAAAAATGGAGCTGCTTCCCGTTCTCCCAGAACATTGAATTTTGGGAACACAGTTACAAACAGCCTCCAGAGATCCTGTTCTACACCAGACCAGTGGAGCCAGACTGCAGCCAGAGCCAATCACCATCCTCACCTGATTGTAAGTAGGCAATCTAGTATATTATTAGTGACACTAATCTCTAATTTACCTCACATTAAATGGACACTATAGTCCCAGAACCACTGCAGCTTAATAAAGTTGTTCTGGTGTCTATAGTTTGTCCCTGCAGGCTTTTTAATGTAAACACACACTATGTGCAGCACTGGCATTAGTTCATATGGCAGATCATATGGGTGGGGCATTGCGATGTCCCGGGGAGGGGGAGAGGAGGGGCGGCAAATCTTTCTTTTGCCTAGGGCGGCAAAAATCCTTGAACCGGCCCTGCCAACAGGTGGCACTGTACAGGCTCCACAGCTAAATTCACCTAGTTGATTACAAGCATTACGATTATTACATAAACCCTGCACCCACAATGGATACAGGGTGACTTAAACATAGGAGTCATCCAGGGATCTAATTGAAGTGTCCATCTTATGCTCCCAGTGATGGTGACTACTATCATAAAAGGTTAAGAGGGGAATAAGAGACAACTAGGGGTAAGTGGTTTAGGGAGAAATACAAAAGAGTAAATGGGGTTAGGAGGCACAATGGCATAAACACAATTTGTCAATAACAGATTTTTGTTTATGCCATTGCTGGTATATTAAGCAGAAAATAAAAAAAATCTAATTCCACCTTGACATAAGTATTCAGACCCTTAACTCCATACTTTAGTAAAGCACATTTGGCAGTCATTACAGCCTCAAGTCTTTTTTGATACAACAAGCTTTGCACAGCTGGTTTTGGGTAGTTTTTGCTATTCATTCCTGCAGATCCTCTGTTATGTCAGGTTGGATAAGGACCACTGGAGGACAGCAATTTTCAGGTCTCTTCACAGATGTTTGAGTCCAGGCTCTGGTTAAACCACTCATGTACATTCACAGAGTTACACACTCTTGTTTTGTCTTGGCTGTGAGCTTAGGGTCATTGTACTGTTGGAAGCTGAACCTTCCCAGTCTGAGGTCTTAAGATTTTTTATTAAGGGTATCTGTGTATTTTGCTGTGTTCAGTTTTTCCTTTTCGTCCAAATTAGATCCAATTGCAATTCGTCCAAATTAGATCTGATTGGGTGATAGTTCGAATTTCCAAACTCCAAGCCAAAATGTAGCAATTTCACTAAACAATAAAAAATGCAATGGCAGAGCATGTTCATTTTGATTCATGATTCAGAATTCCACCCATGGTGCCAATAAAATGATGATGGGGGAAAAAAAGATAAGCCACTGGACAGTCACTAAATGTTGATTTTATCAAGATCAAGTGAGAAGTTACCAATATTTATTAAATATAGTATATAAATATATTGTTTTTAATGGTCCACCTATTTTTCATTCTATTGTAGCCAAAATGAAAACTACTGCTAAATATCAAGATAATATTTATATTTATTACGTATATATTTTGCAGTACACTGATTAGTCCATTTACACACCTCTTGGTTAATCTGATTTGTTTTCCAGAATCTTTATTCATTAACAAAATTTGGTTCAGCGAAACTACCATATGGCCAAAATTTGGCTGTCCCAATTTGATTCAACTGGAATAAATGTTTTCTGCCCTGAACAAACATGTTTCTAACAGTCTGGGAGTCAATTGTGTGCTTTTTGTAAATTCATAGCCATATTTCATGTGTCTTGCAGTGAGTAGAGACTTCCGTCTGGGCAGTCTGCCATACAAGGCCAAACCAGTTGTGTGTTGAAGTAGTAGTTTTTCATCCTCAAGTTTCTCCCATCTACACACATAAACAAACAATTGCAGTGTATGAAAAGTGCTAAATATTTCTGATGGTGTAGGCAACTCATAATCTAAAAATGCACTGCAAATGTTAATGTTTTAAAAGATAAACCTTTGCCTGATGAAAATATTTTCTTTAACTAAGGTTGCATTCTGAGATACCGGACTTGACAGCCACAAGCAAGCATGACAACATTTTTGTGTTACAACCATTTGATAGATATAACAATCAGATGGTCCTTAGTGCTGTTTTTCATTTGTTATTGTGACAGTGTAGTAGTGCAATATTGACTGTGCAATTTAAAAATTCTGCACTAAAATATAATGATATACTTCTGCTTAGATATGGTGAGCCACCATAATATCTTCAGGAAAAGCAAGAGCTCCTCATTTATTTTAGGTCCTGTATTTTAAGTCCACATTTGGAAGTCATAGGAGCTTTCTACCAAATATAAACTAGTCAATAAGACCGGTAACAATGCTAAAAGTATCGGAAATTGCACGCATATTCGTTGAATACCGTATATCAGAAACTTACAGGTGTATTCAATGTAAAATATAAAGATTTACTCACTTTTCCTCTGTTCCAGCATTGCCATCTTCATGCTTCATGGATGTTATTATTTGTGTAACACCCACATTTGGAACATCCTCTGCTCCTCCTCTGCTTCGTTTCTGTTCTTCTTTGAGTTGCCTGTTTGGGACACATCTACAAGCAGGATAAATCTGTCGGCGCAACATGCTGCCTTCGTTGCCAGCATGTCAGCGTCAAAACTGGAGTGATATCACATAACTCCACACCTATACTACCTAACCAGTGCTAGGGGCTAGGGAGTTTCCATAGAAACTGCAGCGCATGCCCTGCGTTTGCTTTGGGAGGAGAGCTGTGGAAAGTCTCTTCTGCTCTCCCTTGTCAGTCAATGCTTCTGCATGCCAAGGTAATGACTGACAGCTTGGATAAAAAATATTTAAAATATTTTCCCCCCCTAATCTATACATTAGCTATAAAAAATACACAACATATAGATAAAATCTTATGCTCAGTCTAATGAGCATAAGTTGTTTGGGGCATGATAGGTTCCCTTTAACCCCTTAAGGACCAAACTTCTGGAATAAAATGGAATCATGACATGTCACACATGTCATGTGTCCTTAAGGGGTTAAAGGAGAGCGAGAGGTAATAGGAAAATAGCCTTTCACTACCTTCTCAGAATACAGTAATATTCTTACACAATAAGCAGATAGTGAATAGTGATAACACCCTCCTCGGGAGAACTAAAGAAAAGGCTATGCAGGAGAAACAGTGCACTATACAACAATGAATGAAATAAAACTAAATAAATTGTAAATACCAATAGGAACTGTATATCTATACAATAAATTCAATCTCCCGGTTCCAACAAAATATAGGAGGGAAAACAAAGAAAGGGAGAGAATGGAAAAACAAATACAAATATACTAATAATGACTAAAAACAAACTGCGAGATATGGTGATAGTAAGAGCAGTAGAAAATTCCAAGCAATTTCCAAAAATCTTGAAAGAACTTAAATATAAATATTGTAGAGAAGATTCTTTCAACATTTCTGAAGAAAAAGTGGTGCAATCCATGTTTTCGGCCATATTTCTCACAAATATTTCTATATAATAACTTGGATCCTTTTTTTCACAGATTTCCAGTATCTGCAAGGCAGCACTACATGCAGGTGTAGTCCGCAATCACCAAGGAGGATATGTGGACATTATGCCAATGGATAAAAAGAGACATTATTTTGCATCAACTCAAAATGGAATAGCTTCTGAAAGGTATATTTGTTCTCTACAGAAATATCAAATCTAAAAAATAAATTTTCTTTAACATACAAAACCACTACACCTCACTGTAGTGGCTATACTACTTGGACTCACCTGGCTCTGACCCTTGATTTAATATCAAACCATTTAAGAACAGTTACATATAAAATGAGCATTTTTTTGGCACCAAGGTACTTCCAACCATCTCCTAGATAATGCGAAATTAAAATTTTCTCATTGTCAATAACTCCCCTAAAACACTCTTAGTCAATCAATCTTGTCCAGGTTGGGTAAAATGGGCAAAAATAATGAAATTTTAATTTCACATTCTCTTTGCGGCCAAGATGTTAAGCAGTTTGACACTAAACCGAGGGTTGACGCTAGGCGGCCAACAAGCTATACTGGTTGTGTTGCTTAGAGTGCCACTTCATTGAGTCTTTGCATACATATTATTTCAGGGTATGATAGGCAGTGGTATATAAAACATGCCCGTATATCATATCTATACATTTAGAAGTAATAAAACAACCAGTTGAATGTGTTAGTCCATTTAGTGTATCTTACTCCCATGCAGTGGCGTACACACAACCCATGGGGCCCCAGTGCGAAAACTGATCCGTGCCCTCCCCACGCGCACACTTACTCGTGGGCTGGGGCAGCAACACATGGTGGCGGGCACCTGGTTGCAGTGGTCACAGGGTTGCGACCCCTGCAACCGCGGTAAGTACGCCAGTGCACGCAGATACACATACCCTTAAAGGACCACTACAGACACCCAGATCACATCAGCTCAATGATGTGGTCTGGGTGTCAGGTCCCTCTAGTTTTAACCCTGCCACTGAAAACATAGCTGTTTCAGAGAAACTGCTATGTTTCACTGAGGGTTAATCCAGCCTCTAGTGGCTGTCTCATTGACAGCCGCTAGAGGCACTTCTGCGATTCTCACTGTGAAAATCACAATGAAGACACTGAACGTCCATAGGAAAGCATTGAGTAATGCTTTCCTCTTGCCACGCATGGCATTCGGAGCTGAGAGGCGGATCGGGGCGGAGAGATCCCCAGCGCCAAGGGAGTTGCTTAAGACACACACACACTCTCATGAACAGACGCATACACAATAGCTAACAGACACACACATTTACTGACAGACACACACTCAGTGACAGACATACATACACACTCACTGACAGACAGACACACTCACTCACAAAACACACACACTAACAGACGCACACAAACTAACACACTCAGTAACAGACACACAGTAAAACACTCACTGACACACTCTAACACACACACTAACACTCACACACACACACACTCTAACACACACACACACTCTAACACACACACTTTAAAAAAAAAAATTTAATCCTCCCAGCTACCTTACCTGTGGGAGAGCTGAGGGGATTCCCTGGGGTCCAGTGGTGTCACCCAGCGGGCAGGCTGGCACGCGCGCGAGGGAGCACTCTCCTCTGAGTGCTCCCTGGCGTCATCTTCCGGCTCCGGTATCAGTGCGATGCGCGAGGGAGCTGAAGAGGGAGCACTCAGGGCGCCCGCCGGGTGACAGCAGGGCTAGCGGTATGTACGCCACTGCTCCCATGTTTTGCTCTACCTTGTATCTCTTGCATCCCTTTTTGTCTCTCACACCCCACTTCTGTCTCTTACCTCTCGTTTCCTTCAACAACCATTTGTTTCTCTTGCTTTCCCCTCACTCTATTTTGTGACACTTACAAAATGTTGCAGATCTGCCTTGGGGACCGTAGTAAGGCCTCTTCTTTTGTCCACTACTTGGGGCTGACTTGAAGCTACTCGTTGCTCCTAGCTAGCAACTTCCTTTCAGACTGGCTAGAGGATAAATAATGTTCTGTACCACTGTTCGCAAGTCCATTCTACACTGTGTAACTAGCAGGAGGAGGGTGTTCTGTCTGCCCCTTTTTTACAGCAGTCTACCAGACATTGCGCTATGTGACAATTGGAATATAGGATGCAAGCAGGATTTTATGTTAAAAAATAACAACTGCATCCTATATTCTGAAAAATATTCTACATACAAGCATTATAAAGTTAGGTGATGCATTAATAACGTTTTATTGAAGTCAAAAAGTGAAAGAAAATCCCTACTGATTTAAATCAAATTCTTACGAGTGTTTTCCTAAACTCTTGCTGCAACTTAAAAAGTGCCAATTTTTATGCAAATATAGCCTATTTGGCTAACTCAGCTATAGTAATATAGTAATAAACCTTAGGTATATTATATATTACTTTTTGTATTATTATAAACCGCAAAATGCATTAATTTATCACAGTAAAATAAATACAGTAATTAATTTCATCCTGCAATATTTCTAAGAGTAGAATAGACTAACCATTGTTACTTGACAAATTGTATAACTACTGGTATTAATGTAGTCCAGGAGAGGCAGTGGTACTGTAAATGCCTGTCTCCTGTAATCTTATAAATCAGACCCTGACAAGCTGCTTACAGGTCAATAAGACCCTGTGCTTTCTCCAAGTGTGTGTAATGTAATATTAGAACCCCGGCCTTCCCTGCTTGACTAAAGATTACTTTTCCATAAGTAGTGAATAAGATAAATAGTTGCAGCAGCTCACAGTCTGTATTGAAACTCTTCTAAGTTATTTCCTTCGCTCTTTTCATCAGACTGAGACTATCTAGAACAGCCTCCCCACACACCTACCCAGCTTTTGTAGAAAACTGACACCCTAGCAGCAAAACAGCTAAATCCTAATGTAGTGGTTTTGGTGCGTAGATGCTGCATCTCTGGTTCAATGTAAAACATTGCTCTCCATAATATTAAATCAAGCCTTTCATCCTATCAGGGTTGATGCAATAAGTATCTTTGAGATGTATCACTCCTGACTAATGAATTATTTTCTGTTATTTTATATTTGAGAATAAAGTTTCTATTTGTTTTTATTAATCTGGAAAATACTTAATTTATAAACAAACTGAGAGTTAATTAAAAGCCACATCCATCCATAAACAATGTCACCCTATATCAGAAAAACACGTACAATGGATATGTCTATGGACCAGAAAGGTATAGGGGATATGCTTTCTGTGGGATAATGTCAGGGGGAAGGGAATATTAGAGAAGGGTGCCTAAAATATTTAAATATAATTGGCCACAAAGTATGAAATGTATCTCCTTGGTCTCCTGGTCAATACATTTGTAATAATTGTTTATCTTTTTTTCCAGTTTACACAACCCAATGGGAAGCAAAGCTTTTAGAATATTTGCGGTAATCTGAAAAAAAATAACACAAAATGGAATATTGAAGAAAAAAAAATGAAAGCGCAAGAAGTATATGTTTAAACATTTGTATAAAGATGTATTATTATTGTACAGAAAATGCTACTTATTCTGTGTTAATCCAAAATACTAGTTTTTAATCTCAAAAAGAAGGTTTGGCAATATGTATCAAAAATGGCATCCATTTAACTTCTTTAAATTAATTGTTCTCTTCATGTTTGCTGTACAGCATGATCTCACAATTATGCCAGAATATTATGCTATGTGTACAGTGAGATAACTGCATGCTGAAATCCCACTGTTTATTATGTTTAGAGGTAAATTGGGTTAATCATCATAAAAACAGAACACAATTAACAAATATGTTACTGAAAAAAATAAATGAGAGAGATTTCATATATATGTTTAGACCTCCATTAGGTATAAATGTATCATCAAGAGATGGCTAAATAAGCCTAAATTTAAAAAATGTTTAAATATTTTTCTAAATCAGCGTTTCCAAATCTCCTATTTTGGGATGTTGGAATTTGTTAATTCTGCACTGTTGCGTAAACAAATACTGATTAGCTTTGTTTAGTAAAGTGTAAACTGCTGAGAATTCAAAATGAGCTTAAAGGGACACTATAGTCTTATAATCAATCCTTGTAAGACTTCATAGGTAAATTCCAGACAGATCGATTAGAGCACAGAATTTGATGTTTTGTTGCAGCTGAAAATGATTTGTGCATAAGTCTAATAGATACATTAACTTGCAGTTATGCCTATTTCCTAGGAATATTCTATAAAATAGATTGTATTATGAAAATGCAGTATTCGTTATTATTTGACAAATATGGTGTTTACTAAACCAGGATTTGTTGAGAATTGAAAGGAAAATTGTGAATTTTAGGCCATAAAAACAAATTTGATTAAACAAATATATAAGCCAATTCTTCAACTTTATTTTTCCAGCATAGTTATTGAGATCAAAGAAAATATAACATAAAAAATCAGAGCTGTGTGTTTTTGTAACTGGCATCTTTGTTGATGTATCTCTCTTCATAGAAACTGTGTTCACTAACCCTCACAATTTGTTTTTGGTTATATCTTTGCTTGTCTATTTGCCACTCTTTTTTTTTTTTTAAATTGCCAGTCTAAAATTTTGTATTCCTTTTAACTGCCGAGTTGTAATACATATACAGACACATAATGTGTCCCTCTACTATGGTATCATGGTAAACTACATGATGACTAGCAGAGAGTAGACAAGCAGAGGAAGGGCACATTTTGTATCATCACTCCTGTTTATGCTATAAGAAAATAAAGAATGGTGGTCAAAATTATTTAAAATAGTTTTTCCATTAAAAAAAATTGTTGGCCAAGCTTGGTTAAAATGTCCCTCATTATATGCAGTGGAAATGCAACATTAGTGTGCTGATTCACTAACGTCACAGCAACCATAAAACCTTAATTGTCCTTAGCCAAATATGGATGAACAGCTTTCAGGCTAAAACAATCTCCTTAAATTGATTTTTTGATAAAAAAAAAATGATTTAATTAATGTTTGTATATACAATATGTGGCTATTCAGCTATTGTGACCACAATTTATGTTGTAGTTTGCTGATCATCAATTTCATAAATGTAATGGTTTCATCTCATTTACTAATGCTGCTTGATCAAGGTCACTTCATTACTGATCATAAGTTAAAATTCAAAAGTAAAAAACAAAACGTATATATTTTTTTACTTGCAATATATCTTTTGTTGCTGCTAATTCATGTAAAGAAAGGGTTAGTTTTGCTGACTTTTTCAAAGCTAGTGGTTAAGATTTAAAATTTTATGTAAATATTGTTTGAAAACTAGTAACTAGACAATTTATGCATACAATTATATTTTGTTTTTGTTTAGGTTTTTATAGAAAATTTAAATTACTAATTATAATAAACCTTTTTTTTTTTTTTTTTTTTATAGCCTGGCGAATATTCCTGCAGGCCAGGAAATGTACAGCATAGATTTTTAAAGGGCAGTTGATATGCTTTTTATTTCAGTTTCAGACTTGTCATTTTTTTTTTTTTAATGGACAGTCCGTAGTCAATGTTTGTACCCTAAAATGGCACACGTAGAATATAATCAGTGCTCATTCAGTTTGTGTTCATTAAAAAATACAGTAATTGTGTGCCTTAAAACAATATAAAATTATACTGTTCATTGCAGTTGAATTTGTGTCTGTAAATCTTTCAATGAAACTGTTATTTAGAACATTGTTTTGTTGGCCAAACATTTGTTAATCATTCTTTTGTAATTAGTTCAGCTTTTTGTTTGTTTATTTTCTATTTGAAAGTATGTAATAAAGATACGGTATTAAAATGCATTGTGGTCATACATTGTTTTGTTCTCATAAAATAAAAGTTGTCTGTGTGTGCATTTCATATGAGCATACTGTAGACTATGTTTAAATTTATATCCTAATCAAAAAATATTTTTTTTAAGGAACACATTGAACACCAGCATAATTTAAGTGCACATGCTGTAGTTCTGATACTCATGATGTATTTTTCTCCATCTCTCTTTATATATCTCTAGTTTTGCTTAAAGGGACACACATCACTTAACATTTTTCTAAATCAGGAGACAAACACTACACAAATATGCAAAGTGAAGTAAAGCAATAAAAGTTTGAAAAGTATGTAATAAACATTTATAATTGTACTGTAATGTTGGTTAGTGTCCTTTGTCAGGCATGACTCTCAGCTGAGGAAGTGTTTTCAGCTTTCCCCCATGCCTATTACCTGCCTTTAAGCCAACCCACTAATCCACCAATCTCAGTTTAATGTGAACTAGCACTAGCCTGGCATGAGAAATTATGTGCATGCTCATGACTTTTGCAAACAAATGTTGCTGACTGTCAGGGAAACGAGACAAACTGATTCTCTACATAAAAAAGGAGCAAGTAGAACGATTGATTATAAGTGTGTGTGAGTGTGTATGTACAGTATACATATACAGTATATAAAGAGATTCACGTGAAGAGTATTCTGTATGTCAGTCAGTATATAGAGCGTTTCACTGTGCTATTAGTTAAAATTGAATTTTCACAATTAAAATTTGGATGTTAATCCTGAGCCAAAAATAGCTAATTTGAAAAGATTCCCTAACTCTGCTATAGTTACATTTGCATCAATATTTCTGTTTGTATTGCTTTTATAAAGAGTTTAGTGAATTACCCTGAGCATCACACCCTCTTCCATAGCTCCTATAGTCTCTCCCTATATCAAAGTGTGTTTGTGGTGCGTGCTGACTGTCGTGTGTGTGTGTGCGCTATGTGTGTGTGTGTGTAGTGTGTGTGCTGGCTGTATGTAAAATATGTGTGTGTGTGTGGTGTGTGCTGGCATTATGTAATATGTGTATGTGTGGTGTGTGCTGGCTGTGTGTCGTGTGTGCTATTTCTGTGTTTGTGGTATATGCTGGCTGTATGTAATATATGTGTGTGTGTGTGTGTGTGTGCTGGCTGTATGTGATGTGTGTGTGGTGTGGGCTTGCTGTATGTAATGTGTCTGTCTGTGTAGAGTTCGCAGTCTGTAAGCCCCAGTATATTTTGCATTCACGTGATATTTTATATGTTTGGGACACTCAATTTTTTGCCTCAAAAAGGTAGTTCTAAATTATATACCCTTTACAAAGCCACTATATAAATGAAGGGGAATTACAACTAGGGCGCTTGCCTTTACAAGACTGTAGGCTGTAACAATAATCACTCTCAGCCTGGGTTCACCAATACAAGGAATTGTAGCTTATTGACAATGGACATGTCTATCAGCATGTGACCTTGGCATGTGTCTAGAAAAATATGGTAAATCTACTAATTATGGTTGCATGCAATTTGCACATGGAATTAATTAAAAATGCTGACAGGAAGGCTTTAATTGGCATTTGGCAATACAATGGTTTAAAAGTGCTGAAAGGGAAACCTTAAACTTGAGCTTAATTCAGAAGTTTTTGTGATTAGATCATGTCTCTGAAGTCTCACTGTTTAAATCTCTGCCATTTAGGAGTTAAATCACATTGTTTATGCAGCCCTAGATACACCTCCCCTAGCGGGGCGGGGCCAAATGCCATTTTGGCCAATCAGGACCTCGTCCTAGAGATGCATTGACTCGATGCATCTCTATGAGGAAAATTCAGTGTCCCCATGCAGAGACTATATGATAGGAGAAAGAAATTATTCATATATATACATAAACACTCAGTGACATAGTATACAACCTAAACGATATGTTCACACATGCTGATGAATGAAAAATCTATAAAGACTTCATTTATGAGCAGTGCAAAAGCAACACAAACCAATGAGAGTTGTTGCAAACCTATATCTCACAAGATGTTTGTGTATAGATATATATATAATGAGATAAGGCCTGTAAAATAAATGTATACATAGTGTGTCTTTTGAAAGAAAAGGTTTTATTATGGATTTCATTGTACATAATGCAATAATGAATAGAAAATAGCAAAAATACTACGCAGTAAAACATTGCCTTGTATGCCAGGAGTAAGGATAGAACTCCCTCCTCTCCTCCGCTCAGAAAAGAGAAAGGGAGATACACACCATGCACCCGCAGTTATGTGAATTCACTTGGTGGCACTCATACTAGGGATCTGGCGACCTCACTGATGATGTTGCAAGATCGTTCAATTGTGCATGCATGACAGAGACACGCATGTGCAATGTGTTTTTGCATTCTTAGGGATCGGACAACTATTTGCAAAGTATTATTGCAGAATGCAATCCCTAATAGCTACAGTACACAAAAGTTGAAAAATTTGCATTATTCTTTAACCCCTTAAAACCGCAGGACGTACAATTACGCCCTCTAATAGGCGGCTCTAAACGCCGCCGGGCGTAATTGTACGCCCTCCGGTTTTTGTTAACTTACCCGGTCGCCGGCGGTCCCACGCCGGCGATCGCGGTGGAGGGGACTCCCAGGGAGCCCCCCGCGGCACATCCGTCCTCGTTGAAGCCCCCCGGCCATGTGAGAGTGGGGTCCTAGCGAGGACCCCACAATCACATGGCCGGGTATAGCTGGCTTCTGTATTGCCGGCAGGGGGGCTGCCTGTAATTACAGGTGGTCCCCCTGCTGGCTGAAAATAAAATAAAAATAAGTTAATGGTGTAAAAAAAAATAATTATATATACTTAGATCATATGTATATATTATATATATATGATCTAAGTATATATATACACATATACATACACACACATACACCGTCTAGGTGTATTTTACTATTAATATATATATAATTATATATATATATTAATATCAAATTACACGTAGACTGATACTGATTAAATATATATATAATTATTGTTATATATATATTTATATATAATATAAAAAAATAAAATGTAAATACGTTAAAAAATAAAATTAAAAAAATAATTAAAAATAAATAATTAAAAAATATATAGATGTGTGTTATTTCGTTCTAACTGTTTTGTGAAATTAATATATATATATATATCAAAATACACGTAGAACGAAATAATATATCTATATACATAAATATATACGTATATATCACTATATATATATACCTATATATAAATAAAAATATTTTAAAAAATTATATAGATATATACATATATATACACATACGTATATATATATACATATATTAATTCTACATATATATTTATGTAATATTTTTACATAATTAGGTATCTTAATTAATTACAATTAGCGGGACCTGCCTGACAACCCATGCCGAAAGTAAAGGGAATTTAATTTGCTAGCACTATATTTAACCCTATAACTTTCCAAGACACCATAAAACCTGTACATGGGGGGTACTGTTCTACTCGGGAGACTTCGCTGAACACAAATATTAGTGTTTCAAAACAGTAAAATGTATTACAACGATGATATCGCCAGTAAAAGTGAAGTTTTTTGCATTTTTCACGCACAAACAGCACTTACACGGACGATATTATTGCTGTGATACTTTTTACTGTTTTGAAACACAAATATTTGTGTTCAGCGAAGTCTCCCGAGTACAACAGTACCCCTCATGTACAGGTTTTATGGTGTTTTCAAAAGTTACAGCGTCAAATATAAGGCTTGTGTTTCATTTTTTTCACATTAAAATTTCGCCAGATTGGTTACGTTGCCTTTGAGACCCTATGGTAGCCCAAGAATGAAAATTACCCCTATGATGGCATACCATTTGCAATAGTAGACAACCCAAGGTATTGCAAACGGGGTATGTCCAGTCTTTTTTAGTAGCCACTTAGTCACAAACACTGGCCAAAATTGGCGGTTTTTGCATTTTCACACAAACAAATACTAACGCTAGCTTTGGCCAGTGTTTGTGACCAAATGGCTACTAAAAAAGACTGGACATACCCCATTTGCAATACCTTGGGTTGTCTACTATTGCAAATGGTATGCCATTATAGGTGTAAATTTCATTCCTGGGCTACTATACAGTCTCAAAGGCAACGTAACCAATCTGGCAAATTTCAATTTCAAATGTAGCGTGCTATATTTGACCCTGTAACTTCCCAAAACGCCATAAAACCTGTACATAGGGGGTACTGTCTTACACGTGAGACTTTACTAAATACAAATATGTGTATTTTATTGCAGTAAAATCAAACAGTATTATGACACTGACCTTTAAAATGCAATTTAGAACTAAAAAAATCAAAAAATCGTATTTTCTCCCATTTTTTTCATATTAAATTATGTTTCATAGCTAAATATTTGATATTAAATGAAAGCCCTGTTTCCCCTGAATAAAATGATATATAATAAGGGTGGGTGCATTTACTATGAAAGAGGTGTATTACGGTTGGACAGACATGTAGCGCAAATGCCAGGTTTTGTTTACATTTTGTTTTGTTCACAATGTGTACATTTGGCTCCGTCCTTAAGGGGTTAAACAGTTATACAACATTTGAAATATTGGATAAATCATAAAAGATATACAGTGAAAAGCATCCAACCTATGACATTTTCAGTTGCTCCGTTATTTACTTTTTTCTAAGCAGGCATTTAATTTAAAAACCCATTTCTTGGTATTGTGGCGAAGTATTGAGATGCTGACTGGGTTGCATTCTGTGCGCACAGTTAAACTGAGCAAACATTTGAAATATAAACGGATTTCTCTTTAAGATTTAGCTCTGCTTTCCTTATAAAGGAATGTTATGTGAGACTAGCTTTAATTCTCAATCTATATAAAGGGATAATCCCTTCCAGTACTAGAATACAGCAATTCCTAGAAACAGCAAAATTGCTTAAACTATTATTTTCTTTGTACAGAATATATAATAAATTACAAATGTAAAATAAAACAATTTTTACCACATCTAATTTCTGACCACAGCACAGGCTCTTTGTTGATTTACTATTTAAAAATCAAAGAACAAAACGCACAAAAAGAATTATTAAAGCAAATCCATACCTCCCATGTGTCCCTATTTTGGAGGGACAGTCCTTTGCAAGGTAC